CTGTGGGCAGCGGCCTCCGGATGCGTATCAAGGAACACAACTTGAATCGGAGGAGGAAGATCAGCGTACCCGAGTTAGGTCCTATGACGACGGTACAGGAGGTTGCGATGGATTCACGTAAGTAAATAACTCTCGGGATATATATCTAATATTAACTGGCAGCAGCTACGATTCCGGGCCGGCCTGCGCTGCATGAACGATCCATCAGTACTCCCATCAACACTTGGCGCCAGCGTCAAGTCTTCGAGTTTACTACAACCTCCGTGAGAGAGTGTGAGGAGGAGAACCTGGACCTAGAAGGTTTTACATTCAGAGATGCACAGCCATCTGCTTCAACTCCAAAGCAACCGCTTTCTCCCAAGGACCTAGCGCCCTTAACGATACCAACGCAGAGCGGTCCGATTCCAAGGCTAGTCCGTCAGCTTTCGTTAAGTCGACTTAGATCTAGGGATACACAACAGGAGCCGACAATTCGATTAACACGGGCTGAAGAATCGCCGAAGACACGTACCCCATTCACACCTGCTTCGAGCTCGGTTTCAGCCACAACCCCTATGTCGACGACCACCGCTATGACCAACTCGACGCTCCCGACACCTTTATCGGCACCTGCAGAATGCCGGAGTTCTCCAAGGCCGTGGGACAGGCAAGGTTCAACCACACCTATAACTACTATGCAGCAAACCATTGATCCCACGGCGGCACCAAAGGTAGGGCCTGAAATACAACCACGAGCTAGCCCGAGTCCGTTTCATAGACGTGGTCAATCCGACTCTGGGAGTATCATGGATCGCGGACGTCCACGAAAGCGAAGTGATGGCACACCAATTGGTAATAGCACCGGCCTTGGTATTGGTGGTTTAAAGCGAAGCAGCTCTAAGAGGAGCCTCAGCGCCGAACGCCGTGCTTTCGAGAATCTACCTCAGGGATGGAAACCCAGCGAAGCGTTAAAGAATATCGACTCATCCGAAATTACTTATTTACAAAAGCAAGCCCTAGGACAAACTCTGAGGTTTGAAGTACTTACGAAGGAGGATGTCGAAAACCTCTCCAAGGTAGGTCCCAAGTCTCTTAGCATTGCTATCCATAGTCTAATCATTCATAGGAACTACGCCACCTCGATGAGCGGACAGAGTATCTTCGCCGCACGTATACATCTCTTCGTGCCGGGCGCCGAAACCTTCACAGCCGCATTTGCCAGTACCTGCGGTCGCCTCGCGTTGCTAAATTTAGCTACGAGTCCATGTTAAAGCAGGAGGAAACTCTTGCCGAGCTTGACGCTTCAATTGATGATTGGGTTACGAAACTCGAACAGGCTGAAAACCGACGGACCCGTGTTAGACAAAAACTCCTTGAGCATGTTGCCGCTGCCTCTACGCTTTCGGTAGTTAAAGATCTCTGCGTCACAAGCGACGTTCTTCAACAGGCCATGGGTGTTCGGGTACCTAATGGGACTTCGGATATCTCAACACCACCTCGGAGCCCAACCAAGAACACTGCTTCTATCCAGTCTCAGTCCCCATCGCCATCATCATCACCACAGCGTGTCGTCGCCCGAGTACCTTCAATGATCCCCGAACTACCATTCGAAGAGGCTGAGGATGATGTAGCAAATGGTGTCCGAAAGAATTCGATGGAATGTACTATACAGCGAATGGAAAGCATTCGCATTTATGCCGACAGCGATGTCTACGCCCTCCTAGCGGATGTCGAGAGTGAATTCACCAAGTTGAACGTCGGTATTGCAGACTCGGAACTTACTAGATCACCACGATCGGAGGAGCAGCGTAGAATCTTACATCGCGCCCGCAGCCATGATATTATCAACAACCAGCGTTCGAAAGGTCTTAACAAGATGCCGCCTACTTCGCCCCCTGCTCCTGCGCCACCGATGAAGAACTCCCCCGCCAAAGAGCAAGCTGATGTTTTCTTATCCGCCGCCGTTTTCCAGCCGGGTCGAACCCCTTCGCCCAATTAAACTATATTACTTTATTTGATGCTTAGGCACACTCATTATTCGTATTACTTAGACTTACGAAGCTCACTCCTTGTTTTGCCTAACGACTTGTTACGTTCCTTTTTTTCTTTTCTTTTCTACATCATGACGATCGACGATCGACGAATTACGGCTGGCTACAGCGATCATTTGCATTCTTACATTATACTTCTCGTCGTTCCTTTAGACATTAGCATTTACGGCCTTAGACAACCAGGCGTTCTCGCATTTTAACACACCCATTTCCTGTATTATCAGCAACTTGTTCCTTCACATTCTCTCTACTATACTTTCCTTAATACTCTCATATTTTAAGGCGTTAGGGTCGTCACCAAATTTGTTGCATGCCTCTGATATCGACGGACACCTCTATACCCAGTGCGTTAGGTACCGTCCAGTGCGTCATCAAGGCTGAAAAGGATTACTATTCAAGAGTGTATTTTTCCCGTCTTATTTTCGCATAAAGGGGTCGTTGGTTTGAGGTTGCATAGGCTAGTGTGTAGGATTCGTTGTATTCATTGTTGTATGGGAAAGGAAAGGGGAAGGTATCATGGTGCTAAAAGAGTGTAACATGGTCCCAGAGACTGAATTACCAAGAGGATCTAGGCCGCTTAGGAGCTCGAGGGCCCAAGACGAGATAGATCCTCTGCCTACAGGCGGCTCAACCTTTTAGCATAGATTTACACTATCGCTATAAGACTATTGGTCAATCAAAAAGACTTCTACCACAACCCTCGTGCTCTACCCCATCAAGATGCATATCTTGTAACTATCAGTGATACCTCAATAGATTTGTTTAAGACCTTCTCGTTTCATTTTTCCGATCTACATCCTCAAGGTCATCACTTTATCGAATCGAGCAGCTGTCGAGATCTCGTGCTAATATTCAGCATCTCGTTGAGCTGAAGAAATATCGAATCCTTTCCGCCCACCGATCAAACAAAACCCCGCCGAGACCCAAGATCCTTCGAGACGGCGTTGGTTAGAGTCCCATGATGCGTCGTTCTTAGGATTCGTTTCTGCTGCGCCGCCACGAGTTACAAGCCCACTTATTACGCTTTATTACATGCAGAGGCCCTCGGTACATTGCGGATCCTCCAAACACCCATAGTATTCGTCCCACATCAACCTATCCGCTCATTGCTTACCTGCCCCAACCTGTTTGCCCTCCTGTGCCCCTCAGAGGAATCCTTTCGGCGATACATACGGGTGCGTTGTGCTTAGATAGGTAGGTAGGTATGTACCTAGACTTTAGAGCTATCGACGATGCCGCCTTGCACAGCAAGAGTCACAGGAAAGAGGAATATGCATATGTACCTAGTAAGCTGCTGTTTTGGGAGATTTCTTCTACAGTGACTATCTTGAAGTTATCTCGCTAACGAAGCTGTAAGTCCGATGGCTATTTTCATACGGTATCTGTAGGGGCGGCCGTGTCAGAAGTCATCGAGCTAGACTATCCTATTGCACCTTTTCGATTTGGTTGGCTAGGCGAACTCAGCTCGCACAAGAAACGCAACTCCTTCCAACGGAGCAGAGTCTGTTTGGGATGTCTGCCTGGTGTGGTGCCTTTCGGAGGAGTGTAAGTTAGGCAGGCCGGTTCAGACTTCAAGGCCGGGTGGGTTAGAGGACGAAAGAGTCCAGCATCCATTTGCTAGGCAATCTATAGGAGACACACCTCCAATTCATCACGAGGTCTATCGTTACTTGTGCCAAAGCTAGAGCAAGCGTAAGCGATGCTGTCTGCACTGATATCAATGAGGTCCCGTGGAGCGTGGGGGCTGTTGCATGGGTTACACGTGCGAGTATGTATATTGCCTACATCTATGCACTACCAACACTTATATTATACATTGTACATTAACAATTAATTACCTATGCAGTCACGCCGTAGCATATACTTGAAGCAAGGTGGATACGGCATACTAGAGACGAGTTAATTAACATTAGTAACTCAATATAATCAAATCCCGCCACCACACCCTCTACCTCAATACAACGCCGCCAAGCTTCGACAGCTATAAGCCAACTGCGTCGTTGTCCCGAGAGGATTACTTACGGCCGAGGCATTTTTCGCTTCGGCTGTGGCGTCATTCAACATAAATACGGTTCCAACTGCGGTGCAACGTACAAAAGACCCGATACGCTGCGGGAGGGTGCGGTGTGCCCTACGTACATATATGTAATGCCATTAGAAGCTTGGCTTGGCTCGATGTAGATCCAGATGCGGAAGTTAATTTTAGATGCTACCTACCTGCAGCTTACATATGGTTACGAGATACATGCATACCCAGGTAGGTTTTCAAGTAGGGCAGGTAAAGTATGTAGATGCAGACCTCGTGTATATGTATATAGGGTAGTATCGTGTACATAGGTGCAGGTGGGTATTGAAGCTATACATGTCCACTATAGGTATGTAGGTAATGTAGGTAATGTAGGTAATGTAGGTAATGTAGGTAATGTATGTGCATGTATGCTGGCAGGGAAGATATACATATGTATCTACATCTACATCGACATCGATATCGACATCTATAATCTACATGTGCATAATATAAAATCCCGACACCTGTGCAGGCGTAAGGCGGTCTAAACCCCTGATGCAGGAGCGCGGCAAAGGGGGGCAAACCCAACTGCAGCTGCTACTGGCCACCAACGTTTTACAGTATGCACCTCGTGTATGGCGAAATATCCGTTTCGTTTCGTGTGGTGGGCGATCTTCTAGGGGGAATATGTATAATGTACCTAACCTAAGGTAGGTACATGTGCCTCATGTACGTATGCAGGTAATTTAATGTTGGTACGGCACGTGTCGTGCACGCCCGGTTTTGAAGTTTAAAGGTTTGGGTTGCAAACTTTAATCTACATTGCAGAAATGCAGAAATGCAGAAATGCAGAAATGCAGGCATAAAAGCAAGATGTGTCGATTATCATGATCTGATTATCGGCATTGATGCATACAACATGAGGGGTTGGAATAAGAATATATAGGTCGATGCAATTGCCTGTCAATTTATTATACGTAAAGAATATGTGGGTATTCATCTATTCGCGGGTGGTAACATTACAGGATCTGTTGGTCTTACAGCAGCTGGCGTAGGAAACCGGCCTCGAGTTATTTACTGTAACAACTCTCAATACTATAACTTGCAACGTGACCTAGTAACTTGCCGATCACTATATACAGATTCTTCAGTACACCTGTTTGCGTTTTATCACGTACATCGCGTACGGGTTAGTAGAATTATACATACGTACGCACATGCAGGTAACCACCTGGGCATTACCCCTAGTTCGTCCAAGACTTCTGGTAATTCAACATACTTCAGAATATATACGCAGGGCTTAATATATATGCAACAATCGAGGTCATTGCGTATTAAACAGAGCTATCTTCGACATGATCAAAGTGAGGTCTCAGAGTGTAAAGTGCCAGAGTCTACCAGACTCGCCCAGTAACCACTCATCTCTGCTGCAAGTGTCTCGGCCGTCCGGCCTTGATTATCTGCGAGTGCTCGGATATCTTCCGAGGCCAACGTGCTCGGCCGCTGGATCCCCATTGCTTGCGCTATTTGCACGGCCTCGCCGGGGAATGATCCCGTCGGAAGAGTTGATGCTATCCACAAAAGCAACCAGACGACTTCCTCTTGCCCCTTTTCTACCGCGATATGCAGGCCAGTCTGCGAGTCTGCTAACGGGTCTTTATAGCGAATAATGCTTGCAGCATTCATTGTAGGCTCGTCTCCTAGCGCCTGCTCCGCATCGCGGAGGAGCTCTACTATCCCGCCTACATCGCCCTCGCTGCACATGATGTGAAAGGCACGGGCAGGACGAGCCTCGGGGTTTGCTTCTAGATAAGCTTCCTCAGTAACTGCGGGAAGGATATCGTAATTCTCCTGAATGCCACCTTCGTTGGTATATCTTGTCAGGATAGCCGCGCCGGGCGCGGATTGCACAAATGAGCTACCAGAGGAAGGCCCTGCTGTGTTCATGGCAAGCCCTGTATCACATGAAGGACAATTGAGCGATGCAGCCAACTCTGAAGCTTTGTCGAGAAGGCATTGCCAATGATAATGGCACCCGCAGATGAGTTCTAGATCGTCAGGCACCAGCTGCGGCTCATCAGTGCCATCATCACCATCCAGCTCCAGCGTCAGGTCCTGCTCGCAAACCTTACAAGCAGCCATCTTTTCAATGCGGGGATTGATGTCTGAGAAGTTTGGTCCAATGAGAATGAGAACGGTAGCAGAATGTGAATGTGGTCCAAACCCAGGTGTCTGTATCCATCACACGTGAGAGATGGTCCAGAAAAATGATTGGGTCGGAGGACGAGATCCATCCCTCTTTGCCATCCGAGTGAATCCACGCACTATGTTGGAAAAAGTTGCAGGATGCAAAGAAGATGGCAGCGTTGAAAAGCTGAAGACATCGCAAAAGACTTACCACTGGGTATTGATTGGTTGGTTGATTACGGCACGATTTATTTGCGTCCTTCGCCGAAGTGCGACGATGTTATTCGTTATTATAGAATGTATCATGTAACAGGTCAATACATGTATGAATATTCTCTTGCATCACTTCGGATATCAACAACAGCAAAAAAACAAATAAAGTGGGCCTCATCTTTGATGGATTTATATGGTCCCGGCCCGAATATGTATTAGGTGAGCTTGGGGGTACATAGTTACATGGGTGAATATTATTTAATGGATCCCCCCGTAACAAAAACCGGGGGCCTCGATCACATCTACGAAAACTCCGGAGCCAAGGGACCAACATCATTGGTAACTTGTCACAGCTAATACGTACTGAATAGGCGATATATGAGGTCTAAGTGATGATATTCCTGATGATCTGATTGATTGAGGTAAAATCGTGGGAACGCGTGTTACACCGCTATTTTACATGAGACTAGGGATTTTCAGGTCACCTGACATGGCTGACTAATCTGACATAACTGTTATCCAATAGTTCCAAGTCAGTTCAGCTGCGCAAGGGGCGGATAATCCAAATCCATTACAAAGCAAAGCAACTGCGATCTGTGGTCTATAGGTACGATGCCGTGGAGCACAAGAATTGCCTATTCTTCTTCAATAAGATAGATGCCCGTTATGTCCCCCCTTCCCCCCTTAGTTACCCTTAGTTACCCTTAGTTACTAGGATGTTGTGGTAAAAGTTTGGTTCTCCCTCGAGCCGAGGATTCAGTCTAAGAGCTAAACTTAGAGATGAGGGAGCACGATGGTTATACCCATAGCTAGCTGAAATCCACGCTTGGGTCTTTTGTCTATCACGTAACTATCTAGTAATTTATGTAATTTATGTAATTTATGACTATTCCTGGTCCGAAGATAAGAACAGTCGTCTAGTTTCGTGCGGGAACTTATCGTTAAGCGGACCCTCTGGCCTCTGGGAGAAATTCCCCCGGAAAACATTAGATTTTTTTGGGTTTGTCTTCTATACGCTACATAGCTAGTTGCCATTGCTAATCCTTGAAGTGCCATGTGGCGGCGGATGAATCCGGTAGGTACCAGGTAGTTAGGCGTCTTTGTGGATATTTAGTGGTTATCGTCACCCTCAATGGTGTCTAAGGCTAAAATTCCCCGACTGCTAGTTAGAGGTTTTCTATTTGGACGTCTAGATTCACGATTAACATGTGTGCGCGTATGTAATCTAAGCTATTAAGGGTAGCTCGTCCGACGATTAGTATACTCGAGTCAGTCTAAGGCTACGGAGCGCCGGTCTTTCATGCCCCTATCTAACCCCGGAGTTGTCCTAATTCCTCGCCTAGCCTTCTAGGAGCCGTTGCCGGTGTATTCAAATAATAATACGCGAGATAGTAAGCAGAATATTATGGTATAGATGAAATATATTGAAACGATTGCTATTTTTATGCCTCGGTAGCACGTTTGTCAGTCTAAGTCAACTCTATATACCACGCCCAGTATCAGACAGGCTATCTACATTTGTCGATGCTGCGCCTGGCAGTCCCCATTCGACCTCGTTGGGCCTCCCTTTTCGGAGGGCTCCTATCAACAGTTTCTTTTCTTTTTTTAGCCCTAATTCATGAGTCTATAGCCCTGTATGTTTACCGTAACGACTGTGTTTCCCTTGATACCCATGTTAACGCCTTCGATATTTCGATGTCGCCTGCTCGAGTCCTCCTCTTGGCCTCGATATTCACAGAAAAAACTTTCATACTCTAAGAAATGATCCCATCATACACCCTGTATCGTAGTCCCGCATCAGACTCGGGGCTAACAACGACCCGCTAGCCTTCAAGTAGTACGACACGCCGTGTGCTCGCATACTTTACCTCGGCGCGTTGGTTAAGTTGTATGTGGGCGTGCCCGCACCCATCGCCGAACCGCCGATAGGCTTGGGTCTTCGCCTGTCCAATGGCCCATGCTTATGTCGCTACTCTGGAGTTGTTGATAAACGACTTCGTCTGTGACCTGTGAGAGTTCCTGAACCGTGCTGTTAGCTGAAGATATCATACTAGTCATTAAGGGCATGCTTATCGTAGAAGGGGGTAGGGGGTTGGGGGTTGGTGTCAACTACTATCGAGGAAAACGCTCATCTTACTAGTCTTAGTTGTTCGTCACAGGCTCTTAGTTGTTGTCGATTTGCAGAGTTCGGCCGCTGACCCTGGAGGACTCCCTCCCTGTAGTCAATCCATCTCTGTGCCGCTGCCTGGCGGAGGTAGATCTTGTGGGCTTCGTGTCTGCGGGAGTAGGCGTCCAAGAGGATTCTGTAGATGATTGTTCCTGTCAGCGGCATTTCTTAGGCAGTGGGATATCGATGCCAATATCGAGGGGAAGAATCTAACGTACTGCTTTAACTCTGCCTTCCTTTGCTCTAACTCGCCGCCTCTGGCTCGGGGCACTGTTACGTCCGCTGCACAGTTAAGGATGTGTTGACCGTCCAGAGCGCACTGGCGTAAAGCAGCCCAACCTTCGGTATGATAATCGTTTGCGTAAGGGGGGTCTACCGGAACGTTGGCGATGCAATATTGGAGACTTTGAAACTCTTCGAGGAGTCCGGCAACCCGTGCCGTTCGGTAGTCGTTGACTGAGTTAATTATTAGGGGATGTCCTTAAGAAGCCGTCTCCTGTAATTTGAACCCGAGAGGCGTACAGTATTTTTAGTGGCTTTTACTTACGTCCATCCATTTATACCCCTTTTGGTAAGTGACCTCCGTAAGATGCTGCTCTTGCGATCGGATGCTCAACTTAAAAACACAATGATGAATTACGATACGTAGGAGGCCAGATGATATCGTTCTGGCGACTTAATAGAAACACCGCAATGGAAAGGGAGAATCTCGGCTCTTGGGCGAAAATGGGAAATAGATAAGACTGTCGGAGTGTAGAGACTGCTTTGAACTTGGTTGATGAAGAAGAAGCGTCATGTTGAACATCTCAAGCAGCGACTTCACTTGGCTTTTGTAGGATTAATCGACTTATTACGGATCAAGCAGAAAAGCATCTGAAGCGCTCACGATACAGAGTAGTTCCATAGGAGGAATGTTTGCGCTGATACTCCCTCTCCTTTCGAAGTGCAAGTCACAGTACGCATCATTATCAGCTCCGTATGCTCTGCTCACGTTGCCCGCTATCGAATCGGAGTTTATTATCGACCAACTAAGCAGGACATGACTGACAGCTCAAACCTATGACATCCTAATTGAGCTGGATGTCGGAATCTCAGATCTTTCCGTCAATCTGGTAAGAGACCCCTGATGTGTCCGGGATGATACCTGCAGCCTCTTGGGCAACCGACGCCACGAACTGCCTTACCAATGCAGGAAATCCAACGCCCATCGTCACGGTAGGGCATAGAATGGATCTATTAGTGGAAAGCTAGCCATAGGGACAGGAAAGCTGTGTTTGGGGGAGGGGGGGCTAATGCCAGGGGGACATGATCGTAGGGTTAGGCGAGTAGGAGGCTCTTCATAGGGCATACGGGTTGGCTGGAGTAGGAAAGCCAGGGCAAGAATTCAGCGGCGCCACATATCACACCAAGATTCAAATGCAGTATAGACTGTAAAGTTCTCAGGTGGAATAAAAACAAAGCAGTGGAACTATTCAGACTTAGGTGTAAGATATCTAGCCAATAGGGAGCCGCCGTGGACTCTGAGCCACCTTTTGGGCTGAGCTGAACGGATATTATTTACCCAAATATTTATAGCTTACCTGTATTGCAGAGGGTTGGCAAGAAGAAAAAGAATATTTCACGATCCAGCTGCAGCGCGATGCCTGCGATCTACACAGTACAGTTATACATGTTCCAAAGGGTAGACTTGTAAAGAAAAAGAAACGTTCGTGCTCCCGGCCCCTCCTACCGGTCATTGTCATCCCACGCCAGGTCCTCTTATTCGGCTTCCACCCCTGAACTCCCACGAGGTACCATACCCATGGGTCGGGCATTTTAAGGTCAGTGTCACCCTGGCGGCTTACGTCTGCCACGTTCAAAGTCCCGGCCTTCCGGATGAGATAGATCAATATATGCCCGAGTTACCCATATGTGGGTAATTGTTGATATGCTTAGTTGAGATGCTTATGGCTACTTACGCGCTGATGCGTCTGATGCGTCGCATTCGTACTTGAAAGATGTGGTTCTTGATGACAACTATTCACCGTATGGTTTTTATAACCCCCAGATCATCCTTCTCGCCACCACCTGAACATCCGGATCCCAAAACAAATGCGCATTTTCGATACGCATCTTCAGCTATAGACACCCTAAGCCGGATTACGATGGGGGTTCTGGGGTTCTGGGTTCCCAAGACCGGTCCAGATTAGAATAATGATCAAAGGTCCTGTTGATGCAAGATCTAAACTAGCGACACACGGACACAAGGATATAATGACGAACCCAGGCCTCCACAACATATTGTTGTAGTCAGCATACACGAATCAGCTGTGCTGAACCGAACCCAGCCTTACGCCACGACCGCCTTACGCTAATCTTTCTCGGCAATGGCCTGTAATCGTTCATCAATCTCGTCCTCCGTCAGGGTCCTGAAGAACGGATCTGACCCCTCCTTACCGTCCGCTCGGGGGCCTCCGACGATTCCGATCTCAATCTCACCCTTCTTGAAATCCATGCTGAGAACCGTGCTTAACGTAGTGATTGCTAGCTCCACAACATCTTCCCATGTGCCATCTGCGTGATCCTTGTTCTTGAGCTTTTTCTCCAGGTGGTTAAGCGCTTCCTGCTGCTTGGGTCCCGCAGCCGTTCCTTTGTACCCCACGTAGTATCCTGCTGGATCGCACTTGTAGAGCTGCGGTCCGAATTCAGAATCGAGCGATATCAGCGTCGTCGCCACGCCGTAAGGGCGCATATAGGCCTGTCGGAAAGGGTCAGCTTCAGAACGTCCCCAGCTTTACTATTGTTGATGGAGCCTTACTCTCTGTGTATAAACTTGGCTGATATTGGCAAGTCTCTTGGCTAGGGCATCACATGGCATCTCGTATCCATAGTTGTACCTGAACTCGGCAGCTTCGCCCTGGGCGCGCTGTGCAAACGCCCGAGCATCCGCAATGGATCCGGTCATGACGCAACCAACGGAGGGCGAAATCTGGAAGATGTGCGAGACTGAAGAAGGGTCAATTAACTTGTCCTATTGATTACGATTAGCTTCAGCGCGGAATTCGACAATATTGACCGCAACCAGGGTAAAGCTGAAAGTACGTACGGGAACCTTTTTCTGAGAAAGGACCACAGCACAATCCTTGCCTCGGACCCCAATAGACATTATATTTGCAGCGGTGATCGCTTTGAATGCATATTCTGAATGATTGACTGTCAGCTAAATTAAAGACCCCCCACATCGCACTCGCTTTAGCTTCAATATCTTTGGATCCTTTTGATACCCATGACGGCTGAAGGTGACAAGAAAACGACGTTCTTGGGACGCCTAGGACGCTAGAGACAACATACCGACTTGGTAGAGTCTTCCTTGCTCGGAGAAGATTGTGATATGTCGGTCGAAACCGGCGCTGCCTGGAAGAAGCGCAAATCATTAGTTCATATAAGGTGACTAGCTACGGAGGAGGGACGAACGCACCTCCAGACATGGTGAAGTCTTGTTAGGGATGAGAGCTGATGGTACTAATTTTCGGTGAGATTGGACGTAGAGTCGGAAACCGGTGCTATTTGTTCAGGGGGTAGAATATGGCTTTCTTTTTTCTTCTTCCCTATGTGATGATGGACGGTACGAAGAAGTGAGGTCAAATCGAGTGGTGCAGCTCTATTATTAGCCCGGAGCTCTGACGCGCCAGGTTGGAGCCTTGGGATGCAAGCAGCGAGCTATGACTTTGTGGGAAAGCTCGTCTTAGCAGGCTTAGGTAAGGCAGTGTACGCTCGGACCTGTTTTTACGGGTATTACTAAGACCGGTATCCGAAAGATGACTTACCTATGTCCATATTATTAAATCTTATCAACACTCTTATCGAATATATGATAAGATATCAATCCACTAAAAAGTTCCTAATAGCGATATCCATCAATTCATGTCAACCGGACGAATTCTCCACTGAAAAGATTCAATGTGAAGGCTTCATGAAATTTTTATTGGCAGCAATTCCTCCCGTGGAATCTCATCTCACATATATACTTGCCTTAGTACACACGTGTTGCTAGTATTGTACTTACAAAGGCAAATTCCTAAGTCCAGCCACACTCTGAGGCAAGACAAAACAAGTTCAAGCCCGGAGAACTGGAAAAGGCACGTGGATATCACACGGCAGCGTATCGATTTACCTGCTTCTCTGATTCTCACTTGGTTTCTGCTTTCTGCTTTCTGGTTCTCTTAGTGGTAGCCGTCACACACTTGAGCAGATTGCCTTTATATTTATTTTGCCTTTACCTTCACTTCACCTCATCAATGTCTTCCGTTCTCCCAAATGGGAACGCGTCAGCCCAACGAGTTCCAGCGTGGAAACGATTGGGCCTCAAGCTTAAGCCTGCATCTGAAGAGAGCCAGAACGCTACCCTACATACGGATACCGTTGCTCCGCCGGTGCCCAACCATCATCGGGAAAATATTGCCGGCCCTATCAATGTTAATGCAAAGAGGAAATCTTCTGGTGTTCCTGCATTAGGCCATTCGGCGAAAAAGCCAAAACGAGACGCCTCTCAAAGTCAAATTGCTTCCACCCAGACACCATCAAAAAAGGCCAAATCCGTTTCGTTCGCTGCCGAGTCCACCCAACAAGCCGGGTCTGCAGCAACGACAAACAGCACACAAATCAGAAACAAGCAAAAGCAACCATCTCCTAAGAAAGCCGTCGCAGCTCCAGTCAAGAAGCAAGCTGCTGTTAATTTGGAGCCAGCACTTTTGTATTTACGTCAGTGGCACACATCCAAGGACACCTGGAAGTTTAACAAAAATCATCAGACCAGGCTACTAGAACAGGTCTTTGCTGACGAGACCACTATACCGGCGGCTGATATCAACGTCTTCTACGAATATATCCGGGGTTTGAAGGGAGCTGTCAGAACGAGGCTTAGGGAGCTTGCATCAGGCACCAAAGCACAGGACATGGAACTAGGATCACAAGGTTTCTCTGCCTCGAGCAAGGAGATGATTGAGAGGAGGCAGAGGGAATACGAGGAAGTCATTGCGGCTTTTCTACGTCAGCCAAGGATAACAGGGAAGCGACGTTTCGACGAGATAGACTACGTGCTACGGACTTCCGATATGGAGATGCAACGTCGGGTTGTTAAGCGGATGCGTTGTGAGAACGTGTTGGACGAACTGTCAGACAGCGAGACCGAAACAGTATCAACTATGACCACTGCCGAGGATTCAGAGGGCGCTACGAGCGAAGGAGCTACGGCTGCAGCTGAGGATGTTCAACGCCTAAGACTGAACGATGGCCCCCTACAAAGGATCAAGCGAAAGAGGAAATCGCGGACTGTAGTCGTCGACGAAGATACCAATTCAGAATCCGACTCCGGCTCCGATTCTGGTTCAGACTCCGGCTCAGGTAGCAGCGATAGTAGCAGCTCTGATGATGAATCTGGAGACGAAGCAGCGCAGCCCCAATTGCGTACAGACGATGCCGACACATCATCTAGCAGCTCTTCCTCGGAGTCGGAATCTGCTTCTGATGATTCGGACGACGATTCGGAGGATGACAATTGATCGGAATAAAAAGAAAAAATACGTGTATTATCACTGATCATAATAATAGATAGACCGCGCACGTTCTACGCAAAGGATACCCAATTGCAAAATTTGATACATATCAATACGTTATTTCTTCCGTGGTCACTTAGTGAACTATGCCATCCAAGCTTCCGTGATCGTGAACACTTGTTCGAGTATCAAATTCAATTTAGACAATGGCTATGCGTCTTATGCAGCCGAAGCAAACCCCTTAATAAAACGCCACGTGCCCTATATACTGCACGCCCGTATAATAAGAAAACCGCATTACTGTTTACTAACTGAGGCCTTCACTAAGAATCGTAACCGATCTTCCGTTTTACTGATATAGGGGCTCTTATATATAAACCCCTTAATGGAGCTCTGCTCCTGATCTGCCATTTATAGGATACCTTGACATATCCTAAGCCGTTTCATTTTTTAGGCGTCGGTTGGATCCTCGAGATATTCGTAGTCGTCTTCGGGCGGCAGTAACCAGGCAGAGACGGCCAGACTTGTCGCAATCAGAATAGATACGGATCCGCTGATGGTACACAGGATCCAAGACCAATCCAGGGACCAGCCAGGAATGATGAATTGGGAATCAGTATCAAAGAGATAGGCCTAGCTCGCGATGTCAGAAATAACTCGACGATATTTAAGCATCTATACAATAGTGCATTTAATCGAATACCTACCACGATGCCCATACTCGCGAACTCGACGGCGGCGTCGGCAAGCAAAAGGAAGCCGATCAACTTCCATCCCGTCTCGCGCTTGTACTTGCCGCCGGCCATCACGACGAGGAAGGTAATAAGGGTTGCGAGCTCAACGATGGTGGCAAATGAGATTAGGAATCCGCTGCTCCTCCACATGGAGCAGAAGAACTGGTCATCGCGGCAGTCGTCGTCGTTAGGGAAGGGTCGGCACGAGGGATCGTCGACGGAGGAGCAACTCTGGTGAAGTCCAATGTATTTCTTAAACGTCGAGCCCGTGTCTGCGGTGACGGAATACGTGACCCAATGCGGCGTCAAGATAGACACTATGGTCATGACCGTTGCTGCGATAGGTAGTTTGTGTCAGCCATGATGAAGTTGACAATCTCCAGAATGAGACCATACGATCCCCCACGATTCAGCTGTGAACAATCCATAGGTATCTTCTATCCGATTAAATTATTTTCCGTCAAATACAAAATATATCCTCTCCATTCTTACGATAAATACAACTTCTCATAACGAAGAGTAAATGCGACGAGAATGACTCGGCTTGGGTGTTGTGAACAGATTGGATGTTTCTGCCTGTGTAGGACGATAAGGAGATAATAATGACGTACTACACACAAAGACGCCGAGGGCGACGCTATAGACAATCGGGCGCGTCATGGCGATTGCGAACCCGGGGTAGAGAGGAAGAGAAAAAGAAACAGCAAAAGAGGAGAAGGTATTTCCAGTCCTTCAGCTATGTGTATCCCTTTTAAGACGAATTCGAAGGTTCGTCTTCATATCAGATCGTTTAAAACAAAACTGTGGTTCGGAAAGATGCGTTGGGCTGCGGGCTGCGGGCTGTGGGAAGGACAGCAGATTTTGATTGTCGGAGAGATGGTCGACGGCAGCTTAACGGGTGCACATTTCCACAATGCAGATCATGTGGCTGAGGTTACTTTCTAGTGGTTGCGCTGGAATCCACAGAGCCCACATAGCCTGTAAGATTTTAAGCTTTCGGACTACGTAGGTACCTACCTTACCTACCTGGGTATGATCTGTGCTTTAGAGGGGGTTCTCTGTTAGCAGTCATTGGTAGATTGCTCATATGTCGCTTATCTTTAAGTGTCTCCTTCCTGCTTTCCAATACATTCTGCGCCTTCTATTCAGCTACTTGCTTTATTTTGTACTTCCGACCCTCTAATTTACTACTCTCAGCCATCTGTTCCTGTTCCTATTCTTATTCCCATTCCCATTCCCATAAACAAAATGACAAGTCCAATAAAATGCCGAATATACTATAAACCCCGAAGTCTTGAGATAGTTCTCTTATGACTGCTGATGGAACCATCGTAACATGCGCTACTCGAGTGGTAGTATCGTGGGCTGTCATCTGTTTCAAGAATAAGTTTCCGCAAAACACTCACGACTACGGCACACCGCGTTTTCGTAAGATCTGCATCGTATCTTGCTTGCGGTTGTATTTGGCTGGAGCGGTTGCTGCATATGAACATAGCATCCCACACCAACGTCAACGCTACACTTTCCTCTCAGGGACTATCAATATTACGAGATTCCACAGGCGCTTCGACGAGAATTGCTTTTCCGGGTTTGCCGCGGACACTACGTCTACTGCGATTCCGAATACCCCTTATGTCCAGATGCAGAGATGCTGCAGACTATTCAACTCTAAAGTTACCATTTAGCAAGCTGCGCAAGTGCTGCGGCTGCTGCTGCTGCTGCTTGGACATTCCGTCTTTGAAATTCGAGGTCGGGAGTTGATTGGAGGTTGATTGGAGCTTTGCTTCTGATTTTACCTTCTCGGCATGGTATCAATCGTAGTCGAACAGGCGATATCCTTGAAGTTTAGCCCGGTTCCGATTTTGAGGGCACCAATCATGGCCCTTAAAAGGAAGACGTGGCTAACTTGGAGATTGTAGATCTCCTCTCTTCAATTAGGTATACATCTACATACGTAGTGTTACTTCAGTCGTCTAAATCAGATATTCGATACTACCGTCTTTTTTAGCTTGTGAAGACGGTTGAAGGCTACAAAAAAAGGGGGTCGATTCACGATGAATTCCCCATTGTCCGCACTAAAGCATAGATCGACTGACAGTTTAGTTTCGATGCTACCTACCTATCGTGGATCGCAAGAATAGGGACTAAATGTGTGGCTCCTCTAGTCCCCCTTGGTATACATCTAGTAAGGATCTATAACCCAAGGAATCTTATGCAGGTCATTGCAGGTCATTGCAGGAAGTGAACATCACTGGATTTCATTCCGCTTCTATGCCGCAATCTGCATACTGCAAACATACTTACCTAGGTATGTACATACTCAAGATATTGATAATCCAAATCTCAGTGCCAGAGATGTAGGTAAGAGGGTAAGAAGCACGCAAGATCCGATCCCCTACACGTCAACATTTAGCCCTCCCTTGGTGCATTATCTTGCTCCGTACCAACCCGCATTCGGTCAAATGATTCATCAGATAACTGAGACAATCGGCCCTCCTTACAAGCGTCGGACTTTACTAAGATCTCGGTGTTCGCGGACCGGCCGGACTGTGCTGTATCTCATATATTTGTAAACATCTCCTTGTTTGCTTCTTAAAACTTTCTGAGAATGGTCTCGAGATATTTTTTTTACCAGAAAGTCTGGTCTGCTCGAGAAACAACATTGACCCTAGAGGTCGTGGTGTCTCCTAGAGGTCCTTACAAGGCCGCAAGTTCCGCTAATAACGCCATTCGATATTTTACCGTTCTAGACCTACCCATGTCTAGATAAGAGCTAAGGGGATCCCAAGTGCTTTAGACATCCTTTTCGAAATTACCTGTCACGATTATTGATATGGACGGCTGAGCCTACATCTCGTGGTCCTATTCTATGACCATTCCAGAGTCATTGAACTGGGCGAATTCGTCTTGTATAGGTCTAGGGGTTACGGTTGTCATTTTCAGCGATCCCTAGTCTCCATTAGTTCTCCAGCCTATCAGCATATGATACTGATATGTTACAATGGTCGAACACCAACCCGTTCACAACAGCGAAGTCTATCTTTTAGGATTAAGACCGCGTCCTACCGTCCCCCCTCCTTCTCCGCCTTCACCTTTAACGCCGAGAGAAGCCGAGTCAAATAGCAACGCTATCGAAGAGCTCTGCTTAGACGATGTCGAGAGCTTCGAGGACCCATCAGAGACCACCTCGCTTACCAAGCAAAGGATTTCGGGTGCTGTTCATGTTCTAAGCACCGAAGCGACCGCTCTCCGGAGCCTTACCCATTTATATAGGACTAATACGACCGCTATAGAGGGCTTCAGTGCTGCAGTAGGAGCTATAACTAACCACGAAGGCGAACGGGGAAAATTAGTCATAATAGGAGTCGGGAAATCGGGGCATATTTCAAAGAAGCTGGTCGCGACCTTTAATAGTCTCGGAGTTCATGCGACTTTTCTTCATCCTACCGAAGCTCTCCATGGCGACCTTGGCAAGATTGGGAAGAATGATGTTGTTCTCTTTATTACATTCTCGGGGAAGACGCCTGAGCTTCTAGCTTTACTACCGCACCTAGATGCAACGTTACCAGTGATTGTGCTCACCTCGCACACCCGACCAGACAAGTGCGAGCTCATCCGACAGCGGCAAGATGCAATACTTCTTCCAGCACCCATCCATGAGTCCGAGATAGTATCGTTCGGCGTTTCAGCCCCCACAACATCTACTACTGTAGCTCTCGCGCTAGGAGACGCGCTCGCGGTAGTAGCATCTCGGGAGTTACATTCAACGGTCACATCAGTTTTTGCAAAAAACCACCCTGGCGGAGCCATCGGCCAGGCATTTACTAAACCTCGTCAAATCCGCGATATTATAATCCCACTCTACGAGATACCAGAGTGGCCAAATTCAAGCGGCGAGGCTTGCGGCGCAGATGTACTAAAGCTCGGCTATGATTCAAAATCTGGGTGGGCTCGCGTTAATGACGCGATCGCCTCCCCGACGCGTATTAGACGGCTTGAAACGGCACATATGGCATGGCGAATATCTGATATTCCAAATTTAGTAGTTGACAGGAGCGAATGGATTAGCATCCGTGCTAACACAAGGATATCACAGGCTGCAGAATGGCTTAGAGAGCCCCTAATGCCGGCTGATTGTGGCGAGGCGGTTTTCAGCGAAGATTCTATCTTGGCGGCCGTGGAAAATGGAGAGATAATTGGTGTTCTGGAAGTCGGGCATCTTTTAAGCCTGCAGGAGTAAAGAGGGCAATATATTGAGTACGGGTGTTCGTCAGGTACAAACCAGCAGACGAGATGACATCTGTAGGTAATCCTAGGTAGGAAAGATCTTCCTATATACCATAGTTAGGATTGCTTCTTGAATAATATTATAAAAGGGATGGAAGGATCTTCGTTCTGGGCCTCCAGATACCAGCCATCCGATGACCAGCTCATGTTTTCTGACTATTCAGTTTATATGACTGCTTTTTTCATAAGTCAATACTACGATATGTTGACTTTAAGAATGTATAGTAAGCCAATTAAGTATGCCAGTATTCAATTATTGCTTTCACAATATTTCGAATACCCGGATACCAACAGGAAGTTAAAGTATAACTAAGAAGTACTTTACCTAGGTAGTTATAGGCTATAATCAAGGGGCAAGGGCTGTTACAGCATATATACTGACAGCTTCACCTACGCCATCTGACTTTTGATAATTTGAGCAGGGGTAACTTAAATCATTGGAGAGTTCTATTCTATTAAATAAAACAACTCTCTCGACTGTGTAAGTCGACATGGGGGAACTGCTTAGCGCCGGAAAACAAGTATTCCGAAGTACCTTGAGAATTACGCTGTTAAAACTAATATTAATACGACGGGGCGGAAACTCAGGAGAACTGTCTGTAAAACTAGAAAGATGTCTACCTAAAAGGTAGGTACATAATCCAGTCTGTAGCATCAGGAACAATCCGATATCATAAACATGGTATCCTCCCCGAAGATGAATAGGAGAGACATAAGGAAAGCAATAGATCATGCTTTAGACTGCACAGTGATAAACCACGCACCATTAAAAACACTGATAAGCAGTATCATCTGGGTAAAGTTAATATGAAGTGTATAATAGCCGTGGTATGAACTGGAGGAGAACCAATTCCCATATCCGAATGGCTACGCTGGTACATTCCTATCCCAAATTATATATCCGAACCTCTGAAGGGTCGGCATCGATTCGGTGCTACACTAAAATCCTTGGTTGACATTGAAGACGCAACAAGTGGATTTCAAGCAGGACTATATATTAAGTGTCGATCTGGAAACTAATACTCGGTCTTTGGGCCAATATAAGTGCGCCCAATAAATAATAAGAGATTCTTTTCGCGAAATAGAAGTATATGAGAGGATCTTCTTTTCATTGAAAAAAGGGGTTGGAGGTAAGATGCTGGATATATTTATTTCTAGAGCGGAAGACGTGAAAGTGGAAGTGGAGAGACAGTTGTATATTTAGACGCTGTGAAGACTTGGAACCCGATTTGAGTATCTACATGTACTTACTCTGAATACAAACTCGAGTAATACACTCGCAAGGTTAACTGCGTTACCGCTGATGTTGATTTCGAAACGCTCATTACTTAATCACGTTGGGGGTTGTATAGCCCTGTGAGGGATTATAGGGGAGCATGGGAGCTTGAGTTACATTATACGCAGCAATCCGTTACGATTTGTTACTAGGTATACAGATATAAGCGAGAAATTATATCGAAAGGTGTCAGGGGATAAGTGGGTAGGGTAAGTTCAAGCTGAGTTCTAGGATGGACCTTTGGGATAGTAATTAAATGTATAACTCCGAAAGATATAATTTATATACGCTCTAGGTAGTACTTGTAATCTTATGTTCTACTGAGCTATACGGCTTTCCTAATCTTAATAACTAGTGGTCTACTGATCTGATTGTGGAATGTATAATAGGTGAAATAGGAAATGAAAGTCACGGAAAGGGTTTATTTCGAGCTATATCGAGCATTGAGGTTTAATCGACTGTTGTTGTGTAATTCTGTTCTCTATGTTAGGTAGTTATTATTAGTCCCAGGGAAGAGACCATTACGGATCACTTCGATCGCACCATATCCTCTCGAATTGCCATTTTCTTTCTCTCACGGCCTTCCACAATGAAGATAGGTAACCCCTCCTTTACTGACGGTACCGATTTAGTGTTTTTAGTAGACGGACATTTACATTTGGTCTCGTCCTGGTGGTTCATTAGAAGAAATCTACCTAATATATACATACAAAATATACACAATGAGTTTTTGAACAATGTAGCCTCCCATATCCGTGTATGCATTTCCCTCTGTATGCTCCTTTATATGACAGTATAAACATGGTTGATATTCTTGGTGATATCAACTAAAATACGGTGTACACTTGAATTTCAGGTATAACGCTTATGATAACGATGAGTAGGTAAATTTCGAACGGACTCCATAGAACCCCTGCGTCATAGCGTATGTGATAGCATGTCGATATTACTATCTGCTTTCCAATTACATTATTGGGGAGGGTGATAGTGCGATGATGAAGACGACGATGGCGGTACGGCCCTGGCTGCTGCTAGCCATGGTGTTGATAAGGATACTTTTACGTTCCGATCAAACTCCCCTTCTAATTCCATCCGCCTCCTCATCTCTTCTTCTGAATCGTGGTGGGGTGGCCCCATGAACCCTGTTCCTATATTGCCGTCTATCTCTTGATATGGCGTCCCCTCTATTTCTGTTGTCCTTTCGTTTATACGTTGGTACAGTGAGCCCTCCATCTCCCCGTGGGGCACTGTCCTGGCATGTGTGTGTGTACTTGATGCTTGTGGTAGTGGTAAGCATGGCGTCGAGGCATCCCAAGCATCTCTTTCGTGTGGCGGGTATTGATATCCTCCGGATAGGCTGGGTGTTTCTCGATGGTCGGACGGGTACGTCGGTATGGTATGAGCGTTGGCTTCTATACCCTTTCCCCCACCACCGGTCGAGAATTGCGCGATATTGGCTGTCGAGGGTTTCCTTCGGGCTGCTTTCCGCGTTCTGTATAGCATGAATAGACCGGCACCTAAGGCTGCTAGTCCGGTAACACCTAACGATACACCGATGCCAATTCCAGCTGCGACACCCCCTGAAATCCCGCTTCCACCGGACGCCGAACAACTGGAATTCCCAGTTGCTGCATGGTTCGCTAATGCATCTGCGACGGAGGCGTCGCAGTTGTCTGCACTATTTGTTGTAGATCCAGTTGGGGTGGCAAATATCCAGCCGTTTACAGGAATCCCTGATACTGCTGTATCTGCTGTGACGCTGGAACTGGTAATTTTCCAATCGGGGTCTCTCTGAGCATAGGTAACTACAGTTCCCTTTTTAAGCTGTGACGTACACTCGCCCGTATCTCCTGGGCCCTGGAATCTTGCGAAGTTATATTCTCTACGGACAAATAATTAATACACCATTCCAAAATCGTCATATCGTTAAACGTACAATGGGCAACATGCCACATAGGTACTTGAAGCATCTTTAGCAGATACTGTGGCAGTATAGTAATCGCTCGGACACGTAATCGGTCCTAAACTAAGTATCGTCTCTCGAATGGGACCAAGCCGCTCTTGTAACCACCAGGTCGTCACAGGCTTGGGGTGGCATGTGGTTACACCTCCAACTGATAGTCCATAGCCCGGGTCCCATGCAGCAATGATGGTAGGTACAAATTTCCAAAGGGAGTTCTCGCAGCCGGGTTGATGAGGATGCGCTGTCGGGATAGGGATCCAGGAAGTTACGATACCTGTATTCGTCTCTGGGAGCCGGTTCATTGTCGGTCACGAAGCTCAGAACAAGAACACCATAGAAGACTACCTGAACTATGGAGGGGAAGAAAAAGAAAAAGAACATGATTCAGCTCTGAAAATATGCCGGCATGGGTGGGCCATCTCACTATTTTATGAGGATTCCCTAGAAGCTAACCCCTACAAGGTAGATTCAATATATGCTGGACATAATAGTAACGAAATTTAATTGGTGGCTTCTATTTCTGTCGAATTATGTACCATGCTCGACAAGCCTCGCTAGGGTTCTGCATCACATAGTCTACCTGTCGGGAATAGCGCTGGGGTTGCTGAGGCGCGAAGGATCCGAGCCTGAAGGACAGATGGACAGATGGATAGATAGGGCTAGGCGTCTTGCTAAGATACCACGCGACGCGGAACTCATCAATAGTGGTACTTATTGAGAGCCTATCATAAGGAGAGAACAAAGTACGCTTTTTCCTTCTTAGGTCGTTAGCGGTATTATATTCATTTGGTTCTCCATCTGATATCCTACATGCTTGTATGGCATTGAGTGCTTGGAAGCAGCAGCTGGGGCGCATAGTCTCGTGTAGGTATGTATTTTGAAAGCCCTGTAAGTCCAGCCACTTCTCTAGAGTTCAACCACGAGATGTTCTTTGGATATCTTGCTGTGGTTGTTTTCGCTTTAGCATCTCGACCACCCCCAGGTCTAGGTATCCTAGCAGCCAAGACTCTAAAACTGCAAAGGCAAATTGCTTTGATTCAGCTCGAAAACTGCAGTCAGCAATTATGGGGCTGCCGGGGTGTCCCGCCAAGATCCAGCGCAGTAGTGGAAACGAAGTTGTGACTGGTAGAAGCGTGATAGGGCTGAATCTAATAAGTCAGTCTTGCTTATAGGTAGGTATACTACAGGTAGGTAGGTAAGTAGGTATCGCTTAAGTCAGACGAGAAAAGATACCTATCTATAAATTGTATCGTCTCATGAATATATACATATCACACCCCTTTTCCGCCACATGTGTGTCTAGATCAAGTTAGCACATGTTGGATATATAGTACTTAATTATGTCTTATTATATCTGCATAGTTAGTATAACGCCTAATTTTGTGGTCTTAAGAATTCTAATGTGGTCAGATAAACAACCCCCTTCATAATCCTCCCCTCTTTAATATCTCCTAGGAATCGAACTTCAACCGGCGCTTCATCTGTAGATAATGTCTCTAGCGCCTCTCTGATTACACTCTTTTCTGCTTCGTTGTTCCATCCATAAACTTCGATGACCTTTGGTCGAATATTTCTCGGCTTTGCGCTAATGGCATTCACCAGTCTGTCTAAAACGGTGTTAACCAATCTACAGCACCCCAAGCTGCAATAACATTCTTCAAGGCTTATCTGGAGCCTATTCAAATTCATATTTTGCACATCCGTCACACGGTCGTCCCAGGAAGAAAGCAACTCGTTCATTGCGGAGTCGTGAAACCGCCGCATATATGTTTCCGAGTCGAATTCCGCAGCTACGCCCTCCTCTCCACCATCTTCTCCGTCTTCTTCTCCGCCTAACTGGAAACGCAACTTATGGCTACGTTGGAAGTTAGTCCAAGTGTCGTCCCGCATGTCGAAAGTGTGACTTATGTCGCGCATATGATTAGGGACCCAGATGGAGGATGGAAGGCTCTCATGGTTGCAGAGCATGGGGAAGTCGATATTGCCGGGTGGGAAGACGAAACGGTTGCGCCCATAAAATATTGGCATCGTTTCCGCTTGAATTGCGTGGCTTACGCCGCAAATCAAGCCAATACTTCGCCCATATCTGAGCCCCCAATTGTTCGGAAGGCCCTTATACCGCGGGTACACCCGGCCACGAGAATCACGAGTAAGCTTGGTATCATAATTTACTCCATAGCGCATAGGTGTCGTATTCGGCATGAATATTGTCCCTTTTAGTAGGTGGTACTCATAGACCATAGCACGGATCTCAGGAGATAAATGCACTACAGTACTCTAGATTAGCATCATTCTACTTGGTCAGCCAGACGAGAGAAAGGTAAAAGAGTGAAATGTGCAGAGGTTCGATACTACTCACTGAAGCCGTGGAACTCGGGCTGGGTGTCTCTACGCGCGAGGCGGAAATGCTCCAGAGTATCCCCATGGACATGCTGTATCTGCCCCTTTTCTGTGGATTTATTGGCCTGTCTCGCCCAATATTCTTCCAGACGCGTCGCCCAGTCTTTCGTGCGTTCTTCTGCGAATATCTTTGCGTATTCGTTAGGGAGGGAGTCCGTCATCTCCCAAGCTAAGGCCTGTTCTATAGAGACAGGCATCGTGTATCGTGTATGTTAGCAAAATCTGAAGTGTATATTGAGAGGAAGTAAACTGAGAACCGACCACAACGCACGACTTGTTCTTATACTCGGGACGTAATACCGCTTGTTTGTTGGATGTTATCCAACCACAAGGAAACTGTTACGTGAGTGTTCCCCACATGGATCTCATCCCGCACCAAGCTTAATAGTCTACACCGCCTCCGATTTCTTTGGAGTATATCACGAGAACTAAACAGGATGGAAACAACTTCATTGTTAACTACGGGAGTCTATGTCTATGCATACTGAATATGTCCTTTGTTCTAGATGTCTTATCTAGAATCCTCACAGTATTATAGGTATATGAGCTTATATATACAAAAGAGTTAGTAGGTGTGAAAACAAAGAAATGCCGGTTCTTTAATCATACATTCCAACATCTTGGCTGTGACTTAACTGATTCGCTTGATTTATTTATATTATTTGAAAACTACCTACTTGCTGTTACCTCTAGAGCTATTACTACAGCTAAGTAGTGACGGAGAGCTAGAATTAGACGCCACAACTCCCTTGACTAGTATTCACACATCTCCAAATTTAAGGCATTTGTTAATAGACACCTAGAAATGGGATTTGCGGTTGTACAAACAGTCTTGCGTGTCGAAAACGTTGCTGTACAATACTCGCCTCTTAAAAGGTTACATCCCTAGGTTACTAAGGTACCAAACCGAATCATCACTTATAGTATCTGCTAACAACTGGACTCTTCTCGGGTTCAACAGTCCGTAGTTTCCTAAGGTCACGGTGTTTGAAGTATAGGTACCTAGCTGCTATTACAATTTGCCTTGTAAATAAACATTAGGAGCCTTCTATTATGGAGAGTAAACTCACAAAGACACCCCCAAGCATATCTAGGCACCTATATGATACTTGTAAAGACTTCAACTCTGGTTTAATATCTCTCAAGGATGTCTGAGCAATTCACATTCCACCCATACTTTGGCATTGCACTACGAGTATAGGTACATCAGTAATGTCTGGGCGATGATCTTGCGTCTTACCTCCTAAATACTTGGAACTAGGAGGGGGTGCTTGGGGCGGAAGTGAATTGGTGAGGTCTAAATCAACTACTGATCTTATAGCTACTACCGCTTAGCCAGGGTCAGCCCTTAAAGCCTTAGAGGGACTACGTAGCGCCGTCGGCTCGGATATCAGCTGATAACAGCAGAATAATCCCCCGAAGGTACGTAGCTATCGAGTGTAACATGTTCATTCGACATCACATATAATAGGTAATTTTGGTGACAGTTTTGGTAGAGCTGTACTTGGGATTGGGAATGGTAATACTAGCTGTCTAGTCCTATCAAGAAATTCTGCAAGGGGGGACTTGCTGGTAAGATACGAGCCTTAGTATAGGGTAATACGGATGCAGTGAGATAGGCAGTGCAATAACAGACGAAATTAGCGATATTATTTGCTTCAAGCTAATCAAGCATTTCGATCCCTTGAAAAGACCTATCACATCTGATATTGCATGTGGTGAGAAAAAGAAGCCAATGCCGTTTAGCTACCCGTTACGTAGAAGCCATCGTGCACGGACCAAGCAAGATGGTTGTATGTATCACCAAATCGATATATAGTAATTTATCAGCAATTGGCTTTCACGAAGCACGTGAAGGCCGCTTGGCCCAATGGTAAGGCGTCTGACTACGACCGAGCATGGGTGAAAACATGCTTGACAAGTTATCAGGAGATTCTGGGTTCGAGCCCCAGGGTGGTCATCTTTTTGCCTATTCACAGTATGTAAGAATATGTGCGAATGGGTTCGCTTAATACTTAGGTAGCCTAGTTCTTCGGCCAGTTCCGGGCATATTTTTACCTAATTTTTCAATAATTATTTTTGAGCAACAATTAGAATATGCCGTGGTAGAGGTTATCACATTGAATGACAACGTAAAATATAATGAGAACTTAACCATGTCTACCAACATATAGCCTTGGGAAGTAAGAGAAATATAACGGTTACTTAACATAAGCATCAAGTCTAAGTATAATATATCATGGTTTTGGATAACTTGAAATAGGTTTTTAACAAATCCATGATAGCCAGAGGCCGAGGGTAGTTGTTTAAGAACCGGGTTTCGGGGTAAAAGACAACTGGACTTGAGTATCTCGGCAGAATCTTGTGAGATAGATACTGAGTATTGAGAGGTAACTAATATTGAATATGCCTGTACCAAGTTCCGTTACTCATATTAATGTGTGCGGTTTAAGTGACATAGACCTGACTACTTGTTTAATACCCCTAGGTACCTGGCGATTCTCCCATATCTAACAACAGAAGTAACTACCAAATTACGACGACCCAGAGGATATATCGTATACACGCCCAGGCCACTAGAAGGAGGGGCGAGGGGATCAGAAGGGTGAAGACAGCTCCAATGTCAAGACCAAGTCAAGCAGAAATATAGGTAGGTAATATTTAAGCGAATTCTAAATACATCCAACCTAAAAGTGCTGCCAATCCGTAAGCCAAGGTTTATTACCCTGCGAGAAATCAACACCATGCTTATAATTTCCACTCAATTCCTCTTCGTCGACACCGCAATGCACATATCCGTCGCGACCGGAGAACCACCCCAGGCCATACGTCTTGCCCAAGCTCTCGAGCCGCGTGTGCATCTGCGCATTGGTAAACTTGGCCGTCCCCACGAAATCATACAGCATCTTGCTCTGGTGCACGAACGCGAGCACGCTGGCGATCGTGCTCGGCTGCCGCGGGAGGAACGGGTGGCGCCGGCGGATAAATATCGCTGTGGCGACGATGAATAGGTATATCAGGATCAGGACGGTTAGCGCCAGGGACACGGTGAACGAGAGCACCGTTTCCGAGCCGGAGCCGACGCCCTTTTGCAAGAACTCGTCGCCCAGCTCGTCGTTGTGGTCTTCTGCCCTGCTTAGTATCTCTATGAAGTCCCGGCCTTCGACAGTGGCTAGACTAGTGACGAAGATCGTGAGAGCCTCTACCATGATGGTGCCCCACCCAACCAAGAACACCATCCAATGCCGGTTGAAGAGCGCACGCGCGGCGACTACCGCGAATGGCATGGCTGTGTAGTCGAGGGTCAGCGTCTTGGCTGGTGCGTGCCGCTTCGAGAGGATGTAGTACGGCTCCATCATGCGGATCGCCGTCTCCAGGCTGCCCCAAGTCAGTTTAATGAAAACTGCGAGCAAGGTGACGACCCAGGGCGCTTTATTTGTTAGTACGCTAGCTGGCGTAAACAGGAACACCGGTATGAAACCCAGGAACATCAATATCCCGATTATGAAGGGTATGCAGCCCTCAGCGCGCAGCATGAGCGGGTGCGGGTTCTCGGGTAGATGCGCGTCCCTGTATCCATCGCTCTCCAGCGCGGACACCTGTTCGAAATCCTCGGGTACCAATGACGAGTTGCGCAAGGCGTACCGCCTATTCTTGAGCTTGTGGTGGATGTCCTTTGGCTTGGCGATGTCCATGTCCCTAAAGTCCATCATGATGTGGCTGACGACAGCCATCGAGGCCAGTCCCGCAATCCCCTTGACATCTGAGAGCAGGCCTGAGCGTCGCGTGTTAAGCTGATAGAATAACACGCACCCTAGCACTGCGATGACGAAGAACGCCATGGTTAGAAGACGGGATAGGATAGGGTTTATGGTGATGGTCTTCTCGACGTCAGGGTTTGAAAGCCGTACTTGCCGGTCCGGCCCCACGACCAGCGCGGCCGCGCCGAGAGTGGGCACTAAGGATACGGCGAGAAGAGTTGCTAGGGATGAGGTAGCCACTGCATAGTGTCTCCGCTGCAGGGCGCGAAACGGCCGGGTGAAGTTGAACAAGGTGATATAGTCAACGTTGACTGACTCCGCCGCTAGCGCCCCCCCTTCCTTGGATAATTGATAAAAAGCCTCGAGCCGCTTGACTTCGAAGTCTGTGTTTTGCCACAGCACGCCATACGTGACGGTGATTATCGTCGGGACAAACTTAAAGATGAAATAGTAGCCAGGTCCGAGATCAGTGGCGTTGTGGAATTTGATGAGAGGAGTCTCGGTGGACCTTTGGAAGAGGATCTCCTGAGTGATGGCGAGGCCGACGGATAGGAGAATTAAACCCGTTACTGTAACTAGGGTTAGTGATGATTCATGTCTATTCCATCAGAATCACCGGGCGTCTTCATAGGAATTATCCGATAACTCGGGGCTGGGTTTCAAAAAAAAAAATAGTCAAAGGGGACCAGATTTGTTCGAGATTTACTCACTATATGGCCACCTCATAGAGAACGGTTTCCAATTAGGCTGTGGATAAAAAACCTCGGTCTTGGTCTCCTTGCTGGGGAGTTGCGAGTGTCGACGGTTTGGGTCCGACCCAACTACGTCAGGTCCAACCATCGTACTCAAGTCTGCAGGTTCTTCCATGATAACTTCTATCACATCTCCCCTCCTATTGGCCTCACTCTGTCCTAGCTCCTTTAACCCCGCCCTCGATCTTGAACTAGACACACTCTTCATCGAAAAAGACCTAGTGAAGCTCCTTTTAAGAGATGACGAGCTTGCTATAAGCTGCTCTCGCTTGATCGTTGCCGTCGGACTCATCCCTTCCCCTAGGCCTCCGGTTAAGTGGCCTCTGGCTTCCTTCGCTTGTAGCGATTTGGTGAAATTTTGGTCTTGGGCACCTATAGGCCCGGAGAAAGAAGATAGATCGACTGCTGGTTCATTGCTAGCGACGGAATCGTATGGACCAAAGTGTCCGGGTGGCGCAGCTGCGCGGAGCAGGGACATGTCGATACTCTCATCTTCGTGAATTGTATCTTGGTGTCTGACACAGACGCTCTTGTAACGCCCGAAAGTTGAGTTGGAACGGCTGGTAGGCACTACAGGTTGGTATCTCCCACCTCCAGATCCAACAAAGGGTAGTGACCAAGATGGCCCTGACCTATAGGCATTTCCATCTGACGTGCCGTCTAACTGTTGAGATTCGTAGGCGGACTGAAGTGACACGAGGGACTCCCGGCCCCTAATTCCGGCAGGGGATGTCTCATCGTTGTACGGACTGTCCGACAGATCGGAGACTTTGTGGTTCAGGTAATGTGCGGGTTGCCGGGGCGTAAATTGGAAATGGTTGTTATAGGCCATGCCTATGGTCGCATTATCTTCACGCGATGGCGGAGTCTTGCTAGGTTAGGTAGTTTACACTACTTTCGACTGATGAAACGAGCGGCGATGCGGTGGTTCTGTGTTCCCGCTATACAAATCTGTAGTTATCTCTAGGCTACAGATCGCAAGATATTCCCTCCAGTAGTAAACCCACGATTACACTCATCCAAGTTCAAATGGGGACTCTGTGAGCGCCGTATGTCTCAGGTAGTTTAACTCTCCGCTTGTGAGTGCCGTTTGCTTGGCTTCTTGCTCCGGTTGTACCGCGTGGATTCGTAAGCTATAGTTGACCACTAATACAATAAAAATGGTCTAGTTCTTTAGAAAAGGAAGGACTAGTAGATCAGGTACGTATTATAAGGATGTCGTACTGAAGTATTACGACATGTAGGAAGCTCTATCAAGTTCCGCTAGTACGTAGTCGCATAATGGAAGAAGCGCGCTATAGACAGAGGAGAAAGAGATCGTTCAGACAGATGCGAGAAATATCCTCCTCAACACCCGGATTCTAACAATAGGTACCTATTCAATCATTTTCAGCCGCTAATGGCCAGCCAAGTGGGCAAGCCAGCGACAGGCCGCCAGCTTCAGCTGTGGACCAAGCTTCCCAGGCAACAGGAGGAAACGTGAAGAAGCTAAGAAGTTGGGGTCAGACATGCCGCCATGGTATGGTTATGGATTCCTATCCTGGCAAGTCCCCGGTTTATGTCCAGCTTTCACAGCCGCACCGACTAGGAGCGGGACTAGCAACCGAACCGAACCTCAACGGCTGAGATTGGTCAGTATGAGCGCCATTACTGATAATCTAGCCGCCCAAAGAAAAAAAAAATGAATGGGAGGCCTTAGCTTCATTTGCAAGTATAGGGTAAAAACGTGAGACGTCGTGGCCAAGTCCAAGAACTTCGAGCAAACAATTATACACCATATATAATCCCGACGATGACGTTACTGCGGAGAAACCCAGCAATATATCATCCAAATGAGATGGGTGCAGCTACGCAAGTAAGCAATGAAATGCACCATGCAATGCGCTTCGGGAATTACCCGTGAATAGATTGGTCTGCCATCGTCCGATAGCAGGTAGTGACGCTTCCATCAAGATTTCGACACCGGATCATGCAGAGAAGATAGCAGTCGATTACCTTAAACGTTTTCGCTTCCCGGTCTTTGCGACTCCTCCGTCACACGGGGGGAACCTCTGTAACATTCGACAGAATTGAAGGGGCCTATTGCAAGGCATCACAGAATCTACCGATTCTCGTGGTTGTGTTATACCTTTCCGTAATATTGTAATTGACAAGCGCCTCATTTTATATAATTAGCTGCTTCGAGCTTCTCGTCCAAATATGGCGTTGTTTTTCCTATGCCCCCGTATACATTTTTGCCAATGCAATGTCCGAGTCTACGTGGACTGAAGACGAGATTCGATACTTCCGAGCCTTGCTTGCGTGGGTAGCGAGCGATGAGGAGGATGGCAGTGGTTATGATAAATTACCTCCCCCAGAGAGGCATGCAGGAGAATTCATGTTCCTTGTCCTAGGAGACAAAGGTTGTGGGAAGACATCGCTTCTAGAAAAGGTAATCATATCTAGAAGATTATGCCTTCTGTGTTCTAACAATGCGCAGTTCTGCTCCGGTACATTTGCCGAGGAGGATCGGCCATCGGAACTTGACGAGCAAGAACGAGGCTATCGCCATATTCTAAGAATTGAGGACCAAACTTATGTCATCAATGCCTTAGAACTTCCATCTCGGCATCTATCCAGTGAGGAGCAGCTCACACAAGCAGTGCAGATTACGGAAGCTGTTGTCTTGGTATACGATGTCAAGTCGAGAGCGTCCTTCACTCTCCTCCAAGACGTCTACAATCATATTCGCGATATGATCGGGCAGACGCGCACGTATGGCCTCATGCTCGTAGGTACTAACTCCGACTGCGAGGATGAACAGCGAGAGGTATCCTGGGCCGAGGGTCGCAAGCTCGCGGCAAGCTTCGGGCTTGGATGCGCGTTCCTCGAGACCTCGGCCAAATCAGGTGATAATATCGACAGGATTTTCCCACAGTTGGGGAGGGAGGTCCTCAAGTTAAGGTGGCTTAGCCATCAGCGGAGAGAAGAGGCTGAAAGACTCTCTATTGATGCGAGGCAGCGCTCCATCGATATTTCTTCTGCGAAAGGGATAACGAGGTGGAGATCATGGACTCGACCTTGGTTTCAACGAAGAGTAGGAGATCGTAAGGTGTCAGCTTCCTGCTAAGTTCTAGTATCCTTCTTTTCAAAAGGAGGCTTCTATAATTCAATTAAGTCTGTCTTGTGTCGTTCTCGTTGATAGGTAGTAAGACGGAACATCAACTTTCTCTGCTGATAATTAGCTATGTAAGAATAGCTATCATTTTCGTAACGTGAGCGTGTGTATCCCGCAACAGGAAGATATGAACAAGTCTGCGACGTAGACCTGCTCATAGCGATATGGTTGGGTCTTCATGACACGTAACCTAGGTACCTATTAGCCTATTAATACAACAACCATTTAGTCATTCAAGCTCTACTGTAGAACATCTTATTACATGTGAATGAAAAAAGTAGACGGTTGATTTTCAATAGATAGGTACCTACCTAGGTGTTGTCTTGCTTATTTATATACAACTAAAATAAATGAGTAACAAAACAAATACACTTGACAATTTTTAGGTAGATACTTTTCTTAGGTCCAACTTAATAAGGGACATATAGGCAAGTGTAGTACAATAGTCTTTCCGACTAATAGTGAATGCATCAACAGTCATATTGACGAGAATGAAAACATGTACGTACATATTAAATTAACAATTCGTGAGGCTGAGGCGTCCATTGATGACTGCAGCGGGAGGATTCATAACCCAGTTAATTAGCACGGATCACTCGGTTGCGACGTTCCATAGTATGGGTATTCGGCAATACCACGCCGCAAAGATCTTAGATGCCAAGATACCTACATCGGTTTTCTGGAGTTTGGAATTATTAGTTAACTATCGTTAAAAAAGGATGACCCAAGAAACTTTAGATAGCAACTTTTATATATATATATATATAGGTAGATAACGACATTGAATCCTATTGCGTGCATGCCTGCTGTTTGCAACGGGTACGCACATCATAAGATCCTGAAAGTTTGGTTGCTATGAGACATGAGGAGGGGATGACGACAGCTTGCAGGATTGGAAGATCTTGATACTATATGTATGTAGAGACCATAATGAGATCAGCTGGATCAACAATGCACGGCTCGCCCGGTCGCATATCCAATGCAGCCAACACAGCCTATCTTTTTACAGAAGAAAGAGAAAATAAAAACAGACAGGACAGGACAGGACAAACTAATTGATGATAATCGGCTAACCGGTTGCCGATTGAACTTCATTGGCGCTCGTGTTGGTAATACGGCTGACTATCTACCTACCTAACCTAGTTTGGTCGGGGGATACAATTTAAGATGCAATTAATCGTAAATTTTCAAAAAGGTAATTAAATACGAGTAACTATGAGAATGAGAAAAACGGTCCTGTTCAGCTTAGGTTAGCTTGTTCCTCTTACGCATTTGCATGTTTAGAACCTCATCTGTATTTAGAATCTCATTAGAATCTCATCTGTATGGATTCTACATAATGGATGGGTTGCTTACTTTTACCTACCAAGAAAGGCGAGATTTAATAAACCGACCTGACCGAGCGACGTGCCCAGCTGCTTAGCATGCTTAGCATGCTTAGCAGGAGTTGCGCGTTCTCGTGTATTGTATGTATGTAGTCGCTAAGAGTCCGGAAGAGGGTCTGGTGGCAGTGCATGTAAGAGACGCTTACCCCTTATTGGCTTGCATTGGCGCCGCCAAAACCGGCCGTGTTTCGAACTTCGTCTCTGACTTGGGGATAACCGCTGGTCAATCATACCTAGTCGATCAAGAGGAGTTGGTCACAGATCACTAGGTGCTCTGGTGTGGATAGGTAGGTAGGTTCTAAATCATTTAAGCTCGTCTTCACCATTCAAGTGATGTCAGATGCGGGATGATGCAACCCAGATTTTGCCTCCTCAAATCAATTCGCGAGCAAATCACAAAGAGGTTAGAATATTTATGTAAATTCCAAATTTATTATGCAAGTTTCCATGTGGCCTTGATGGGCTACTCAAGTTCGAATTAAACCTAAATGGGAAGTCTTAAATTCTTAGTTCTGTCTTGGAGCCAAGCGCCCACCCTTTTAGTCCAGTATTAGTCCAGTCTGGGCAAGTATCAGCAAGTAATCAGCAAGTATGCGAAATACGTACATATTCTGTGCCGTTAGACCCAGACTACAGGTACCTACTCACATTAGGTACATATATAGGTACCTTGTCATGTACATATCATGTCAGTAGACGCATTCCTGTAACAATATATGCCGCTAAGAGGTAGGTAAATCGAGAAGGAGTAACTCAGATAATGGAATAATTAATCAATACGGAAATGACTAGCCCCCTTTGTGTATGTACGCGTTACCTCCCAATTTTATTCCACATTCCCGCATTCCTCCCCCCCTGCCGACCTCGAAACCGCTTGCTTTTCCTGTCCTTTACATCCACCACCTTGAAATGGGCGCACACAATTCTCCCATGCTTTAGGACCAGTCACTCGCTTTAACTCTCTCTTCTACACTAACTCTCCACTAATTACTTCTCTCCTACATCATCGACTAGTTGGTGTAAAATAATACCAGGAAGAGCCCATTCTGCGAACGGGTCGTAGTTATTCTTTCCTGGCTTTTTCAATTCCAACCCCCTTTTTTCAACGCCACTCGTTTTACGTAGGGAGGATAGGTAGAAGTCTTCGGGACAGGCGACCGACCGGCCAAGAAGAAGTAGGAACAACCTCTCCAAACGTCCAAACGACAGATTACTCCCGCTATCCCGATTTCCTCTACTCCTCTGGATTGCGTTCGAGACCCTCTCGTTTGTTTGAGTGAGAACAATCGACGAGCCTCTTTGTCGATAACCGCCTAGACACGCTTACGAATGTGGTTGAATAACTATCAACAAAGGAAAACATAGCGGATACAGCAGGTACCGCGTCGCCGGACCTCTTCAGGACAGAAGAGCCCAGAAACAACTTTAATTATACAACACTATCACAGATCAGCAACTATGTGGTTGTCAACAATAAGATCGGTCGCGCTCTTGTCAGGGCTTGCGGCTCTTACTCCGGGCGCGAACGCTGCAGAGCCCATGCTCATCTCGAATTCGTTGAACAATTGCCAAGAAGATTCGCAGTTTACTGCCAGTCTCTTCCAAGTTGTCTACACTCCGTCCAACAACACAGCTTTCCTAAACATTGTCGCGACATCATCCGTTGAAGGAAAAGTCAATTTCGATGTTGACATCTCAGCATATGGCTACAAGATCATTGAGACAACTATCGACCCTTGCAAGGTCGGGCTAGCTGGTCTCTGCCCCATGACTGCGGGTAAGATTCCGTTGAAATTCAACTTACCTGTTGGCGCGGAAGCCGCTTCTCAGATTCCTAGTATTGCCTACAACTTCCCCGATCTAGACGCCACCGTCCGTGTTACCTTAAGAATGGTCGATACGAAAAAGAGCGTTGCCTGTGTCGAGGCCGATATCTCTAACGGCAAGACTGTCAACTTGATTGCTGTTAAGTGGGTTCTTGCTATCATTGCTGGTTTGGTACTATGTTCTTCAGCTATTATCAACGGCCTTGGTCACTCTAACGCTGCTGCCCACATCGCTTCCGGCGCGCTTTCGCTGTTTAGCTTCTTTCAAGCCCAGGCCATTCTCGGTCTAACCTCTATCCATTTACCCCCCGTTGTCCAGTCGTGGACTCAGGATTTCCAGTGGTCGATGGGCATCATCAATGTCGATTTCATGCAGGATATCTTTACCTGGTACCAGCGAGCTACTGGCGGTACTCCTTCTACCATTTTTGACTCTTTGACGACCGTTTCGGTGCAAGTAGAGAAGCGTGCTCTCTCAGTCCTTCCCGACGCTGCCGTTGGCTTGTACCGACGTTCGGCCGCAATCCTTCCCCGCGGTGCCTCATCGCTGATGAAGCGCGGTAACGTGATGACGGGCTCAGGCAGTTACCTCGTGTATGGTATCCAGCGTGTGGCTTTTAGAGCCGGTATTGAGACGACGAACCTTTTCATGACTGGGTTGACGTTTTTCTGTCTCTTCGTTGTCGTTACCATTGGTGCCGTGGCTGCGTTCAAGGGTCTCTGCGAATTGGCCGTGAAGCAAAAGTGGATGAAAGGTGACACTTTCCTTGAGTTCCGCAATGGATGGCTCACGGTCTTGAAGGGTATCCTGTTCCGACTTACTCTCATTGGTTACCCTCAGATGGCCATTTTGTGTATTTGGGAATTCACGCAGAATGATTCGCCCGCTGAAGTAGTTCTAGCGGTGTTCTTCATTATTGGAATGACGGTCACTCTAGGCTGGGCTGCCTCTAAGGTCATCCGAATCGCTCGTCGCTCGGTCGCTATGCACCGGAACCCCGCGTATATCCTCTTCTCCGATCCCCAGGCGTTGAACAAGTGGGGATTCTTGTACGTTCAGTTCCGTGCCTCCGCGTATTACTTCATCATTCCGGTTCTCGGATATTCTCTAGTCAAGGCCATGTTCATCGCCTTCTCGCAAGGCAACAGCACTGCCCAGGCCATCGGATTCCTCCTGATCGAGGCTGCTGCTCTGATTACTGCCAGTGTACTCCGGCCGTGGATGGACAAGAGTACTAATTCGTTCAACATTGCCATTTTCTGCGTTAACTTTATCAACGCCATTTTCCTTTTGATTTTCTCGGATGTCTTTAACCAGCCTCCGCTAGTCAATGGCGTTATCGGTCTTATTTTGTTCTTCCTTAATGCTATCTTTGCCACCATCCTCCTAATTATGGTTATTGTTTCGACCACCCTGGTCTTCTATCGCAAGAACCCCGACGGTCGTTACCAGTTCATGGCTGATGACCGGACGTCATTCATGAAGTCACAATCTCAACTCACAGGTACTACCGAATTGGACGCCCTTGCCGCCACCGCTCGCGGTGATAAGGGGGGTTACAAGCACGGCTTAGACCTGGACGATGACAACGAGTCGATATCCTCTGCTGAACTCCGCCGCCGTACGGATTCGTCAAACTTGAACGTCCCTTCGTCAGCTCCGAGCAACCCATACGGCCGCAACAACACAAGCTCGCCCCAGTCCCCAGTAGATCCCTCGGTACCGCTATTCCCGGCCGCCGGTAGTCAACAAAGGGCTCCGAGCCCCTATGCCGGATCTAGCACTCCCTTGCAACACCAGCACAGTGGCAGTCCTCCCTCATATCGAGCACAGAACAATGCTAGGTAAGCATCATTGAAAATTTAGTAATTGATATAGACTAATCAGAGAGTAGTCCGTGGCAACGAGGTGCCGGTTACGAACACTAGGTAATGGCTGTGATACCGGAAGGAGGATTCTACTAGCAGGACGTAGTCCGAGTGTTAAAAATCGTACTAGGATACAATCATGACAATGGGGCCGGAGTTAATACAGGAGGGTAGCTCTTTTTGAGAAGATTCTGACTTGAAATAAGGCGGTCGTCGAATACCCAATAGTACCGCTGATGGAAAGTAGTGGCTCGGCCGACAATCCTTTCCTATGTTCTCAAACCTTGTATTAAGGAATCCGCCTTATGACGCGGGGCGTTTAGCGCGTCAACAGCATTCAGGAGGCGTCGTTAGGGATGTGATGTTCATGCGATATTTTTTCGATCAGCTGTACCAAACCCGAACTTGCAAAGTGTAAATACCGCCCAGAGAACCCTACAAAGGGGATAAAGAATTTTTCAAGAAATTCCTGGGAACAGCTGGGCTGAGGAGTTATGGTTTTTTTTTGTACCTGGGTTATCACCAATTATAGACCGCCGTATGCGCGGCGGCAAGCTTGTCAATAGCTAATCAATAAATACGGCTTTTAACGAATACATGCGCAGTGAATGCCATTTGAGTGACTTATTACGGAATAGAACTGCCAATCTTAAAGGTTATTATATGTTGTTTCTAAACTCTGGAAATTGAGCCTATCGGTACTACTTTGCCATCCAGCATGTGTTTGCACTAGAATACGAAACGATATTCTTGATTTGAGAAAAGTGACACTCATGATCCGTCGCAAAATACATTTCCCCCTATGAACATTGTTAACGCCTGGAATTCGCGGCGGCTCTTGGATTTGCGTATAAGTTGGAGTTGGTTGCCCGTCGTATTTTCTATTACCACCTATTTACTCCTGTTTATATCGTTCCTTCAAACAAGTAAATATTTTGATCATTCAGTTTTCTTTAACGAAAAAGATGAGTCCTTTAGCAATAAGCTGTCGGGGAATAAGTGGGTTAGGGGTAGATCTAGGGGTAGATCTAGGGGTAGATCTACTAGGATTGGGTACCGAGGTATTATAAGAGGCACACAGCGCTTTCGAAAGAAGATAGAAGGGCAGGTGTTAATAGTTCAATTTATCTAGTTATCCTGATATTTACTTTATGTATGATACTGGTGAATAGTTCAATCTGATAGTCTCCTTTGTTCTAGACGTCTTATCCAGAGCCTTATTCATCACCCATCTTGTAACAAGGACTTTACATACTCCTGCATGACCTCGTGATAGGTCTCATCCAATGTTCCTGATATTAGTTATCCTAACCGGCTGACAGGCGCTTGGCCATCTCGTATTTCGGCCAACACTCTCTTAGCAGTGTTTGTCCGTGTGACACATCTCTACATTTTCCGAGGCCGCTGGTGGTGGTGGTGATGGTTTGTTAAATTCTTGAAATGGGGGCAGATGACCGTGCGTCTCGATATCGTCCTTCTCATAGTACTCGTCGATCCGACCACAGCACTTCTTACAAACGCGGAAAGAGTTGCAGATATAGCATACGTATATTTTTCCATAGATTTGCTAAATCAGTGTTTACGTATCAGTCAAGGAAGATATCCGATAAAAAAAGCTATAGGGGGCACTGAAGACCAAGTTTGATATCCAGTGAGCTTGATCTTGGTTTTCGGGATTCATGGTGTAGTTATTTGGAATCATGACTTACAGAGTAGCATATAGCACAAAAATCAAGCTGGCAGAGGTAAGTTTTCTTATCTGGGTCCTTTTCAATGCTGGTATACTCCCCAGCCCCGTTTCTGTTTCTGATGATGAGTGGAATGATATCAGAGCTAACGCTGTGTAAGCGGGCTAGCTCAAGTAACGTGAAAGTTTCGGCATTCTGTCCCTTGCCCATCTTGCATTGGATATCTCGCCTTGCCCCGTATTTAAGAAGGCATCGCACCGTTGTTTCGTAATCCATAGGCTCACTTCCTGATTTATCCCGAGTTGTCGGGTCCATGATAGGCCTCATCGCCCAGCATATAGGCGTCCAGCCATCCACGTCCGGGGCGTTTACGTATTTGAATTGCTCATGCGGTTCCAAGCGCGATAGGATCAGCTCTAAGGGTATAAATTGTCTTCGACTAGGAATAAAATGCGGCCACGGAGAACGCGTTTTGAAACGGGGCGCCGGGGATCCTGATGGTCGCGTTAACGTTGGCCCCCTCGCTGGACTAGTCCGTGTATGATATGATCTATATAAACCGACCGCTCTTGGCGTATTGTCTCATTTGGACGACAAACAGCTACGAGGGGCGTGGATCTTCGTATAGGAAGCTCCTGGTTGACATCAGAACCATGGTCAATCAGCTTGCCGACTGTTTCATCATCAAGCATATAGCAAGCTGTGTGTAGTGCGCTACCTGACGCCGTAGAGTAGAGATTGGGGTTAGTGTTAGGCTGGGAAAGGTACAAGTCAATGAACTTGGGTGGCAATTTGTTTCTAATGGCAATGATCAACGCCGTGGCCCCCGTGTCGTCTTGCACAGTACGCGAACAAGGTATAAATAATGTGCCCGGTAGAGGTCACGACAATGTGAGTAATACCTTTGCCACAACCATGTATAGTATCATCAACGCTGGCGCCGGCATCCAGGAGAAGCCTCTCTATCTCGGCGTTTTGTGGTTATGAACAGCAAGGCACTGGAACGCGCTCGGGTCTAAATACGAGGTGAATATTCGCTTTCTGTTTGATTAACTTGGTTTTTGGGGGATTTTTTTTCGTAGTTTAAGCCTCGAACCAAATCTAGGAAGGGAACGTGCTATCGCTGAGTTCATGAAGATGCCACGCCATTTATATTCGGTTTCTGCGACGATCAAGATAGCCTTAATGTAGGTAACAATGATTAACAGTATTCCTTGAGAGTAGAGACGGGATAACGTACTGTTTTGACAACCAAAACCCCGAGATCATAGGCTATAAACACTATAGCCTGTTTCCGAGTCGACTTTCTACACTACAAATGACCTGTAAGCATGATTTTCTTCCGCGGCTGGATTTGGTACTACCAACTACCTTGTCCTTCTGCTCAATAGTATTCAAACAATCAAGCAGGTATAGCGCATACTTATAGATAGATTCTCGACTGAGATTACCAAGAAGCAGGCGAGAAACATCGTATGAGGATAGCATTACCCTCCGTCGCTTTTTATGGTCACGGACAATACTTTCCAAATGGAGTGCATTGACTCTCCCACATGCTCCAGTAACGTGAACGATACTATCAACTGTTAACCTAGACTAATACTTTAGGTTCCCGTTTTCATGATGTTTTCTTACTCGAGATTTGGCTGTTTCTTTGACGAGTCTTCGTCATCTTGGCCAGAGATTGATAGGACTTTGAATTCTCGGCACAAACCTCTTCTCGGATATGTTCATTTGAGCCCAACGGCACATCTGGTTTTTGGCTCTGCTCGCCTTGAACAGGTGATGCTTTGTTGGTGATCAGATTACCAGAATTCATGGCATGAGCACCAAGGAAATTACCTTTCACCGGGTTAGTATCAATTCCAGGAAGTTCAGGCTGGAACTGACCTTCCGACATCACAGGCTTCCAAGAGAATAAATACGAGGGTTATCGCACCGAAGACTGAAAGAGGAGAAACAGGTGGAAATGTATTTTAGGGTTGACGCATTGCTTGGGGCACATAACCATCGGCGATTCGCTACAGAGAATTATTCTTATATCTTCACCATGCATGCATGTTTCATCCACATTTTCCCACCATGATATGTGGTAGATACATCCAATAGGACTATCAATATAGATACCCAAACAAAAGCCAAGGTATACTATGTACGCCCATTCTATAACAAGGATCTCTTAGAATTAAACAACACATACTACCGAGTCAACGCAAGTTGACAAGAAATAGCAAGAATAACCCTAACCGATTCATATTTCATATTTTGAAAAGAAGATAGACCGGAAAGCGGGCTAGAAAACAATCGAGAAACATAGGGGTAGTCTCAACCTCTTCTACGTTGGTTAATACTGCGGATCGCTCTAAGTCGCTTGCCTGGATGCATACAGATTGGTCGGGAATAGGTTTGGAACTGACAAACATACCATTCTTGATTCTCATCAAATTTATCGAGGTAAACTTCTATTGCGTTGAGAGTAGTGGAGGTTTCGGACATAGGAGCATCATCTCAGGACGTTATACTAATATACTAATATACTCTGGTTTATATAGTCGTCCATCGTACCAGGAGATAAGCGAAGCTAGTATGAATTAGGTATAGATCTACGTAGGATAGAGATATAAGGGGGGCGCAGCGCCTTCGTAAGAGGATAGAAGGTCAAGCGTTAATAGATTTATACTACTACATGGCTACCATATAGCAGCAAAGCTGCTGCTTCTAACATTCACTCTACGTGTGACATCAAATGAGGGGTATCTCTGACAGTTGGTATATCAATTGGTCCCATGTTATCACCGGTATTCCAAGGACACTGCCCAACCTAAATAGCGAGGCTTACCGTCGTAATATTCAAGTAGGGGAAGAGGGTGTGCTCTTCCAGTTGAAGCATATCCCCTGGTGGTAGTGGTGGCGAAATCAAATTATGCCACTACCAGCGTATTTATATGCTCATAGCTTTACAAAATTAGGTACTTAAGCCATCTTAACCTATCACGTCCGCATAAGTAAATGTGATATATCAAATGTTTTACCTTCTTAGTGGCGACCGGAAATAAAACAAAGATATACGAAGTGGTAATACTTAATATCAAGATTTAGTATCAAGGGTATAGGTGGAAGCATGTTGTCATATTCAGACGATCTAGCTTCTTACTCAGACATATATCAACGCCACCAACATGCATATCCCTTAGTGATAGCTATATGACACAACGCGCATTGTTCTAGGCTGCTAAGAATGGAAAAGCTTTACAAGTTCCGTGAGATCCAGCCATGACTACATAGCTTAGTACGAACGTATTGCGTCCTTGTTGGCGATAGGTGATTAGCTTAGCTAGAAGCTAGATCATTAGGAACTATTGTGGTAACACACCATCGGGACTAACATTAACGATGGCATCGGCGATTAGATCAGGGGCGATATTAAGAACAAGTGAGTGAGAGAGAGCGAGAATATAAGAAGAGTTGGCATTTTTTTTGGAATATTGAGTTTGTACTGCTTTGCATCGCTTTACTTATTTTATACTGTACCCCTATTCCGTTACTTACAAAACTGGCCAACATTCTTTGAAAAATAACAAAATTTCACAGAGTCAAATAAATAATGTCTCGTGTTTGGCTCATCATTGGCGCCTCATTTGGCTTCGGTTTAGAATTGGTAAAGACTGCCGCAGCTCGCGGTGACCGCGTCCTCGCTGCTACTCGCAACCCTAGCAAGGTAGCTGCTCTGCCGGGCATCACCGTCGTCCGTCTAGATCATAACGTGCCGCTACCACAAATCCAAGCCGACATCAAGGAGATCCTAAAGATTTATGGCACTATCGACGTTGTTGTTAATAACGCCGGCTACGTACAAGCTGGCACGGTCGAGGAGGCAACGCCCGAAGAGACAGTTCGACAGTTCCAAGCCAACGTGTTCGGCCCTATCAACGTCTGCCGTGCTATTCTTCCACACTTACGTGAGAAGCGTTCCGGCACTCTTATAACTATTGGCTCCATGGCCGCTTGGTATGTTATACTCCTCTCTTGTCCCCCTTTTCCGTCTTAATAGTTAGTATCTACTGGTCGAGCGAGTTCGTTATGCATCTCTATTCAGAAACATGCCTTTAACTCCAATACCCAAATACAATATTTACCTAACTACCTAAACTTATATCGTCACAGGTTCTCAATGGCAAGCTGCAACCTCTACAACGCATCCAAAGCCGCTCTCCGACGTCTAACCCTCGGCCTCGGCGATGAGATCCGACCGTTCGGGATTCAGCACTGTCTAATCGAGCCAGGGTACTTCCGGACGGCGCTACTAAGCCCATCAGGCAATCTCGCGGGGACCAATGACAGCGCCGCGCGCATTGCCGACTACGCGGATCTCGTAGCTAAGGCTAACGCCGACTTTGTAGGTTTTCACGGAAATCAGCTCGGCGACGCTGTTAGGGGGGCTAGTATTATATACGATCTGGTCACGTCAAGTGGTGTTGCGGCTGGTCGACCGTTGCCGCCGTTTGTCCCACTGGGAAGCGATGCCAATGAGGCGATTGTGAAGAGCGCGCTGGGCACTGTTGATGAGGTTAGAGAGTGGGCGGATGTTGCGCGGCTGAGTGATTCTCCGCTGAAATTAAAGGTATGAGGTTAAAGGTATGAGGGGGATGCTTCGTCGGGGGTAGCAATGCGAAAGTGTGATGGTGTTAGTAAGTTGTTGTTGAGACCTGATGCCATTACGTCAATGAGGTAACCTAGTACCTATGTACCTAGACAAAAAGGTAATATAATATATGCATTAAATGGGGCGAATTAAAGGGGATAAAGACAAATATCTTTTCGGGTATGACCCCACATGTGTAGCGGAACTCTATTAATGGCACGCTAAGCTAAAGTGTATCCACATGGCTCGTTCCATGTTCCGAGATCTAACCTCAACTTTAACACATGAACCTTCAATTGGGTTCTTTGACCCGCTCTTTATTTCCTATCCGTGCAATGTTGATCTGATATGGCCGTCTTCGTGGTACTGCACCTCGACAGACATCATTTATCTTCTGATGTTATGACATGACGCTACCAACTTCGCAATGGCGACCCCTATTTCTCCCCCTCTTGCGACCGTCGTACCAGCCCAGCTGGGCTTCCTAGCAATCTTCAATCCCTCCCTAGGCACTACCGACGAGACTATGGACGACCAGATAGTCTACTATGCATCTGTGAATACCCAGTTTAAGAAACGACGGCACCGCTCGCGTGGTAAACCTACCGACAGCATCTCCCAAGATGAGCGAAACGAGCGGTTGAGGCAGATTGGATTGGCACAGGGTATGGTCGAATTCAGCCGCGGGTTTGCCGATGGCCAGCCAGTCGATACGATAGAAACGGAGAAGAGTCGCGTCGTGTTGCATGAGCTGGAGCCAGGTTGGTGGATATTAGCTGTAGGAGAATACACCCCTTTACTCGGAGCTAGAAGCTGATATATTCACTATAGTCTATTGATTTGACCAAGTTACCCCTACCACCGAGGCTCGGGGCTCCCTCTTCAAATCAGATAGACGATCCGTCCGAAAATGTCGAATATTCGTCTCGGGAAGTCAAGCCAGCTATTCTACTAATGCAAGATCTCCTCCGCGCCCATTCCATCTTCTTGCTGCACCATGCAGCATCTCTAAGCGCCTTGTTCGTTCGATTGAGACGGTCTAAATTCGTTAGCATATTGGGTCGATACTGGGATCTGTTTCTGTCTACTTGGGATGTCATGTTACACGGTAATCCCACTGCCAGCATGTTTGGTGGGATTAAGATCGCTGCTTGCGGCGAACTTGGCGTCGGCGTCGGAGAGGAGGAACGTGGAAGCGGTGAAAGAGAGGTCCTTGAGGGGTTTGTCGGTAGAACCGAAGGCCTGATTGATCTAGTCGTGTCCAAGTTCGGTCCTTCGGAGTCTGGTATAGACGAAGATTCTCAAGGGGATGAACAATCGGCTTCGAAATGGCTTGGCACCGGAGAAGAGCCAGGCGCGGAAGATGGTGCTATTTTCCTAGGCATAGGGGCTCTATCGAGGAAATCAGTGCGCGATGTCGCCTACTGGATGGAAGACCTCTACATGTGGGGTGAAGACGCATATGGAGTTAGAGACAGCCCGTCTTCAACACGTCAAGCCAAGAAATCGAAGAAATCAACCACGACAAGTACTAAAAATACCACTGGAAACCCTACAATTGCTTCAGAGCCAAATAACGCAACCAGTCCAACCCCCCAAAACGCGCAAAAGAAACCTATGGATACAAAAGAACCAGAAACAACAACGCCCCAAATCATCGAAGAAACAGGCGACGGGGGTGGGGTTAACCGATTTATGAACTATCTTAAGATGGGTTATGGTACTCACTGGACACTAGGCGGCTCTAGTGGAGGGGAGAACACAGAGCATGAAAGAATGACACCCGAAGAAATGTCTAGGGATAAAAAGCTTAGTGCTCTCAGCGTGAATTCGGGCCGTTATCTCATAGGACTTCTCGGCAATATCGAGGAAGCTGGTAATATCGAAAATGACGAGAATATAGAGCAATCTGATAGCCGGTCCGAAGACGTTGAGTATAACTCTAGGATCTTGCTTCGAACCCTTACCGTGGAGCTAGAAAATGCAAATCGTCCCGAAGCTGAGATAACGCGGGATTTTGGAAACCAAGACCGTGAGCGATCGACAACAGCAGAGCTCTGCCGAGGGTCTCAAGAAGCGACTTCTCTTTTTGATAATCAAGATCTTAACAAATCACAAAAGGTTCGCATAGTGGTGTACGCAAATAAGCCATTCATTTATACATTCCTATTCCGGAATAGGACGGACTCATTAGCCTGGGGCGAACTGTATAGGTCATTACACTATCAGCTTGCACCGCTTCGGAAACCCTTGGCGACGTCGACGGCCTATCGCCCAGGTAGACCGGACATTGGTCCAGTAGGTTCTCATATCTTTGACCTCATATGGGATCCAGAAGCCATGACGATCCATTCCACCATCCCCAGCATACCCACGCCAATTCAGATGGTACAAAACACGCAACCAGTTTGGTCTCGGGTAGAAGCGGTAAACACACATAATCAAATACTCAACACATATATCACAACGTCAACAGATCCGTCTGAATTAGAACGCACTTGTAAGACAAGCCGTGGTTGGTGGATTGTCTGGACGCGCATAATTGAGAAAGACGGTACCCAGACTCCGGTACAACCGCCAGACTCTTCGGATACGAGCCAGATCCCCAGCCTACAGCACAGCGAATCAACGGAGAGTGTTGACTCTCAAGGTCAGCCCAGGAGCATCCGATCAAGGGGCAAGGTCAGCAAAGAGATATTCCTCATCCGTCGAGCGGGCGAGCATACGAGGCTTAGGGGGTTAAGCAGCTCGTATGCGGAAGGAGGTGGTTGGGCGGATGGAGCTAGTCGACTCGCCCAAGGCATTGGTGTCGACACGAAGAGATATATTGAGGGGCTACTAAGCCTAGGTCGATGAAATATTCTAGTTTTATGGCGTTTGATCTTGGATTAGGTACTGGCAGGATGGCTATAGCTATAGATGGGACAGAAGCACTAGAGTCCCCGAGGATACCCAGCAAGTTGCTACAGAGAATTTTCAGGGGCGTCTCCTTTGGTTAACATGTTCATCTGCCCGGCGTATAGAAATTGATGGAGATATGAATATACGTAGGTACTGATAAGAGTATGCTCAGCTTTGGTCATATATAGATAGCTAACCTAGATGATATGGGAATATCTAAAAAAGATATTCAATTACTATTGTCTACCACTGATCTCATGACGGTTAAGTTGTTGCTAAGTACCATGTTATGTACCGATTTCTTGTGTTAAGCTTGCTGCCATGGAGGTTTATTACCTGTAGGTAGTCGTCTCCTAGGCTGCAGGATAACAGTTGAAATCAAACTGGACACCTGATGCCCAGGTGGTTAGTTTTAGGCGCGTAGTGAACATCACAGGTGAAAGAGGCCTAAACACATGCGGGCAGCAGGGCAGTAGGGGCACGCACAGCTGTAAGGGCAGCTGATTACCTATCTACCTGTGCATGCAGCAGCCGCCTAACCCGAGCTACGTTGCTGCGATACATAAGGGGCGGTAGCAAACGCACTTTCAACATTCACGGGGGGTGCCAGCCACAAGACCATTTGGTGTAGTGGTAAGCTTACGGGGCTACAGCGACGGATCCAAAACCACAAATATGACATCTAATACTCAACTTCCTAAGTTGATGCAGACGGCATGGTTCGAGATGTTGCTCAAATATCCTATCTGGCATCCTTATTTTTTTCTTCTTTTTTCCCATTTTTTTTTCAGGTGCTGTACCTACTACCTACGGGTCTACATTGATGCCTAGTTTTTTTCTATCTGTTTCGGTGTTTTTTTTTACTTGTTGGAAAGCTGTAGTTTTAATCTCTAGTTTATCGTGGTGGCCTGTCCATCCCCAGCCGCGGTGTTTTGTGCAGTTCAACCTCGTGGGTTTTCTAGTTTTTATTTATTTGTTTTTAGGCCATTATAATTTTCTCTTTTTCTTTTCCCCTTTTCCCCTTTTCAACTGTCAAATAATACTTTTCTATTTTGTACTATGTAGTTTTGTGCCGCGTTGCTTCTAGATACTAATGTACTTATTTTATCAACAGCCTTCACCAGTACGTAAGGGAACGTGTCTTGAAAAATAAGATGTAAACAACACCCGTTATGTACTCATTTAATTAGCCAAGTTGTGACCTCGAGAATTGCTATTTATTACCACAGCTATGAGACTTTCCAGGTCACTTCCTCAACCTTCTCTAATTGTGCACAAAGGGGTAAATTCCCCCATTATTACAACACAATAAATACACGTCCTTGCTCACTACTAAAATCTTCGTCTTGAAAAGGCAGCTGGACCAGAATTTCTGCTGCAATTATATTTTTATGACATTTTTTTGTTATATTTCTAAATCATGATACGAAGTCCTAACCAAGTGATAGTTTACTGGAAAAACGTACAAGGTTGATGCAATGATAGTGTCTCCCACACCTTTCTCCCCCCCCTCCCCCCCTTTTTTTTTCTTTTCGAAAAACAGAAAGAAAAAAAAGAAAAGGGTTTGAGACACTGACAAGTATTCAATAGATATCATCTTCACCAATATGTTACTTCCCTCTAGCCTAGCTAGAGAATAATTTGCGGTGTGTTCTATAATATACCCAAGGGTGGTAGTTACATATTCCCATCACATTAGTACTCTACCCATACCCTGTCCACTTAAATATATTTAGTCTTGATCTATTAAAGGTTGCTTAATTGAAAAGACACTTGTTTTAACTATCTTTAAGGCTCGGATATAAACATTTATTTACTAACTCACCTACAGATCACATTATCTAATATAATTCAAAGCATATGTAATAATACTAACCTAGAAGTTAGCAAGTATTTAGGTAAATAGGCTATTCAAGGCCAGTCAATAAGGGTCAAAGCACCAGTTCGTATGCATAATATGCCTGATAGGTAAATAATCTCCGAGTGCTGCGCCACGAACACGAAATTTGATAATGATGGGATCTGAGTACATATGGCAGTGCTCAGGCTAAGCAAGGATTTAATGTACATAAACCTGAACTCTTACCAGGATGAACACTTGGTGATGGAGGTATATTATATCACCATGATTAATAGACGAACAAAAGGCAGCGCTGCTGAGTACTTAACCTAGGTAGGTTTGTATACAATACCTATAAGGTGGGTACGAGATATATCTCAGGTGGACAGGTAGGTGGGTATACCTATAATTATACAATACATATACGAGATACAATGTCTCCCCACTGAGTAAATACTTGGCACGACCCAGCGACCCGGTACTATCGTACGCACCATCGTGGAGGCCTTACCGATCATAAGCCCAAGTTTGAATCGCAAAATGGGGGCATCCGCAACATTTACGAGTACTTGTCACGGCATGAATTCAAAGGTGCTTCACACTGGAAGGGGGCGTAGAACTAAAATTTAGATTGGTAAATCCTTTTCCATTCCTGATCATATCAGATCATTTCTACCCAAATCTGTAAATATGTACAGAAGAACCAAAGCCTATATCCGACCCCAAGCTTCCGTCCTTGAGATGGATCAGGACTTTAAAAGAATGTACCAAAATGGGTATAACTCCTCGAGGTATTGTTGACACCTGCCAACCGATCCTGGTTGTGCCGTAACAAGCGCCCAAAGTCTTTTCCCCTTGGTATAGTTGTCAACGGCGTCGAAAATGACGCTGTAATTTTTTAGAAAAGAATATCATCAAGGCCTTTTAGTGCCCGTTCGTCGTCAAGGAACCTATCCTTGTGCTCTTCGCCGCGCGAGGAACCCAAACAGAAAAGCAGATTTGGCCGATACCTAGTATCTTCCCGGGCGCGTCAAACAAGGGCCGGGAAATGCGCAAACGAGTGTTTCATATTTACTCGTCAATAGTCCAGCTGCACTCGAGACGACCGCCGTCCAGGGAGTCGAACAGGTCGAGGAAGGTGTGGGGGGTGACATCAATGGCCATGCCAGTACAGCCGCCGCAACGGTCACGAATCTTAGCCTTGGTTGTCTTGCCGTCGGAGGTAGTGATTGTGATGGTTTTGTCACAGAGCGGGTGCGCCGGCTGGTTGATACCGTAGCTGGTCGCCGTGCTGATGTTGTCCCAGAACTGTTTAGGGATAGCGACAATGTTTTCAGAGTTATCCTTGCCCTCATCTTCGTAGCCACAGGCGCCTAGAGCAGCATTGTAATACGTAATTTCGCCGTCAAACTTCTCGCCATATGGAATTCCGTCACTGCCTGTGCTGCCCCCGGAGCTACCACCGGAGCTACTTGAAGTTGCCGGAGGCGCAGCGACGTACGTACTAGTTGGGGGTGCAGCGGGCGTTTCCGTAGTCTGCTGAGAAGGAGCTGCCTCATACGTGCTTGTAGGGGCTGGAGGAGACGGTGCCTGGTAGGTAGCCTGGGGAATGCTGGCAAGGCTGATAATAGTGGTGGGTGTCGAGGGTTCAACCTTGGGAGTCTCGACCTTGAGGGTCTCGACAGCACTGCTGGAGATAGTGGAAGGCGTCTCAAAGAACTGGATGGGAGTGTCTGAGCTTGTCTCCCGAGGCGAGGGAGGAATTGTCTGAGTTGAGTCGTCATCAATTATGACGGTGGCAGTCTCCCAAACGGTCTCCCACTCAGTAACGAGCTCTCGCTTGTCATGGTGGTGACGGTTGTGGCCATGAGGCTGTGCAACTGCAACTGAGGCCAGAATGGCAGCGGCGATAGTTGTAGACTTCATATTGGACGATATTGGCTACTGTGATATGTGCTCAGAAAGATAGAATCGAGGTTGTGCGATGTAAATCAGGGGATCCAGCCGGAAGGATATATCTTTAAAAGTTTTGTCAAGTTTGCTCGACAAAGAACCTCTTATCCTTGTATTGTTGTGAATTTGGTAGGTAGTAATGATTGGGTAGTACTGGCTGGTTCTGAATCTCTTCCTTCGAGAATGAGTGTCACGAAGCAGCTGTGCCGGGAAGGAATGTATACAGTGAGCACTGCTCCTAGAAAAGAATGAACGATATCTAATTTCGTGGAGAAGCTGGAGAAAGAGAGAGCAGAAGTTGTCGAGCTGAAGGAATGTAAGGGGAGTTATTTATCTAGCAGGGGAGAAGAAAAACCTCTCGTGGAGGCCACGGCGAAAGACAAGGGGGGAGCAGAAAACAACAGGGAACAAAAGCGAAAATCCGAACAGGGTTCCTGCCTGATGTACACTAGCAGTACCTAAGGAATTCATCAACTAAAGTCAATTGATTATGATTGGCCAGGCCACATTGAAACAACCCGCAGCTGGGGTTTTCCCAGATGGCTCTTTCTCCCCTTTGGAATAATCTATCCAATCAGCAACTCCGGATCTAGGCGGGTTCAACGTGGCTGCGTGGCTATCAGCACGGGTCAGCTAGGGCTGTTTTACCGGGACGTACCTGACTGATACCTCACCATTCATGCAAGGTACCGCTGACGTTAGCTTATGCCATCGAGGAACTAGCCAATGGGATGACTGCGTACCCCTGAAAAAGGCGAGTTTTAGTGTTAATCACTCATTTTAGTCCCAGACTAGGGGCCTTAGGACGATCGCCCAGTTAGTTGCCTTTCCACTACCAGCAGTTGCAGCCAACTTTTGTGCCAATCGAATTTATTGATCCTTACTTGTACATAGTACAAACCTGCAAGTGTCATACATAATACCTATGTCACCATGTCGGACCACGTCTACGTTGGCGTGCTTAAGAGGGCTGAAAAGCTCTTCACGCCGGGCGTCTCTCTATGCTCCACACGATAGGCTTCTATGTAGACAGCCTCTTCCCCTCCTTCCTCTCCGGCCTTCGCCGCCCGAGGTATCCATTAATCCATTAGCTACCGACTTTTTCACGAGTTAGTCGTCGGACAAGTGGGCCGATGCCTCTATTATTGTAGGAACCGTTTTCGTACCTACCGGCTAGTACATACCTACCTAGGTACTACAGTGTACACCCGTTCCCGCCATGAAGCTCAGTCCGATGCTAATTAGCACGTGGAGAATCGAGATGCGGTTCTAGTCCACTGCTACTTGATGCTTAATGGAGGTGTGCATGCTAGTGGACAATGCCACGGCGTCCGGCCTTTGTTCATTCCACATGTTCAGTCTTTGTAAAAAGTTCTTATTGCTCGGGTCTCCGCATGGATGTGTGTGTCGGTTTCACCGCTTCTAATCGTCGAATTTCTCCACGCTGCGGATGCCCGAATGTCGGCATTGACCCCCCTTTCTGCGGCTGCTGGTCGTGGTTTTCGGCCGCTTGCATCCACCATGCAAGCTATCTATCCCGTGGCTTTGTGAGTATAGAATCAAGAGTTATCGAGTATATGCTCGAGACTACAGTACGGCAAGCTTGTAAGGGGTAAGGGATCTAGGCTTCTTTCACATGGGTAGTCTTTGTGATGCAGAACAAACCATTCCCTTGGAGCCGAGGGAACTACTTGTTTACGACTCGAGTTCTATGCGCGTTGTTGCAGGCGAATTGTCACTGGCTTCATTGTTTTCGATATAGAATGGATAGACTTCGTTTCCCTAACCTCGCTTATTATTAACAAGAACGTCAAAATGATACAAAGTTTAAGTTTCGGTACCAACCTCGAGTGTATCTTACATATCCTACAGATGGTTGGGGTAAGCCGTTCAGACTACCGTCTCTATTGGCTTCTCGGTGCCATCGCTGTTTACTATTGGCTATTAGGTAGGTAGCTAGGTTAGTCTTTCTTTTTCGTTACGCCTTCTCTGCCTGCTCATCCCTTTCCATTCCTACATAAGCTACCTACCTAGGCAAGGTAAAGAATTGTCTAGACACCACAGTATAAGCCGTTGGTCCTGTTTTTCTGTACCATCTCGTCTATCTAGATGTAGCGTGGCTTGTTTCTTTACACGTCACCTTTGATACTCATTGGAGAGTGGATAATCGATCGAGGATCACGACCTTTGCATAGCATCCCGGGAATACCAAGATCGACCCGAATTTCATATCTGTTGCGAATAATATGTGACCATCTTAAGAGTATTAAAACTACCTACCTACCTTAGGTACCAGATATCGTGGCCACCAAGTTGTGCCGCTAATGCACTCGCCACCGTCAGTGTAAGCGCACTATCGACGTAAGAAAGCTAGTAGTCGTAAGTCCTTCCGATTCCCCTGCGTTAGCAACTTCAACCGACCCAATAAGAATTGGTCTAATATTCAGACGCTAAAAAGTTCGATAATTTTCTAAACATTATAGAATAATAGTGGCAGTCGTCAAGTTACACCATCGCCGAGCTTCTCCATCGGTAAGTCCCGAGCCTATGGATAGGCTTCTTTGAAAATTCTCTTCAGTCTAGACGCGGATTATAAGCAAGAATTACGATAAGTTAATACATAAAATGGGAGCCGTGTGGAGCGTTTCTCTTTTCTCCGCTGGGCTACGCAATACTAGTCACGAGCAATGCAGACCATTAACTTGAATCATTAGATTATAGAACCACGGGCTTATGCATAGGAATTACATAATGCCAGACTTGTATAAGTGTTCCAGTGATAATCTATGAATTTGGAGTAAGTTAGAGCTCGGGTGATAGTAATTGGTTGATACGCTTTTCACTCTAACATTGACGTCTCTATTAAAAGGGTTACACGTCTGCCAGTTCCCGTCTTGACTCAGCCTAAGAACTGGCGTGATAGACGTAACACTATCTTCCACGGCAGCAAACAAGACTTGATTTATGCTGACGGTCAGCCACTTGCAGAAAAATCTAGATGTAAAACTGGGATATGCCGAAAATACCCGAACTCATTGATGATGAGAAGGGCAATCGGATCCGAGAGCACATCTCCCTTACGCAGCCTGGAAAGTGTAGAGGAAGAGCCCCTCTCTGCTAAAGACGGGACGATCCTCATCCGGGACTTCGGTTACCCTGAATAGCTTCTGCGCTTTCTTGAGGAACTGCATGTCGGCACGTCTCCTCTTCTTGAAGCAGAAGTAAATGGTGGCTGAGGGACACAATTTCAGAAGATCTGACAACGTGGCTAGGAGCAGCGGGAAGGCAGGTTCGAAGTAGACGCAGTCAGCCGCGAGGATCACGTCTGGCTTAAAGACGGCGATATCCTGTGGGAGAGGCTCACCCCTGCAATATCGAAGTGACATGTATGTTAGTATAGAGTATAGATGCACGTATGCGCCTTTATGGTGCATAAGCCCCGTGGGGAAACGCGGAGCAGACCGGAAGGAGGAGATATCGGGGACAGACTGACCAGTTTAGAATGGCAGCTTTAGCTTGGCCCTCGAGCCCGTTCAAGCTGATGTTGTGCTCCATCAAGGAGTGCATCTCCAACTGATCCGTGATGTAGAGCGGGTTCCCAACCGCGCACCCCTTAGCAACCGCCAAGCCCACCAATCCACCTCCGGCTCCGAGTTCTAATCTAGATGCCGAGAGCGTCTGTTAGGAACCGGCCCCAAAGTCCGCATCACTAAAAGCAGCGATGAATATAAAGAGACGTTGAATTAAATCCCGCACTCACATCCGCGAGTCCCGCATGTCGTCCCGGTGGTACCGGAGCATGTGTTTGGCGAGCACCATGCCCGCGGGCCAAGTCTGTCCACCGCAGCCGGAGGCCAGGTCTTCGTGCAGCCGCAAGGGCTCGGCGAGGAGTCCCGCAAAGTCGGTCACGGTGGTGCCGGCAGCCTTGTACGCCGGGAGCGGCGAGAGGTCCTCGCCAATAGCCAGGGGCGAGAACTCGGGAGAAGGCGAGCGTTGAGGCGGCGACATTTTGGGGAACTGTCGTTGTCACCGTTTCTCTGTCCGAGAAGTCATTACGACTATTAAGTTTAGGCTGACGGAAGTGTGATCTAGATAACGAATTATGGGTTCGGACCCAACAAAAAAAAACCGGATAGGGGATGCCCCGGTTTGTATGCTGCTTTCCGGTGAATCTATCGGGATCTAGAACGTCAGGCACCGCCTGGTTATGCCACTATCACGAATTCAGCCTTCTAGTACCCCTGTAAGTGAATCGGGCTGGTATCTCGCATCACAATAAGCCGGATTAAGGTGTAAAGCAGTTTCTATATCTTAGCAATTAGGTACATGCATGTGAGAGGGACCTACCTACATACCTACCTACCTACCTACCTATGCTTTGTACTACTTTGGGTATCAAAGGCGTATAAGGTTTAGGATCAGAGCTACTTGAATAAATCGAGTTGGTGTACCCAAGGCCTCTGTAATTCAACATGTGGCTGAAAGTGTCGTTGAATGGCCAGGGTTGGCAGATGTCTCACTCTTATACCGCCTATTCATCCCTAGCTCACTGGAGACAACCAAGTTGAAGATTCGAGGAGTCAATAACGTTTCATCCAAGGTATTTGATCCTTATAGATCCGTCCAATTCCATCTAATAGCTGATATTATACAAAGCCTTAACCACGCAGGGCTTTAGAGTCGATTATCTCATTGCGTGTTGTTAAGACATCATGTCCACATTCATACATTCTATCGAACGCTTCTCTTTGCTAAACTAAAACGGCGTCGAAAAAGACACATGTAGGTATTCTCGCTTCTCGTTTCATATGTGACTGGGTTATTTTAATGGGAGGAAAGGTTCTCCTCGTCTCCCTCTCGTCGAAAAATAAAAACCGGGAGTCTATACTGCTAAAGTGATGAAGTTGTATGTAATACTAGGCTAACCACCATTATTCCCTTTCTCGCCCACCCTTCTATTCAATAGTGATATTCCCAAGACTTACGAGGGCTTGAAGACAGGGGCCTTGGTAAAACTTCAACTTCACGGGGCCGAACATGTGTCCATCGTGAAAAATAGTCTCTGTCGCGCGCCACCGCTCTCTTCTCTTTCCAGTACGGATATCTTACATACAAAGAGGAATATTGCCTAGCCATGCCATATTCTTCACCAGAGAACCTCGCTTCTACATATGTAAAATTAAACTGCTTCAAATTTCAGCGGCGCTCCCTTCCAACCACCGGGTTCCCGCCCCCGCGGGAATGCGATCGCCCACCAGCCTTAGACGATCGTAGTCCGGCGCGTGGCTGAGACATCAAAATTCCACCAGCCTTACGCGATAGCCTGGCCGGACGCGCCAGAAAATCTAATAGATCGTACGGATTACTTGCGTGATGAGACCCCTCCAACCCCCCCTTCCGTCATTATCGAGTCTCGCGCGCTTCACAGCCTCTGCGATGGCAGTCGCCTTCCGGGCCAGGGCAGGGCAGGGCGGGATGAGGCGAGGTGTAAGGGAGCATCGGCGTCATCGTTGAAGAATGGCCTCCTGGTATAGTGTTGGCTGTAGGCCAACATCGATGCTCTCGCAGCTTCTCCTGTCTTTGTCCTGTTCAACCAAAGCATGATGTCTAGTCATACGAACGACGACTACAGTATCTGATCTGATCTAACCTACATATCGCAAGCATATCACAGCTTCTTCGACGTGATAGTTCACTCTTATGCGAGCAGCTTCGGTAGCTGTTATATATCACGATGGTGGCGAAGTGTAAAGAGGTTTTCGCGCTCGGCGTAGCAGCGGCGGCGATGCTGGCTGGTGCCGCCCCTGTCGACTACTTCCCAATCAACTCACAACTACCACCCGTAGCTCGCATCTCAGAATCATTTGATTTCACTTTTTCTCCTCTAACGTTCTTCTCTAAATCCGATATCACGTACCGGCTCGGTAACGCGCCGAAATGGCTCTCGATCGATAGCTCCTCGCGGCGGCTTTTCGGGACACCTAGCGACGATGATATTCCGTCGGGAGAGGTTGTTGGGATCCCGATCGAGTTGATTGCCGAGGATGAGACGGGATCTACGACGACAAGGTCGACTTTGGTGGTGTCTAGGAACCGACCGCCTGTCATCAACGTGCCCATTTCGAAACAACTTCCCAAATTTGGGACATATATAGCTCCCTCTACACTACACTTTCACCCCTCAAAGCCCTTCTCCTTTAGCTTCGACGAGCACACATTTAGCACTGATAGCGGAAATGGTGGGCTCAACTACTATGCGGTATCCGGCGACAACGCACCTCTACCCTCATGGATTACTTTCGATGCCGGAAAACTCTCCTTCTCCGGCAAGACACCCCCGTTTGAATCTCTCATCCAACCTCCGCAGATATTTACCTTCCAACTAGTCGCTTCCGATGTCGTGGGGTTTGCGTCAGTCTCGGTGTCCTTCTCAATAGCGGTGGGGAGCCACGAACTAACAGCCGAACCGCCGGCGGTTAAGCTCAATGCGACGCACAAAAAGCACTTCGAATACAAAGACCTGCTAAATGTGCTGAAGCTCGATAAGAAGCCTCTGAGGCGGGATGATATAGTAACGGTCACTGCGTTCGACTTGCCCCCTTGGTTGTCTTTCGACAACAAAACCTGGGAGTTGGATGGCGTCCCTGATTTAATTGCTGAATCGTCCAATATAACTATAGCTGTCACTGACAAATACTCTGACACTTTGAACCTGACTATCTCGATTCATTTTGGCTTGTTCATCTCAGACCTCCCTGACCTTAACATCAAGGCAGGCGATGATTTTTCATTCGACTTGAAGAAGTACTTATCCAATCCGGAAGATATTCAGGTCACAGTACAGGATGAGCCAGGGGCGTCATGGGCTGAGTTCAACTCTTCCTCGATGCTCCTCTCGGGGTCTGTCCCCAAGCACATTTCAGTAAAATCTCGGACAACGCCACAGGTCGCCTTCAGCGCAACTTCAAAATACACGAACGAGACAGAGACAAAGACTATGAATATACATCTCGCCTATTCGTCTCCTACTGCTTCACCGGAACCAAGTGCCGAGCCGACAGATTCAGACAAGGATGATTCGAACAAGAATTTGCTCTGGTTGCTTATAATACCTATATTCCTCATATTTGCCGGCATCATACTTCTCCTTTTCTATATCCGACGACGGCGTCAACAGCCGAGAAGAATAGGGATCAGGGAGGTGTCCGCACCCATACCGGGAAGTTTCATGACCCATCACCCCGACAACCGCAAAGGTCCGGTCGTTAGAATAGTAGATATAGCACCACCGTGTGATTCCGAGAGCACAGCTGCGCAGAGGCACCGCGTGTCCGCCGGTGCCTCAAATCGGCGTTCGCAGACTGCATCGAGTCCTAGTTTGACTGGAAACATGATCCCCCATGCTATGATGGCGATGTATTCCAGGGCAAAGTCACCCGAGCACAGCGTCATTCTGGAAGCGAGTAGTTCTTGGTCTGCGGGACGCGATAACCAACCAGCTCCGCAGGGAGGAGGAGGAGGGACGGATGAAGTTAGCCTGCTTTCGGACACTAGCCTTGGAGAAGCTGATGCGTATATTGCGGAAGCACAGTCGTATATTATTTCAAGGGGACCTCGGGATGATGTATATCGTAGCCTTCCGGCCCCTAGGAATGCGGCGCCATCTAGTATACAGAACACGCCAGAGATCGCCTACATGACGGGTGCTAGGCAAAACACCAGTCCAAACGATGCGGTTCCGCCAGCAGTGGGCTACGTCGTACGGCCAAGGTCAGGACAACAACAACAGGATTCGAGCTTAGATCTCCGTAGCGTCGGGAAGAGGATATCTAACCTGTGGAAAAGAGAGAGTGGGAGCCAACTTGCTAATAACCAGAAACGGAATAGTATCCTGAGTGACTCTACAGGCCAAACTACTCGCACGAGTATTTTGACATCTGGGGTCTCCGGAGTAGCGGAAGAAGAAGCTACGACGAGTACGAATGTGGTCGCAAGACCAACTATAATACACATACCTAGTAGACCGGGCGAGGTACGACAAATAAGTAGAAGAGCGGAGGCACCATCGTCGTTATTCGACGGCCGGTCGACCACAAAATCGATAGGAAATTTGGGGTTAGGGAGCCAATCACCGGCGACAGTTATACATCCAAGGCCAGAACTGCTACCAACTATAAACAACGGCACAAATCCCCACGATGGCGATAGTTCGTGGGACCAGCTCGCAAGAAATTCCTTGGGTATCGCATACAAGGACCTCATAACCGAGCCAGAAAGTGCTGCCTCACGCCAGGAATCACCGACCGATATAGATCAAGAAGGCAATTGGATGACTTATAATATAAATCGGAATCTTTTGTCCCCCGGACAATGGCCACGGCAAAACGTAACTATCAATATGGTCGGCATAGCAAGAACCTCACCCATTAATTTTCCGAGCGAATTACCTCGACTACCGCCCACGATGGCATTGGGGAAATCTAGGGGAGAAGAAAAACGCAAAGTTTCGTTAAGGCGGCGGCCATCACAAGCGTCTGAGACGACTGTTCGTAATACGCCATCTACGAGCACAAGATCTGACCTAACCTACTCATCCCGAGACGAGTATTCACACTTCAGCCACACCCGCAGACAAGGAACACCTATAGCCTTAACGTCGCGGACCCCATCGCTATCAAGCAGGTGTGCACCGCCACCGACGCGGCCTTTACCACAGCCTCCCATACGAGCCGGTAGAATACCACTGGCAGACCGACCCAATCAAGCGTATTATGTATCAGCGGGTGGAGCCGGACCGGGCTCCGACATTGAAAATATGGCTTCTAAAACCTGCAAGCCGACAAGGAGCATGAAAAGTGCCAAGAGTCTGCGTAGTGTCTGGGCAGACGAGGACGATGACGATGACGATGACGATGCTTGGGAGGACATACGTCCACCAACGACTATTGACGGATGGGACGATGGCGTTGATAGTGACGGGAGCTTTGCGGTTTACATTTGATCTGTGTGTGATATGTAGAAGAGGAGGGTCGGTTGATACCTAGGATATTGATGATATTAATGCACCATTTAATATTTAACGAGTACTTGTTGAATATTGTAATTGTGAGATTATCGTATTAGTAGATCCTAACGTAGGTACCTAACCTAGACAATCATGGTTCTACTACGTACGTACGTATGTATTGTACCTAATGTAAGGCTACCTCTGATGGAGTGATGATCTTGTTTAAGCTAGGTGCTTAATGCAATTGCTATACGTGGGAAGCAGTTTGTCCGCTGGGACAAATAAGATATAATTAATCCTTCTGACAGCCCAAGGTGAGAATCCCTGACCTAGGACAATGCCCTGGCGGCTGGAGCTGACAGCACTGTGGCATTCGCCTTATGCAAGTTGGTCGATATCTCACCTTCTGCCTTCGTCCTGCGTAAGGTGGAATTCCGGGATCAGTCCGAGGCTGGGGTTGGGGGTCACGGTCAAGGGTTGCAATCCACAATATAGCTTATAGTGATTATTTCCTAGGAATATTGATATATATCATATGAGTAAGACGCTTGAGAGGGGTTTCGATAATTATTAGTCCTTGGTACCCGATTATTTAAAGCTCTCTTTGAGGTGGTATGCTAAGTGTAGAACTAGCAATCAGATGTATTGATTAGTGGCCAAAATAAGACAATGGAGGAGCTCATGTACCTAAGTTACATAGCTCCTTTGTTCATGTCTCGAGGGCGAGGTAGTAGCGTTATCCCCTGCATGGTTTAGGTAGTTTTAACTCTTTGTGGAATGCATTACATGTCGCTCCAGGCAACCAATTATAACCACGGGGGATGTTTTGAAGGGTAGTAGATGCCTATATTGGTATTCGGATTGAGAGCATGTGATGCTTTGGGTAAAGCAAGTTTGATACATGGGAGACACGCTTTTATTGTGTGTTAGGTACCTAGGTTAGGTACATTATGTAGGTACCTATGTAAAAGATATGTAAAAGATGCAAGCACCTCACGGCTCACTCCGGGCGCATTTGTTATACATAGGTACATATTGCTTGTGTCTTTATGTATACCCACTTATTTTGTACCTATACTTTACGTTTCTACTTGCTGGCCCTGTTGCCCCAGGTTTGGCATGCTGACTAAAGAACCTAAGCTATTGCACTTTCCCTCCAGTCTGCAGTGAAACACCGACCAATTGTTTTAGTTCTGTATCTTGTAAGAGCACACGCGACACCTACATGTACCTAAAGAACCCTATCGTTTCTGTTGGTGTGTAACTCCGCGTCATTAACTCGGACACCTTACGGAGAGGAGTTCCAACAGGGCTGGGTTTAAATATCCGACAAATACCCGGGACAGATTGTGAATTGTGAAAGAATTTGTATGCACAGTTACCTAAAGCATAGGTATACATATATAATGTCTGCATGTGCATAGGGATTTATGTTGGGCAGACGGAGGGAATCGGGTGTCATGGGCAGTCTGTTCTTTCAAGATTCCCAGGTTTCTTTGGAATTGTTCTTATCCCCATTCGTAAATGTGATCTTTTTTTAATATATTATACTAACGCCGAAAATGATGTCGTGACGCATGTTATATTCTTACGACATCATAGTAGCTTTCTAGTTCTTTTTAATGCACAGGTACAAACCTTAGGTAGTCGTTTGAGCGATAGGTACCTATGTATGTGACTATATATTATAAGTATCTATACTTGTGCTAGGTATAACTAAAGTAGGTATTTCCAGGTCTTAGTTATGTCCATATACCTATGTAGAAAGGTATTTTCTTAATAAGACTGCCTAAAATAGCCAAGAGGGCTTTTGATAAGTCATCAAAAGCTGCCAGCTGCTCACAGTCCAAAGTCGGATTTTTTCTGCGAGAAACGCAAAACCCCGCCTTGGCTTGTCTACTCTTCTCTACCTAACCTACCTAATCCTGCCTACCGTAAGTGTCTCTACTCTTCGGCACCATCTGATCACAATTCTTTCGCGCAACGCCTTTGTGCCATTTTTTCCCACATTACCTACCTACACTATCCCTCCCAAGACACTACCCGCGGCTCCTACCGTATTCGTCTACATACCCATTTTCCGTCTCGAGGCGATTGAAAATTTTGACGATCAACAAAGCAACCTACGATATTGCCCCTCCTTCAGTATATCACCATTCGACCATACTAATCCTACGCGCTGTGGTATAATAAATTCTTTTCGCCATGGGTCAAACCCTTTCCGAGCCTGTCGTCGACAAGGTATGATGATTATGATATTTCCCTGCTTGCTGCTTGGGGCTTCCAATTGCGCCGTCTTGCACTTTTATCCCCCCCCACGACCAGCCCACCCCTCCGTGACTCCGCGCCTCCCCGGCCTTATCAAACAATATCGCAACAATCCGGCCTCGATACTCTCACATAGAGAGTTATTTAGCGCCTAATACTTGAATAACCTTATACTAACTGGGGGAATTTTTTAATAGGCTTCTGACAAAGGAGAAGATGACCGACTACTGTACGGCGTATCTGCTATGCAGGGATGGCGTATTAGCATGGAGGATGCTCACTGCACCATCCTTGACCTCTTGACACCCAAAGCCGACGAGGAAAAGAAGGTTCACCCTTCGCGATTATCTTTCTTTGGCGTCTTCGACGGACACGGCGGAGACAAGGTTGCCCAATTTGCAGGCAAGAACATATATGATATCCTTAAGAAGCAAGACACATTTAAGGCCGGAAATTACGAACAGTCTTTGAAGGATACATTCCTTGCGACTGACCGAGCGATACTGAGCGGTATGGATTCTACTTATCAACGATTATGAAATGTCCAAAGTCTAACGCATGCTTAGACCCTCAGTACGAGGAAGAGGTATCTGGTTGTACCGCGTGCTGTGGCTTGATTACCGGCGAGAAGATATATATTGTTCGTATTGCGATACCCTATTGGTCGGTGCTCATAGCTAACTCGTACTACTAGGCAAACGCTGGTGATTCGAGAAGTGTCTTGGGTGTTAAGGGAAGAGCTAAGCCGTTATCCTTCGATCACAAGCCACAGAACGAAGGTCAGTAAAATTGCCCAACATTGTCATGTTATACAAATTCGCTAATGCGCCCTGGTTTCGTAGGCGAAAAGGCGCGAATTACTGCCGCGGGTGGCTTTGTCGACTTTGGTCGTGTCAACGGCAATCTTGCCCTATCTCGAGCCATCGGAGATTTCGAGTTCAAGAAGAGTGCCGAACTTGCACCTGAGCAGCAGATAGTGACAGCGTTCCCAGACGTAGTTGCGCACGAGATTAGTGACGATGATGAGTTTTTGGTCATTGCATGTGATGGTATGTGTTTTATCCAGCTTGGGATGTCTGAACCGATAAGGCTAACTAGCAAATTAGGTATCTGGGATTGCCAGTCTTCACAAGCGGTCGTTGAGTTTGTTCGAAGGGGCATCGCCGCGAAGCAGGAGTTGGATAAGATTTGCGAGAACATGATGGACAACTGTCTGGCATCTAATTCGGAGACTGGAGGAGTTGGGTGTGACAACATGACAATGATCATTGTGGGCTTCTTAAGAGGCAGAAGTAAGGAGGAATGGTACGAAGAGGTTGCCAGCCGTGTGGCCAAAGGCGACGGTCCTTGTGCCCCTCCCGAATACGGTATGCCTTCTTAGAGCCCGGGGTCTCGACATAATTCATAGAACTGACATTGAGACTCAGCTGAATTCCGGGGACCTGGTGTGCATCACAATTTCGACGATAGTGACAGTGGTTATGATGTTGACATGGAAAACAAGTCCAAAACATTTGGGATCGGTGGGTACAAGGGCCGCATCATTTTTCTAGGCGATGGTACTGAAGTTCTCACCGACTCGGACGATACCGAGATGTTTGACAACTCGGAAGAAGATAAGGACCTGGCAAGTCAAGTGTCTAAGAGCTCGTCCGGCGAGTCAGAAAGTCGACTACCGCCCAGAGCGCCCTCGCCTCCCCCGCGTACGCCAAAGAAGCAAGAGGATAACGCTCAGGCAAAGCTTAGCGACTCAATCCCAAACAATACCTCGACTGCAACTGAAAAAGTCGCGGAAGCCGTGAAGGAGGAACCCAAGGAGGAACCCAAGGAGGCGAAACCTGAAGCCGCCGCCGCCGCATCTAAAGACTGATTAAGGTATAAGTTTGTCAGGCAGGATAGTGCTAGAACTGTGCCGTTGAGCCTTTCATCCCGCCGGCCTGCTAATCGTTAGGATTTACCCCGCACACCCGTGAATTATTAGGGATGGTTACGACAGAGCAATGAAGAGTTTTGTTTACTTGGCACATGATGGATTACCAGAAGGAAAGGAGGGGGGGGGAGTGGATGAGTGCTAGGGCGGATATCCTCCCTTAGAAGGGGGGATTTACATGGCCAGAGACACGACACGCGATATGACCACTGGGGCTACCACGTCTTGGCAACTTCAAGCACAATTAAGGCTTGGGAGTTTTCTTGACGAACTGCATTGCGGCTATTCAGAAACCTCTTTACAGCTGAGGTGTGCTCCGTATGCTATAAGAACCGCGAGAACGCTCATATGCATCATCGAGTCTATATGTTTTCTTAGGAGTGCGGAATCAGCACGTTCATAAAAATGCATTAATGCCATCTAGAAACCGAGTTGCTTGTGTTGTAGTGTTGTTACGAATGTAAAATTCTCTTTTTTGTTTTTTCCTTTGATGTAACTACCTAGGTACCTAATTACTTTTCCTTAGCGTAGCCGCATCCGGGCCATGTAAGATAGGAGATATGATATATGAGGTGAGTACGTTCTATAGGTAACCTACCTTACCTAAAGTACAATACATAACCTTGTACCTACCTAGGTTAGGTACCTAGGTAGGTAGGTAGTTAATTGGAACTGCCCAGTAATTGGAACTTTTAAGAATAAAGGCGGATTAAGAAGAGCCGAACTGCCGGCCGGGTTCCACCTCGCGGGCAATCAACGTTCCCACTTGAAGATAAGCTCTAACAAAATTTGTTGCGTGTCACATGCCGTTGCATCTACCATAACCCTCATACAAAGGGACCAGGCCTAACATAGCAGAGGATGCTATATTTATAGCTCATGTCCCTGGGGATCAAATCACTATGGAGAGCTCGAAGTTACACAACTCGTGTCAGCGGGCTCTCCCTGATTCCCAGGGAGCAGCGCAATCCATTCCATCAAGAATCAAGCCTACCTCGATGGATCTCGACTACACATGAGGATACGAAAACGGAGCTCACGAGCAAGGATATGTTGAATGAACTTTTAAAGGGAAAATCACAGTCGTTCGTTATCAGAGCGTTGCGCAGACGGGTCATTAAGAAAAGGTCCGGCTTCCAACCGAAGACACCCGAACTTGTGAAGAGACCGGTTCGATATCCCACCAAGGAAGAATCGCTCCGTAGCTTGCGCAAGCATCGACGTAGCGCTGCGAGACAACATCTATATGATAGTGCGCATGAAGCCTCTTCGAAACCTTCGAGCAGTTGGCATTCGACCTTCGATTTCATGCTACGGCATACAATCGACATCAGAGAAATATTATATTTTCAACTTATTATAGGGAAGGGTGCAGCAGCCGAAGCCCGTGCAGTACTCTCAGAACCAGATACCCATATTTCTCAGATCTGCCGTAGGAACGAAAGCCTCGTCCGAATCGAAGAAATAAACCCCGAAAATGGCGAACTTATTCTTAGTCTATCCGGCTCTGAAGACTCGGTCCGAAAGTCACTTCTGGATATCTTAGGGGTAGTAGGCAAGATTACCGCTGTTAGGGTGTCCGATCCAACCATGGAATCCCTACTGTTGGATGTATGGAAGGGTGCAACAGGAAAGCGGCCGGGAATTCGACTCCTAGGGGATGGGGAGGTTGCGGTCGACGACAAGACATTAACTTTGCAACCCTCCCTCTCGAACTTTGTCAAGTACAAGGGTTACCGCCTGACCAGGCGGGCTGACGAAATCAACCGCCCCACAGAATGGACTCAAGATTCCTTTGAGAAATACGTTGCTGCTTTGGTCCATGGGCGGGTTCCGACGCGCCTGGCTCGATCATTGTATCCAGAATTCCCCGACCATCAGGAAACTGTTGTTTCTCTACTCACCGATCTGTTCACCTCGGAACATACTAGATCAGCCGCCTCGTTGTCTGCTTTGAAAATGGCTATCAATTTTATCGAATCTAGAGGCAGCGGTTTTCGTCAAGCATCCCGAACCATCTTCAGCCAAACGGAAATGCTCAACTTCTCCATGGATGCTGAGATATTCAATATATTTCTCATTAGCGCGTCCAAGGCCGGCGACCTTGACGGTTTTAATAGCATACTAAGAGCGATGGTCCGGAAAGGTTACGCTCCGCAGGGCCGTTCTTGGGTCGCTTTCTTGGAGATGATACAAAGCCCGGCTCTCAAGCGTTATATTGTTGCGAGATTGAGAAGCAAAGGGCTTAACCGCAACCCGTCAATACTTTGCGCAATAGGTAGACAGATGGCAATTATTGATCTCGAACGTCATATTTCGACTGAATTTGATGTACAGGCATTCGTACGCGAACAAGATCAAAAGTACGGTTCTAGATGGCTAGACACCATTACCGTCAATAGGATCATAGACGTGCTCGGGGCGTATAGGAATTTGGATGCTTGTAATGCCTTGTTAGATCTCATCTATGCCACGGGCATCACATCACCCAACACTGTCACCATAAACACAATGTTGACCCATACGAAAAGCTTCGCACAACAAATAACCATCTTCAAGTCGATATTAACGCGCTGGCCAAGGCTGGCACTCCATGCGGATACTTACAATCTGCTATTTGGAGCAGCTTGGAAGAGACGGTACCCTAACATGCTTCGAGTGATATTAAGATATGCGGCTCTTGCTCGTCGTACAACACCTAAGCTGCGGTACACCCTGACAAAACTTCTTACTCAAGGACAGCATTTGAGCGTCCGGTGGGCTTTCTTGAAGGCATGGGAAGACGTAATCTTCGGGCAGAGAGAATTAACGGAGATGCGGGCGATTCATTCAGATAGCCTCAAGGTGGAGCACATGATATATAAATATGTCGAGCAGACACAAGGCATGAAATTAAAGGCTTCATTTTTAGATAAGCTCGAAGAAGCCCTTGAGATGGATATGATGATTCATCAACTTCGAAAGAATGGGCTACTCACAACTCCGTCGAAATCGATGAGAGAGTCGCTCTCGGTCCCATTGCCATTATCCAAAGCTGAAGGTTCGACTAAGGCCTCCAGACTCTCGAAGTAATATCTATATTTCTTCGCGGGGGATGATTCTGTACCTGATACTGTAACATTATAAAAAGGAGGCTGGGAAAAAAAGGACTGGATACATAGGGGTTATATGTATTAACGATGACGATCTGTATATATGTTTGTGTATATATGTTTGTGTATATATGTTTGTATGTATAATACCTATTGTAGGTAAATCCAACCTAACCTAGGTAATTATAAGAAAGAATAAACTAAATATGGGTATAGTTATAGGTAAGTTTGGAAGACGTTGTATAACGATTAGATACGTTGGTGCATAATGCATTAGTATATGTCGGGGCTTTGCCGGTGGTTTGCCTGTGGTTTGCCTACAGCTTCTTAAATGCACAATCTAAATACCTACCTAGGAAGGGTATAAGAGGGTAGGTACGATACAGTAGCGGCAAGCGGTATCAAAGCCATCAATAACCGTTCTCTATTTTATGTACTGTGATAAGTAGGCAGGTAGGTACCTTCTACTTCTAGTACAGCCCAATTATTTTAGCTCTTAGCTCCAACCTTCTCATTATGTATGTGGTACTTACAAACTTACAATATCCCGTCTTCCATTCGCCCCTCCAATCCTCAAATGCCCCGCACTCTTCTCACGCGACTATCAAGTCCACTGACGCATCTGAGACAGGCTGATCTGAGAACCCCAGCATCGTCTTCGTATACAAGACATATAAGACGTATAAGACCAGCTGTTCCCTCCTCACTTACTTTTAAATCCCCCGTAAGAAGAACATACCTGACCCCCGCCCTTCGAGCTCACCAATCCCGCAAGATGGCGCCTCAAATCGACGGCTTCTTTTCCCAGGTCGACTCCCTGTCGTCCCACTTCATCGAGCGTCTCAGCAAAGCCGTTGCTATCCCTTCCGTCTCCTCGGAGGCTGCCCGCCGACCTGATGTCGTCCGCATGGCCCACTTCCTGGCCGACGAGCTCAAGACCCTAGGTGCTAGTGTCGAGCTCCGGCCCCTCGGCAAGCAGCCTGACAACCCAGCGCTCGACCTCCCCCCCGCAATTCTCGCCCGTTACGGGAGCGATAAGAGCAAGCGCACTATCCTCGTCTACGGACACTACGATGTACAGCCCGCTGATAAGAGCGATGGTTGGGCCACTGAGCCCTTCACTCTAAGCGTCGGCGAGGACGGCCGCATGTTTGGACGTGGTAGCACGGATGACAAGGGCCCGGTTCTAGGTTGGCTGAATGCTATCGAAGCACACCAGAAGGCCGGCGTCGACTTCCCCGTCAACCTGCTTATGTGTTTCGAGGGTATGGAGGAGTACGGATCTGAGGGCCTGGAGGAACTTATCCAAAAGGAAGGCAAAGGCTACTTCGCCGATGCCGACGCTGTTTGCATCAGCGACAACTACTGGCTAGGTACCGAGAAGCCGTGCCTAACGTACGGTCTGCGGGGTTGCAACTACTACGGCATAGAGATCTCGGGTCCCGGTGCGGACCTACACAGCGGAGTGTTCGGCGGCACGGCACAGGAGCCCATGACAGACCTGGTGCGCGTGCTCGCCAGCCTGGTCGATACGCACGGTAAGATCTTAATCCCGGGCATTATGGACCAGGTAGCCCCTGTCACGAAGGAAGAGGAAACGCTGTACGATGGTATCTCGTTCACGATGGAAACGCTACAAGAGTCTCTAGGGTCCAAGACGACTATCTTTGAGGACACCAAATCGACCCTGATGGCGCGGTGGCGATACCCATCGCTGTCGATCCACGGCGTTGAAGGCGCATTCTCGGCTCCGGGAGCTAAGACGGTGATCCCCGCTAAGGTTATCGGCAAGTTCTCCATCCGTATCGTGCCCAACATGGAGATCGAGAAGGTGAACGAGTTGGTAGCCAAGCACGTCAAGAACACGTTCGCAACGCTCGGCAGCAAGAACACCCTCAGGGTGTACCCCATCCACACGGGTAACTGGTGGGCGGCTAGCCCTAACCACTGGAACTTCCGTGCCGCTAGCAAGGCCGTCGAGAGGGTGTGGGGTGTGGAGCCGGATTTCACGCGCGAGGGTGGAAGGTAAGCCGTCAAGCCTCTTGCCCTCCTTTATTCTTTGCCTTCCGCCGATATGATATAAATAGAGGAAAAAGTACATCCTTCCAAGCCTGGGCTGAGAGCTAACGTGTCGACATAGTATCCCCATTACCCTAACATTCGAGCAATGCACGGGCAAGAACGTGTTACTATTACCTATGGGCAGCTCTACGGATGGCGCACACTCGATCAACGAGAAGCTGGACAAGAAGAATTACATCGAGGGCATCAAACTGCTGGGCGCGTACCTGCACTACGTTGCGGAGGAGCCGCAGCAGTAAGTATTGAGTTGTGGAGCAGGTAAGGTGTCTAAGTGTAGAGTAGTAGTTACGGCATGACGCGGTAATGAGACGTGACGAATTATAGATGATACCATGATGAAAAAGACGAGACAGGAGCAATTAAAGTGAAGTGAAATGAAATAGGGGATAGAGCGTTGAGTAAATCGTGACTTGACACGTGGGTGAGTGTCCCCCCTGAATTACCCCCCTCCCCCCCCCCTGAATTATTCCTCCCCCTGAATTATCTCATTGCCCGTAGGTACATGAAGCAAGCAATTGATATCGTATAAAAGTCCAACCTACCCTTAAAGTGATATGGAAAACAACATCTCACTATACGATAATAATGGTTATACTCATCCTGAATATACATGCCCAAGTCTGACGTATTCTTATATAACAAATCTATAAATCTATATCTATTCACATGCCTACTTCCTAGTATATCCACAGCCCCACCCCCTTTTTAAATTTATGTATGGGATGGGAATACACACAAACCAATCCTCCCTCCCTCCCTCCCTCCCATCCATCCAGCATTCAAGCCCGCTCCGGCTCCGCAAGAAACTCCAACTCCCTCGGCCGCCCCCACACGTCGCACGGCAGGAAGCGCCAGGCGCCGGCGTGTTTGGGGGACAGGCGGTCGGCGACGGCGTGGAGGGCGGGGACGGAGAGGCGCGGCCAGACGCCGCCGTCGTGGGTGCGGCCGTCGTACGTGATGTCGCGCAGGCGCACGACCATGGGCAGCGCGGTAAAGGGGTCCAGGGAGGCGCTGAAGGCGGTGGTGGCGGCGAGGTGGGTTTTGGTCAGGAGGGTGGATTTGGCGGGGCCGGAGGAGGGGGAGCGCAGGGAGGAGGGGCGGGTGGAGGGGCGGGTTGATGGGGGGGTGGAGGAGGGGGAGTGTGTGGTGGATGAGGAGTGGGAATGGGAGTGGGATTGGGATTGGGATTGGGGTGTGGACGATAGGGGGGAGTCGAGGGCTAGGCAGAGATCTTGCATCTGTTGGAGGAGGGGGATTTGGCTGTGCAGGTGCGGGACGAGGGGGTTGGCAAGAGAAGATAGGAGGGATTGTAGGGTTGAGGGGGAGTAGGAGGACGGGTCGGCGTGTGTTGCGGCGGTATAGTTGAGGATGTTTTGTAACAGCGCCGGTATGTTTTCCTCTGAGTTATATTCTCCCCCTTCTCCCTCTCCTTCCTTCTCCTTGCCCTTGCCCTTGCCCTTCCCATTCTTATCCCCGATCCATTTTCCCTCACCTTCGCCCTCGCCCTCGCCCTCGCCCTCACCCTTAGCAAAAGTCAAAGCCACCCTCAAACCCCCCCTTTCCAACCCCAACGCCTCCTCAAACTTGGGTATCATAACGCCCTCCCTGTGGCTATGATAGTCCCTGACCCAAGCAGCCCACACGTGTGCCAGAAAGCAGAAGTCAGCTACGTCCGCGGGCCTCTGTATAAACGGAGCTTGTAGATATAGCGCGTTGAGGCCGCGCAGCATCGCGTTGTGTGTGTGCGCTACCTCGTTGGCGATGTGTTGCGCCGGATGTCCGGTCTGTATAGGAATGTAGGCATGGTTAGCATGTGTAGGCAGGTGGGTACTGGGTGGTATATAGAAGAGGCTTGGGCGGGTGTGATGATTATGGAGGAGAGGGGAGGGAAAGGGACAGGGAAATGGAAAGCAAAATCATACACGTCGAGTCCGAGACGGCGGCTCGATAAGCGGCCATGGCTCGTCTGCCCATTGTTTGCTAGCCGCTATCCTGCCCTTACCCGCTAGAACCTGAGTGTCAAGTGTCGACGTAATCCTAGCAGGAGAAGGACGCCCGGATCCTAGGGGATGTATACCCATTGTTACTTGCGAGAGGGCCATCGTGTATTAAGAATAAAATAAATTGTTAATATAGGTAATAAATCGTTAATATGTAATGTAACAGCTTATCCAACCTCAACAGTTCCCGACTTACGAATAGGAGGGATATATAATCTCTCATATAAGCCGGCCATCTTACGAGCTCGTTCCCTCAATCCTTCTCTCTCTCTAGGATGCTTATCTCCGCTAGGAATCTAGATCGCAACACAAAGCACCCATATTCCCGCAGCTTCGGTCGTATCAGCTACGAGGCGAAGTCAGCCTAGCCCGAAATACGACGGTCTCGAACGCCATCTGAAATTCCCTGCGTGCCATTATTGAAATCCCTGCAGCCACAAGTTGTAATATATGACGTGATTGTGTGTAGGAATCGGGTATCTATGTATTTATATTCGCCTCCTTGTTTATCATTTATATTATTTACTGACTCGTGGATCGGTGATAGCACCGCATTGGCATCCTTCCTCGAAGTAGGTAAGCCAAGCCCCTGTGCGCCCCCCGAGGCAAGCAGCTAGCCTTTGAATTGATAATCCGCCAAAAACCTCAAATAGTAGACGATAGTCTGTCGGGGCTGATTTCGATATATTATGTAGTACGGCATATTTATCTCCTGCCCAACCGATAACACCTTACGAATAGTATCCCAGATAAAAACCGTTTGCTCCCGAACCCCATGCATAATGCTGTGGTATGTTTATGATAAAGCAGATAAAACCCATTACGGAAGCTTGTCGTCCCCCCTAACGCCTCTTGGACCACTCTTGTCGAGGCCTGCCCAGTCACGATCCCATCCTTTCCCGCAGTCCACAGCACCTCTAGACTCGCCACTCTCTGCCATCCCTTTGATATCGCTCCAATATTCTAGCCTTCGGACTTCCTCGTCGGCGTGCTTAATAGCCGCGGCCAGGTTTTCGGCCCTTTGTTGCGTAGCAAGAGACGTCCCTTTCTGTTCTGACTCCACTTGATCGTCGTGAAGTTGTATGAGCCGTGCTAAGAGAAGCTTCCGGGTTGCCTGGAACACAAACAAAGACATGATCTCGTGCATGTAGTCTTGCAATTTCTGCAAATCATCTGTGCAATGCTCAATGCAGTTTTCTATGGCCTCGAGCTTCTCTCGGTCGATGCGGGACTTCCTCAAAATTAGCATCAGCTCGTCGGTTGTCGTTATGTCCACCATAGCTACTGCGCCATCTTCATCCTGCCTAGTATCTCTCGATTTCCGGGACGTTTCCTGGGATACTCGAGCTGCCATCTGATTGACACTCGTTCGTCCTGTCTCCATTTTCGCAGGAGTTATTGAGAAATACTCATGGCTCATGTGTGGGTCGTTCGTCTGATATCCGTGACCCTTTTTTATTCGTCTTCTGATCCAAGCCCTCCTCCGCACGAATGAATTGTACCACTTAGGGCCATGCCACGAGAATTTCTTAAAGAACATAAACGAGTACTCCCAGCCGTCACTGTCGGTCTGTATAGTCTCGTCCCGATTTATGCGCCACTCAGGCCAGGCCCATTCCCAGCTCGGGTCCGGCACTTGGGCTGTATCTATGCCTGTCGGGCTCGGCCTGTGAACAAAGTTGGTCCAAGGTGGGGGATCCAAGTTGCCCAACGCCGCGGAAGAGAATAGAGGGATGCCACAAAGGAACCCCCCACGTTGGTTCTCGTACAGTATATCAATTTCTGTTTCGGCCTCTTTAGACGGACGCGGATGGGGCTTATTTTTGCTAAGAGTCTTCTTCAGGCCATTCTCTTTCGAGATGGGCTTTTTCCCGATCACCGAGCCGTCGGCATCCTGTGCAGAAGCTTGAGAGGTATCACGTTCGCCCGAGGGACCTGCCTCGTCGGGGTCACTGTTTTTCGGTTGGACATCTCCCGCTTCAGGAGGCTGGGTAGACGGAGCTTTGCTATCGGATGAAATTAGGGGTTGGTTTGAAATAGACGCGTCGATATCATTGGCCGTTTCGGGGGTAGGAGACTGAGGTGCTTCGATCGGTGCTGAGTGGTCAACCAGACTAATTTCATGATCGATATCGCCATCTTTCAGCGAAGGAGCACGACGAGAGCTGCGCAGACGCGCGTTGGTTTTGGGCATCGTTTAATATGAACAGATCCAGCATAATGGAAATCGGTGTCTAGTTGATAATGACATAAGAGCGAAGTGGGTGAGAAAGCATTAGTTGTAATTGAGTCTTGACTAAGAAGCACAACTGATGTTTGCGTCTTACCAGAGCGTACCTGTGAGCTAGAAGATGACAATTATCGGTGGTGAGAGGGGAAGTAGACGAGACGGTGCTATCCAAGGTTAAGCTAAGAAGCTAAAATATCTGCGCCGGATAGCTAACATCGATGACGAAGGAGGCTAAAAACAAGCTGCAAGCTGCAAGCTGTAAGCTAGATAGGAATTGACACACTAAAGCCAATTGATAGCAGTAGCTGGTTAGCGGTTAACGGTCACGATTAGTAAATTATAAACTTGTAGCTCTAAGCTCGCTGAGCCTCAAGCATAAAAATTACGCAAATATCTTTTGCTTAATAAATGAGTTGTCGAGCTTCTAGGCAGCGCAGACATCCAAAATTAGATTTCACGATACCTAGGTAGGTAGGTATTAGGAATGTAGTTGATGATGTAATTCGAGAATAACTAATCCATGACGGGATTCCATAATAAAATTTGTACGAAGTACCCATGCTGAGAATTTGAAGCAAGGTTATCACGCTGTCACGGTCGCGACTGAAACGGCTTCGAATGTGGGGTATCGAACTACAGAACTAGGCCAGACAGAGAGAGACTTGGAGGGAACTTGGCTGTATCGCTATATTTACAGCTTATACTAAGTCTCCCCCAAGTCTCTCATCATTGTTACACCTTTTTCCCCACCCGCATTCGAGATGAGCTACGTCATCATGTATCTTGTGACAATGGAGCAACTACCCAGGACCTAATAGAGTAAGAGTAGCCCTCTAAACGAATCGCCATGAGGTAGAAGGTAGGGAAGCGCCTAGAGCCTAAGTCGTATGTTTATATATTGCGCCGAAGTAGTGATTCGTCCTAGTCAATTGACTCTTGTCCCTCCTTAAACTGTTTCAGTCCAATAACTTCCAATAACTTCAACTTTTATCACCAACTTTTATATCCTTAGAGGACTTATAAGATCCGGATATCTGGATAGTTCTTGATTTCCGACTCATCGATTAAAACAAACCTACCTACGAGGTACATACCAAAAAATCTATAATGTCGAGATCCAGACTGCCCCTCGTCCTCGGCCTGACGGCTGCAGGTGGTATTGGTTACTACCTGTATAGCGCCGGCGGCAACACCAAAGTTGCCCAGAAGAACGCTGAAGGTATGGCATGCTCAAGACCTCTTTCTAGATATCGTCATGGATTACGATAATTCCCGCAACGTCCCAATACTATACACAATGTCAACTAACATATATATACAGCCGACGCTCACAGAATTTCTGCCCAGTTCAAATCAGAGCTGCCCGGTCGAGGAGATCAGGCTAAGAAAGACGTCGAGAAGTACGGCGCTGAAGCCGGCGCAAAGGTCGACAAGACTGTAAGTAAAAGTCGTATCTCGCAACGTCCTGTCCGCGGTTTCTAATGATTCTTCGATAAACAGATTCACAAGACAGAATCCGAGCTGCGAAAGGCGGCTGCTGATGCCGAGGCCTACGCAAAGGATGCCAAGGCCGCTGCTCTAAAGAAGGTGGACGAGTTCGACAAGAAGGTCGAAACCGAAGCGTCCAAGGCCAAGAGTGGCATCTCTAGCTGGTTCGGCGGAAAGTAAACGGGTCGGCGGGTGCTCGTTGTTCTGGTTTAGGTGACATGGGATTAGGGTCGGGTTTGATGACGGAGGATCATCCAAAATGGCCGAACGGATTATTCTATACGATTGACGTCTATACGCATCATCATAATTATCCTCATTGCTAGCTCTCTAGTGGGCAGCATATCAAGTACGAAATTTTCGCTTGTTGTTCAAGTCCTCGCAAAGCCGTAACTCCTAATGCCCTATGCGTATGAGCCGTAATCCCCAAAGACGCCTGACTATCGTAAATCATATGTTGTATATGCGTTGCTGCATAGCCTAACAGATTATGAGAAATGAATCCCTTCTGCGTTGAAAGCCGCTAGAAGGCGCAAGAAATCATTCTCGTCGCATTTCCCACTTCTCTTGTCAGCAAGCTCGGTCACGTCTTCTAGGACCTTTCGGACTTTTTCCCTAATTAATAAGGCGACTCTCGTCTTCTTCCGCTTGCTTTTTGTCTTCGGTATCTCGGTCTTCATGGCCTCCTTAAAGAACGACGGCGTGTCGTCATCTGCTTCGTCAACATCCATGATGCCACCCCACTCCTCTTCGTCGCCAGCGCTAGGCGGCACGTTCTCGTCAACCTCCATTTCCTCGTTGTCGTCTTCTTCCTCTTCTGCAACGGTATCGTCCACAGGGATATCGTTTGTGGCGCACCAGAGCCGGTAATTTCGCTCTAACATAGAGAGGACTTCTTTATTACCAAGCCATGAAGCTCTTAAGGTTTTATTTCTTCGGTTGAAACACACTCGCAACATGCCGTCCCACTCCTCGAAGCTGATGTTCGGACGCTCTGAACCGAGTTTAGGCTCGATTCGGACGACGCTAGAATCAACTTGAGGAGGGGGCCGAAAGTTATTTCTTCCGACTTTTAAAATGTGTGTTATACCTGTGATAGCTAGAGTTAGTGTCGCTTCCTAGATGTAGACTAGAGATAACTTACGCGCCCAGAATTGCGCATTGACTGATAGGCGACAATAAAGGGGATCGCTTGGCCGGGCTGTAAGGCGCAGGGCGAATTCGCGCTGGAACATGAGAACACACGTTCTTGGTGGGTTCGGGAGAGAGAGAAGCTTGAATACTAAAGGCGAAGAGATCTGGTAAGGGGTATTCGAGATGCACACGTCGAAAGGGGGAAGTGTAGTCTTGATCACGTCTCCTAAGAGAACTTCTAGTCGTTTCTGCTCCGGCTTTCCCTGCACACGCTTCGTTGTTTCGGCAGCCATTCGGGGGTCCATTTCTACCGCCTGTTTGCAATTGCGATTAGTTCAATGACCTCCCTACGCAAGCGATAAGTGATAATCACTATGTGAGCTTACAATGACTTTCTTGGCCTGCTCGAGGATCTTGACTGTTAAATTTCCCGTACCAGGACCGACTTCAAGAACAGTGTCTGTGGGTTTGAGATATGCCTTTGTAACTATGGTCTCTGCGATACCCGGATTCTTTAGAATGTGTTGACCGAAGTCCTTGCTGAATTTGAAGACATTATTCGTTGCTGCACTCTTGGCTGGTCGCTCGTACGGACTCGAGTTTGCGCTTCCGCGTTTGGATGTCTTTGCCTTGCCCATTTTCGCTCCTCGACTGGTTAAATGGGAATTGGCAATGAAATATCCTTCTCGTAGTACATAGAATGCGCCGAGTTGTCGATTGAGGGTAGAGGGGTAGAAGGGCAGAGGGGCAATGCGATCCGCGAGCTTTCGTAACTTTTTTTTTTTGTAGATTTTTGGTGTTGCGTGGCTAGGAGTGGCTTGTTATCGTTATCGAATTCTTTATCGTTATCTAAATCCTTGTAACCACGACCCACCCCTGTTAGCGCTATGCCAGACCCGTTGCTTTCGTTCTTAGATACTTTTTAGTGATTCTTATTGTAAAGCTCCCATTCTTTCAACTGTATACAAATCAAATAACAACAACTTGGAAACGACATCTGTCCTGCCGCTAATGTCGACGCATCTAGTCGCATAGTATCCTTCGTATTGATACTTGAATTATTTTAACGAGAACGGTATTCCCGTCAGCCTGATCTTAAGACCAGCCAATATGACGGGACGACGCGATTTCCTAAGCCAGCCAGCGCCGGAGAACTATGTCGCGGGTTTAGGACGTGGTGCTACAGGTTTTACCACGCGTTCGGACTTGGGTCCAGCTAGAGAAGGTCCTTCTGAAGACCAAATCAAAGAAGCTCTTGCGAAACGTGCAGCGCAACTGGGATTTGGCGAGGCTGCAGGCAAAAAGGACGAGGAAGATGACAATGACGACCGATATCAAGATCCTGACAACGAGGTCGGCCTCTTCGCCGGTGGAGTTTACGATAAAGATGACGACGAGGCAGACAGGATATACCGAGAGATAGATGAAAAGATGGACAAGCGTCGGAGGGCAAGAAGGTTAGTTCTTCTCGTTCAAGTTCCTAATTTATCCCCAGCTAGTTCACAATTCATCCCGAACTTAGCTTGAGCAGATTACCGACGATTGTTTTACGCGAATAGGGAAGCCCGCGAAAAGGCAGAACAAGAAGAGTACGAGCTCAAAAACCCCAAGATTCAACAGCAGTTCGCCGACCTGAAGAGAGGACTGGAAAGCGTTACCGAAGAAGAATGGGCAGCGCTACCCGAGGTTGGAGATCTTACCGGAAAGAATAGGCGGAGCAAACAAGCGAGACAGCAGCGCTTCTACGCTGTTCCGGATAGCGTATTGGCCGCCGCGGGGAGCTCTGGCGAACTTGGGAGCACCATAGTTGAAGACGGTGCGGCATCGACGGCCGGCGGCTCGAGCAATCAGGATGGGACAATGACAAATTTTGCCAAGATCGGACAGGCCAGAGACAAAGTCCTTCAGGTCAGGCTTGACCAAGCATCTCAGAGCGGAAGTACCACATCGGGAAGCGCCACAAGCGTCGATCCAAAGGGTTATCTAACGAGTTTAGCAAAAACCCAACTACCCGAAAGCGCGGCTCAGGTGGGCGATATCAACAGGGTCAGGGAACTACTCGAGTCTGTCATTAAGACTAACCCGAACAACGGCCCTGGTTGGATCGCTGCCGCTCGTCTTGAGGAACTGGCTGGTAAGATTGTAGCAGCGCGGAATGTTATCGCGCGAGGTTGCGAACACTGCCCCAAGAACGAGGATGTCTGGCTCGAGAGCATTCGACTTAACGAAGGACGCAACGCCAAGGTTATTGCGGCACAAGCAATTCATAAGAACAACCGCTCAGTGCGGTTATGGGTTGAAGCGATGAAATTAGAAGATGATACCAGGTCGAAGAAACGAGTTATACGACACGCTCTAGACCATATTCCCGAATCAGAGGCCTTATGGAAGGAGGCTGTCAACCTAGAGGAAGACCCAGATGATGCTCGGCTACTTTTAGCGAAAGCTACAGAGCTCATCCCGTTGTCCGTGGACCTGTGGCTAGCATTAGCTAGGCTTGAGAGTCCCGAGAACGCGCAGAAGGTGCTAAATAAAGCTCGTAAGCATTGTCCGACATCCCACGAGATTTGGATAGCTGCTGCAAGATTGCAAGAACAGCTAGGACAAGGAGAAAAGGTCAACGTCATGAAGCGTGCTGCGCAAGTCCTCGTCAAGGAGTCGGCGATGCCAAAACGGGAGGAATGGATAGCAGAAGCAGAAAAGTGCGAACAGGAGGGTGCTATAATCACATGCGGCGCGATCATTCGGGAAACCCTCGGTTATGGTCTCGACGAAGATGACGACCGCAAAGATACTTGGCTGGATGATGCACGTGGGAGTATCAATCGGGGCATGTATGAAACGGCTCGAGCTATATTTGCATACGCGCTTCGAGTGTTTCCCACGAGCAAGACAATTTGGTTAGCAGCTGCAGATCTCGAAAGGAACCACGGCTCGAAAGAGGATCTATGGCAAGTTCTAGAGAAAGCTGTCAATGCGGTGCCTCGGAGCGAAGTACTATGGATGATGCTTGCAAAGGAGAAATGGCAAGCTGGAGAGATCGACAATGCACGTCGCGTTTTAGCCAGAGCGTTCCAGCAGAATCCGAACAATGAGGATATTTGGTTAGCAGCAGTTAAGCTCGAGGCTGAGAACGGTCAGATCGATCAAGCACGAGGCTTGCTAAAGACAGCCCGGCAGGAGGCCCCGACTGATCGCGTCTGGATGAAGAGCGCCGTCTTTGAACGACAACTGGATGACCTCGATGCAGCACTGGATCTCGTCCAACAAGCGCTCAATCTCTTCCCCGCCTCTGCCAAGCTCTGGATGATGAAGGGTCAAATTTACGAAGATCTAAGCAAACCACTACAAGCGCGCGAAGCCTACAGCACGGGGGTAAAAGCAGTACCGAAATCGGTGCCTCTGTGGTTGCTCTACTCCCGCCTAGAAGAGAAGCTCGGTCAGCTGCCCAAGGCCCGTTCGGTCCTCGACCGCGCACGCCTCGCCGTGCCCAAATCCGCGGAGCTATGGTGCGAGTCGGTGCGTGTGGAGAGGCGGGCGCAAAACACAAAACAAGCCGAGTCGCTGATGGAGCGAGCGCTCCGCGATGTACCCAAGGCAGACCAAGGTATCTTATGGAGCGAGAAGATATGGCATCTAACAACGCGGCCGCAGCGAAAACCCCGGGCTCTCGAGGCGATCAAGGAGGTAGATAACGACCCGGCGCTGCTGGTAGCCGTAGCGCGCATCTTCTGGGGCGAGCGACGACTCGAGAAGGCTCAGAACTGGTTCGAGAAAGCGCTAGTGAGGGACTCAGACCTGGGCGATAGCTGGGCGTGGTACTACAAGTTCCTGCTCGAGCACGGGACGCAGGAGAAGCGCGAAGAGGTCGTCAGCAAGTGTATTAGCGTAGAGCCCCGGCACGGCGAGGTCTGGCAGGCTATAGCGAAGAACCCAAAGAATGCGCGCAAGGGCGTCGAGGAAATTTTGAAACTTGTTGCTGCAGAGCTGCACTAGAGGTGCGCGATTCCTTGCGCTGGGTATCTAGATCTAGTATATGTATTAAATAATTTATTGTTAATGAAGTGGCCTAGACAGCGTTGGGTAAACTTCATAGACCGTGACCTTATCCGCTGTCTCCTTATTCCCTACTAAATGTCCAGGTAAATAGTGAAAATTTGAACTCAATAGGTGGTATCTAGGTTAGGTCCTTAGCATGTTCAATCCGTAGAAAACATTCCATCATATTCGTCATTATATGTCCCGTAGCTTCATTAAGGGTTTCCAGAGCACGGCCAGCCAGCCAGTCAGTCAGCTACCAACGCCTAACCCATCCATCCATCCACCCATCTATCTTCTCGCAGATGCTTACCCGAAGTATAGAGATATCGGGAGATGATGGTACAGCTGATAGTCGAACTCCTGACTCCACTCCAGCACAAAGAACTTGGTAAGCGCCACAACAGCTTCAGCGTCCAGTTCCAGGGTCTCAGGGAACCCGGACCATTTCCTTGGCCGCCAGAAATTCACCTCGTCCAGCCTCTCCAGGCCCCAGCTCTCGCCCGCGTATACCGCCGCGACGTCGGTTACCACGCGCACCGAGTCGCCCGAGTTGCCGCCCCCCGAGAGCACCGCCGACGCCGCCATGGGCCCCATGCTGCTGCGCACAAACTCCGGGTCCCAGCCCCGAGCGCGGAATACTTGGGGCCGTTGCGCAACTGTCTCCTGCAGGAGCGAGGCTAGCGTCGTGCGGTGGTGGTCCATGGTCGGCTTCCCGTAGGCTAGGAGCAGGTCCCGCAGCCCGCGGTGCATGCTCCAGGACAGACACGTCCAGGGCAGGCTGTCGAGAGCACGCTTTATGACGTCTTGCTCGGCGGGAGGGACGACCATGGCGACGGTGCGGTCGCCGGTGTCTTTGCTCGGCAGGTCGAGCTTGATTTCGCCGTTGCCCGTGTGCGCGGCGCTGCTGGGCCGCGCGTAGATGAAATCGACGTCGAAGGCGCGGCCGCCGAGCATGTTGTACAAGTGCCGGCCGGAGTGGGCGCCTTGGAACCCCTTGGGCGCGTGCTCGAGCCGGTAGGTGCCGCTGGGCTTCCGGCCGCCGAAACCGACAGCGAAGTCGGACGTCGGCGACGATACGACGCCGCATACCATCTGTCCGCAGCGGTCAACCCGTTGCATGAAGCTCCGAGGGAGGACTTCTGTTGCGCCGATGGAGTCGTGCGCGGCGAATTTGACGATGGCTTCTTGGCCGATGGGCCAGGTTATGTCTGGAGGAGTTAGCTGAGTTGTAAGGTGTACAGAAGGGGGTTAGGGGGAGGTTATATTATATATATATATATATAGGTAGGTATATATAATAGAAAATTCGAGGCCGACTTACACCACTGCCCACAGTACGAAGCATACCCAGCCCGAAACCCAGAAGCGTCGCTATACTGGAACACCGGGCGGCCGTTGGTCACAACGAGCATAGTAACAAGCGTAGTCCGCGATATGACGATGCACGCATGCGACTGATGCCTCTTGAGCGACTTCCGCGTAACATTCGACCAACTAGCACTACGCACCAGCCCACCCGTCACCTCTCTCCCACCACCATCGCCCTCCAGCGTCGTCGTCGACGTCCTCACGCCCCCCTTCTCAGCCCCAGCCCCAGCCCCATCTCCCTCAGCGGCGTACAACAGCGACGGCGGATCATGGTTAAACATAGCCAGGATGGTCGACCAGCCGGCCTTGCCGGGCGGCGCGACGGGAATGCGCGTGACGTACAGGCCGTTGACGCCGCAGAAGCCGTCGGACATGCGGGCGGCGATGGCGGGGCCGAGGGGCGGCGGCCTGGTGATGCGCCACCACGGGAACCGCTGTTGCCGCTGGAACCAGATCCCGAGGTACTCGGCGGAGCGGTTCGCGTGGAACGGGTCCAGCTGGTCGTTGATGGCGCTGGCTTGGGAGATCAGCCCGCCGAGCCCGACTGTCGTCACGGCGAACGAGAGCCACGCCGCGGCGAGGTTGGCCGTGTCCATGCTTCTTGGGAAGAAGAGCTGGGGAGGCGGTGTTAGTTAGTTAGTTAGTTAGTTAGAGTTAGGTTGCGTGTGGTGTGTCTAGTCTACCGTATCTAGGTATGTATATGTCTGTCTGTCTGTCTGTCTGTCTGTCTGTCTAACTATAGTAAAACAAGTTGTCGCATAGCTACCAGCTATATTACATAGATAAACAGGAAGATAGGTAGGTAAATGGAAGAAAAATGGTGTCACAGTTCAACAGGATATAGCTATAAAACGTCAAGTGTAAAGTGGACTGACCAATCTCAGCTGCTCTAACATCCGCCGTGTAAGCCCTATTGGGACCTTGAGTATAGAGAGGGTCGAGCTGCTAGACATGGTTCTTCGGGCAGTCTATACCCTTTGAGGTGTGCTATGCTTTCAGCTCGCCAGCTAAAGGGCGTACGATGTGATAATTCGCGGCTATGCGGTCTAGCCCGAGCCAACCACAGACGCGTTTACGGGCAGGGCCCCGCCGAAGGTTGTCGACAGCGGCTAGGACGGCTTCATGCGAGACTCCCTCTTCTAGGTTAGACACTAACACACCTAGCTTGCCGTCCGGAGTTAAGAGAGATTTGTCCCGAGGTTGGTAATGCTATATTGTCTTGAAGGGAGTATAAAAGGAGGGTATTACACGGGACGTGATTGTGCTGGGTTACGTATGTCGTGAAACATGCAGCGATCCAGGCGAGTTAGGGAACAGGGGTCGCCTTTACGAAAGCGGAATAGTGGCATGCAAAGAAGGGATGATCCGTCTATAGGGCTCATCAGAAGTTACATTTCTCCATGCTAAGCCATCTACTTTGCCAATCCCGCTCGTTTACGTTCCGGGGGATACTCTTACATACTATGTAAGTGGGAAGAGTCAGATGCAATGCTAAGTATAAGATTGATGTTAATAGGGGAGAAAATACTCTTTACACCATATCACGTATACACTAGAGCTTCTTAACTTTTTCAAGTCTGACGCAGCCATATATCTACTAGAAAGGACTCATTTGTTTCATCAGATTAAGTATTGTCTTCTCAAGTATCTTCATAAGCCATTACAAGTACAGATGCGGACCCCGTCTGTCTGGGTATCTGGTGTGAATAGTAATAAGAGCAAAGTAAGTTGTTGCCGCCCTCCGTCTAATTCCCATACTCGTTTTGATGAAAGTGAAAATAAAAATAAAAATAAAAATAGAGGGCTCTCATATGGTCCTCCCTTCATGTGGAAGAAAGGAGCGATAAAGGAGCCTCCAGACCAGAGGTCCCGTTTGGAGGGTATGCTTTTGTATGTCCATCCTATGCAAAGTGTATTTTGTAACCGGCCCCATGGTTACCGCAATGCCCTTCTGTGTTGAAAATTCGAGAACTGTTCTCTCTGAACTGTAGAAAACAAATGTGCTGAATTACACCATGAGAACAAATGAACAAGGTCGTGGGATCCACGGCCTGAATTCTCTCTTCCCGTATGTCACCGTACGAAGAAAAGATCCAACGCCTAGAGCTCCGGTAATGCCTATGCCGTACCCGCTCAGTATACAGAATCAATCATTAGAAGTAACAAATAAAAGTGTTTGTGGGCTGGAGAGGCCCATGTCGTAGATATTATTGTATTGCAACAACAGTCTCATTAGGTCGTGGAGATGGGTTATTTGCTGAATTCGGTTTGACAACTGTCTTACCGGATATCGCCACATTTCTAGTTCTCTGACTAAGAGGCAACGTGTACTTCAGAACTCCTTTGACAATCAAAGTGAACTCGTCTGCAATAATGCGTTCCCATCGCTCGGAACCACTATCGGTACCGTTACCAGGTCGAGTGAGGCGCAAGGAGCCCGTGGAAGTGGATATGCCTGATTGGAAAAATGACCCTTCATACGTTAACGGACTGTCGAACACCATGATGTTCCCGAGACGCATGTTTGGTGAAGCATCTGCAGGAGGCGGTTCGCCGTCGCCGTCATCGTCGTCATCGTCATCGCCGTCATCATCAGGTAATCTAACGATTGGCGGGTCATCCTTAGGGTCGTCTAGAGTGCCAAGCTCGTCTCGGCCAGGATGGCGCCACCATTCCGAGTCGGTACCAGCATGCGGGGACTTTGCGAATATTTCAAGGTCAGACGTATCGATCATTACAACAACAACGTTCGGGTTGTGTGCTTTAACAGTGATGTCCATCATCAGCTCTTGTTCGCTGGCCAAAACGTTCCCGATCTTGACGAGTTCGATGTCGGTAAGCGGCTGAGATGTCGCAAACATAAATCCAAGTGCACCGGAGAGAACAACCAATAGCATTATGGTAAGGACAAGACAACTCGCAAAACGGTTGATAAATGAAGGGTTTCGCTGGTATGTTTGTGCTTCGATATTTCTCCAGTGTGGGTTGCGCCGACTTCGATTAGATCGGATAGATCTGGCCGTGCCACTTAGGAGAAGAGGGGTCCTTTCATCATCGGCACCGGTGGTTGTATCATCGGCGTCGTAGCCGCCTGCGAGCGCCATTTGTCGCTTACTAGTAGCTGCCCAACCTCGACCTGTACCAAATCTAGGGCTCGTAGGGTTGGGAACCTGTCTTGCATTATTCCCGCCGAACTTCGACTTGGCTGCGTTAGGAAAGGGAGATTCATTATCAAATAGCGAAAGGTGATTGCTGTTATTCCGACCCCAGCGGTTAGGATGGTGGTGATGACGGCCTGTCCCTCGTGCAGAGCCAACATTACTCCGGCCCGTGCCCCGACCATCGTCGTCTCCCAAAGGACCGTCGGTTCCGCTGCTTGTGTAAGTATTAACAAATTTCATATTCTTTTTGACTGGCATAGTAGGTGCGCCGGTCTCTGTCATGCCCGTTATCGAGCGTACTCCGTTCCGATTGACCTGGCTAGCAATAGAGGTTGCACTGGGTGTACGCGAGTGGAAACGGCGAGGGCGCTCGCCTACATCTGGTGGGTTCGAATCGTATACGAAAGTTTCGTCCGAGTCCGAAGAATTAGCTTCCTCCACAGCACTGGCAACTTTAGCCTCGAAAATATCTGCTTTTGAGGATGCTGGGCGGTGTCCTCTAGTTAGCAAATTGGTCACTTGTGAGGTAAAACTTGAACTATTGGCCGAAAATTGTGTTATGATGGATTCATCTCCATACGATCCTTGACCGTATATGGTTGAATGATGAGATGAAGAAATGGACTGTATCGAGCAACTATGCCGAAGCTTAAGTGTCAGAGCAGTGGGTGGCTCACCATTGCCAGATGCAACAGATGCGGGCTTTCTCGTGTGCTTCTTTTTTTCCTTCTTCGGTTTTATGGTTTCCGAACTGAGTTTCGTTCTCAGACTTCCATTTGCTCCCTGGCCCCTCGTGTTCGTGGCTATTGAAAGCCCTGGAAGGTTGTTGATTTGTTCCGTCTCGACCGTCATATTTCTCGACGAGCTCTCGCCAGAAGTTGGCCCTTTGGCGCCATACTTGAGGGTCGTGCTCGACTGTCTGCTGTGGAGTGAGGGCGCAGGACCAACAGTACTTGTCCTTCTCGAACTCTTAACATTACCACCATCGCTGCCACTCTCGCTGTTCGTCGCATTCTGACCAGAAGTTGTCCTCTTGATCGTGCTCCCGGAACTTTTAGAGTGCGTCGGTGACTGCGCAGCGGCGGTCTCGGCAAGCTTTTCGATAGCAACGTCCAGTCCTGGTCGCGGGGTATTGGGTTGGCTGACCTCCTGGACCGTCTCCAAGGTAGACGATCCATTACTTGGTCCACGAGCTGGGGTCCTCATACCAGATGACAGTTGCGACTCTTCCGCCTCGTTGTCGGAGGTAGACTGCGAAGCGGATTCCACGTGAGGCGAAGGCGTCGCTCGCTGAACATTTATCGCGGGTGCTTCTTGCTCGGCTTTTCGTAACGACGAACCGGGTACGGCTGGCCGGCCGATGTTAGGCGGCGGTGATCTCAACCGAGGTGACACGGGCCACCGGGGTGAATCTTTGGATAGCTCGGACGCAACGGAAACTTTCTGCGGGACGGGAGTTCGCAGCACGGGCACCGAATTTGACGGAGGAGGTAACGAGGGCGTCGTGGCGGAAGAAAGCTGCTGTCGCGGAGTCGAAGGTGCAGGAACGGTAGTTCTAGGTCTCGACGGACTAGGATCTTGGCCACTGTTCTTGCGTGACCCAGCCGGGGTTGTGGATGTACGGCTTGCTCTTCCTGTCTTAGCTGAGGGGCGTATTGGTGATGTATCTCTAGACTGTGCCGGCGACGCGGTAAGTGAAGTGGAGGCTGATGTCCACTTTGAGGCTTGTGAATCTATATGGGCGCTAGAGGTAGCAGAAGTGTCGTTGTCGATAGAGTTCAGGCTGGACAGACTGGCGTCCATAGCAATGGGAGTATGTGCCATGTTGCTTGGCTATTTGGATTAAGTCGGCGCAAACAATGGAACCACGTCTACCAGGAATGGGATTAGCTGGGAAGGATGGCTGGTGTACGTCGATAGAGGTTGATCATCGTGATGTGGCAGCAGGTTCGCATGCGACTAGCTTTCACACTGGACGAGCCGGGCGAATATCGTACAATCAAACGAGTGTTGTAATGCGGTACGGCCCCTACCACCTTGCTCCCCCACTGTCTTCCCTCTCCTGTCACGTAGCCTTGTCTACTGTACGTATTTCGTATGATAAATGCCCCAGTCAGGAACTTGCAGCAGTGATTGACGAATGGGGCCTGGGGATGTGTTGTTTGTGCCGGTGTGGTTAGTGGTCAGGATACAAAAAGACTGCAAACGCGGGATTGGGCGCGGGAAGCAAAATGTCTGAATGACACAATAATGTGGAGAGTTGCGGATGCGTTTAAGGTGTACTGCAGAAATGGGGGGCGGCACGTATCGAGTAAAGTAATAACAGGCCGACAATTAGCGGTATGATGGTAAATAGAGGAAGGACCAGCCGAAAGACGGGGTTTGGGAGATAAACTATGGACAATGTTTGGGCAACGAGGCGTGAACGAGGAAGAGGTTGATTTGTTGGAGGGAAAACACGGGGAGTTGAATTGTCAGTCCTTTTTTCGATTAACTATCAGATTTGAGGGTAATGATGTATTGCAGGTACACATGCATCTAAGAGGTACCTAGGTATCTTTACGGAGCGATGTACGAAGTACAAACATGCATAGGAATGGATACCTGCATGTACATATGTACATGTACGCACATGTAACCCAACCAAGGCACTTTATTAATGTTCGCTGCAATTTGTTCGATGTTGCAAGGTATTTTATCCTAGATAGATTTGTACGTACGTACCTAGGTAGTTACCCGGTCACGTTGAATAAGCACCAACCAGGCATCTAGAAACCTGAATTATGAATTGTAAATTATGAATTGTGGCAAAAAGATGAATACGTACCTCTTATAATACGAACGTACTTAACCTAACACGCATACATAGGTACCTACATAGCAAATGCCAGCAATTTCGACGCTTTAAGGATTTTACATATACATAGAGGGCATGCCACACTATGTACTGTCCATCCCACAATTCTAGACTAAATCGGCCAGCGAAAAAAAAGTATAAAAATGAGACACACAAGAGACGGGGAGAACGGTAAATACTTAATGTGCATTAGTTGGGTTTACCATGCCTATTAAGGTTACTTCCTGCTGTGTTGTGAAAGTCAATTCAATATATCTATGCATTCAAGGGTCACGATACAATCAAAACTCATCTCTACCCAGCTGCCGAGATGTCTTTCAAAAAGTGGGATTTACTCATATGTATTACGGCGCAGGTACGGACGTAGATAATTCGGTCATCTATCTCATTGATTCGATAGAATGGACAGTATTACTTTATATATTAGGCATGTGCATGTAAGCAACATTGAAGACTTGAGTTGATGGGCTGATATCTCTCTCCATAACCCACATAGCCGAGGCACTGTATCTTAGGTACATCCACTATCCCTAACCCGTCGGAAACCATGAAATGGAAAGATGCAAAGGCCAAAGACCTTTGCAGGTTCGGTAACCCATGAATTTTCAACATTTCACTCGCTTTGCATTCTAAGGAGCCGGCATGCGTACCGAAGGGAGGAATCTCTTCAGGGACTGACCTTGCCCTGAAGCTAAGCCAGCTGCAGCACTTTGTCGACCGCCCGCTCCCCAGAAATCTAGCCTAAGTGGGCCTTTCTTGCCTTACAATCCGCTTGGGATGACCCGTAGTGTAGATATCTAGGGTTGCGAGAGCGGTGACACGAAACACTCAATAAGTATACCTAAGGTATATATGTAGGTACCCAAAGACATAAAGACAGGTGTACCAATACTACCTCATATATTGTGAACTCATCGTGGCATCGTAGGTAAGTACCTGGGTAATTACCGTAGGGTTGAAAAGTCGCGAGAGACTTAACCCGACACAGAGTGAAAGTAAAGAAGGAGGGTAGGATTAACTATTCGGAATTACAATAACTACTATATTAGGTTTGCAACGTATCATACGTAACCCTGCTACTACAACCTTTTTTAAGAGACGGAGCAAATATGTATATACATATGAAGAATGAATGCGGCAATTACGGTATTAATGGAAGCCCCGGAGGAATAGAATGTACATGTATCCAGGAACACAATCTCACATGTAGGAAGGTACTTGTAAGCTCATTAATAGATACTTAGTGCTACAAGAGTAAAAGCTCCACTTCAGTGGTTTCGAAAGTCGTTACGCGGTATCTGCCGTTTGACCGTAAGTTGCTTCGACGGATATTCTTCTCCACAATTGTTAGCCCATGTTGATTGATCCACTTGCCTTAGGCTCCCGATGGCCGCGCCGTCTTTTTTCTTTCGGTTTCTAGACGAATATTCTTCTTCTTCTCCACTCAAATCGTTCCTCGTAATACTTTAACCTAGTGCCCATCTCGTCTATGTAGTTACCGCTTATTCTAACAAGTCAAGGGGAATCCTGCGAATTTACCGGTCTTGCTTTTGCGAACAAATAGCGGTCTATTGCAGTATTCATGGTTTAGGAAAAATAGAGCATGACGGCGAACATGCCGTGGGATGGTGCACCGAATCCGTCTCTGTCCAGGACGGCAGATATGACCGGGGTCTGTTCTCCAATGGGTTGGTAGAGTGTGGTTGCTATGCTTAGGCACGGATTCCAAGTCGAATCAAAAATAAAGAAAAAAGTATGGGATAACGCTAGGCAGGACGAATTAAGAATAATGTTAAGAGGAAGGCTTCCCTTGGACTACTCAGCCTTGCATCAGCCTATAGCAACATCGCTTTCCCAATAGAAACCCGGCAAATTTGGACCTCTCAGAGATCGACATGTGGACGACCTGCTAACGCATGCAAATGATTCTGCTGATGCGTGTCTGACGAACGTGACCCTGACAGCTCAATCACCACCAAGTTCTCTAGGCGTTAATCGCCCAAAAGGAACATCGCATATGCACAATTTCAATTTAGGAGTTCCCGAGATGGTAGTCGAGACGACTATATGATAACGGACTGACATTGCGCATACTATATATTACTCTATCTCTAGCGTTGCCTCCTTGGGAAATCAGATGGGTGACCGGTCGCTCGGTGACGAGTCGCTGACGGGTTTTGCGCGCAGGCGAACAAGAGCCAGAGAACCATTATCCCTTGGAGTCAGAAACTCGACGGGACGTCCCGGTTATCCCGTCGTATACTGCTTTGGAATCGACACTAATAGATCACATACTATTAATAATACATACATCTCGTCTCCTCCCTTGTAAAAATAGCACCCTCATCATTCCTATAACCCCTTCTTAGGTACATAGCAATGCGGGTATGCTCACTACCTACATACTACTATCCAACGCGGCAGCCACCCTGTCAGACATCGCTGTACGATCTGACATAATAAGCGGCCCGTCCAAACGGATGGGAATATGTTGCTCAGCCTAGAATCCTGCCTTGCCTTACCTGCGCCAAGTTGATATGTCATCGATCACGACGGGCAACCTGGAGTACACCGGGACTGGTCGGTTGGGTGGTCATCTGCGCAGGAACCCGCGATCCCCATAGGCCCGGTTGATGCCAACATCCGTCCAAGGAGCTGCTGCAGTGTGGGGGGGGGATTCAGCTTTTTTTGGGAGTCAGAATACAACACCAGTTTCCCACACCCTTTCGACTATAGTATATGCTAAAATGGCTACTATGGATCGACACCTAATTTCATGGAAGGGAGAGTAAAACCCAAAGTGGTGACGAAATACTACGCCTTTTCGTCATCTACTTAGTATTATCCCTCCATATTCATATAGGTAACCAGCGATTTGGTGTGTTGTCTTTTCGCGTGGGGGGTAACATTGTCCCTTAACGTAGGAAGATAGACAGTGAGGCTCTTCACATAGGACCAGTGAGTAACTTCTGCATTCTTTTTTAACACTTACAAATTTGAAGATGTAATTATTAATATGTGCCATACATGTATTGTTCTTGAAGTAGTTAGAATGACCTTTTATGTAGGGCCTGGAAAAATAAACCTCTTAACGAGTCCGGAGTTTCTCCCAAACTTTCGGTATAGATCCGTACTACCAATCCATCCAAAAAAGCCACACGCCTATTATACATCAACCATGCGAGTTACCCGGGCATTCACGACGTGGGGTTTGAGCCATTTTGCTCCTGACACTAACGATCAGTCTTGTACTCCCCAATCCCCATACTTTTGCTTACCCCATGCTTCAAGACCCGACCTCTCGCTTGATGATACCCAGCACGGCGTTTCTCAGTCAGACTAGCGAGTCATAGACATAGAGAGGCTTGAATATGGGACCAAGTGAGCTATTTTCTCACACGTTCTAGACAGCATCTTAGGATTGCCTACCAGTACCGTCTACCAGAAAACTTGGACAATAGTGATTCATAAGGTTGGCACGTGGTAGATTTCGTGACGTGATACTGGCATTAGATCGTGTAGCTTAGTTGAACAAGTCCTGAGGTACAGATTAAAGTGTCTCGGGAGAGTGACGCTTTTGAATTAAGCCTGTCTTTCTAATGTCGCGGAAGCACTCCAACGAGACGACAGACTAGACCTCCGTCATAACCTGATAAAGTAGGTAGCCTGCAAGGGGGGTTAGACATATCGATCTGGCAGACAACAGAAGCGGCGTGGCTTCTACGCTGCTCACTAATCCGGATTATCCCTCGTGCAAGGTGAGAAGTACTTGTCATGTATTAGGTGATACCAATCAAATAAAGGAGAGATGTATGAACCCGGACATACCTAATTCCCATCAGAATAGTACTACGCCTGTCGGTATCTCGTCACATCAGAGCCTTTCCCGGGGAATGTTTAAGGCCCTCTATCGTGGTGATTCTAGATTTGTCCTACGTATTGAGCACTCCCTCACTTGCCCACACACACAGAAAGGCGTTAGCAGACTGGCCACCTTGTATCGGCGAAAAGAAAACCTAGAATATGTAGCTTACGGTTTAACACACCCAAAACAACGCTCTGTACCGAGGTAATCTACCTACGTATATACCTAGACATGCTCATCGGAATGCGGTAAATATAATCCCCGGCCATCGTAGTACACTAGGTTAGGTCGTCTTAAAACCCAAACTATCATCGTTGCACATCACGGCTTGGATGATAAATCAATCTTTAAAGTCGAAACATTAAACTCAGCCTTGATTCGATCCTTTCCTTTTGATATTGCCTCAGATACCTAAAGTAAGCATATCCACACCTACCTAAGATGGCAATCCTCGCGAACATTACACTCATGTATCAGTCTCCCTCATCTCGTCTTCCCCTTGAGCCCCTTTAAGCATTATACTTCCACGGTAGGCGGAACTTTTAAAAGATGGGCACACGCATTACCAAATGCTTCACATACTAGCACGAAGACGATAATAATCACGATCCCAAGCAAACATCTCTCTTCAATCTATAGCAACCCAACTCATCTTTCTTTCCCTCATCTGTTTCTCATCTTCTTTTCTAAATCTATCTTACTCAAATTCATTCATCCCAGACAGCATAATCAACATCGACATGAACAAATGAACAAATACTTTAATGGTAATAAATATATCCCGGGCATAATCGTGACTTAACTACTGTAAGTAAGCAGGGCTGGTCGTTCGTGGCTACTATCCGTTCGTTCGTTCCGTCATCTGCGGCCCATCCAACCTACATAGTTGATTGCTTGTCCGTCGTAGCGAAGAAAAAAATAAAAAAATAAAATAAAAAAGAGGCATTACGTACATAACACACCATCTACCATATAGCGCGATAGGCAGAGGTTTTGTAGTTGAATAACAATTCTTAATCATACCTCCTTTCTAGGAGGTTTCCATTCGACGTCGATATCGATATTGATATCGACACCAATTTCGGCATTACTGTTCATCAACGTGCCACACTACCGCACGCTTTCATGTTCATCCTTCTTCCCCCAGGCGCTACTCGCCCAGCCGATCCAACTCGCACGCTTGTTCTCCGCGCGCTCTTTCTCGTTGTTTTCCTGGACTAGCCTCAACGGTCTCGGCTTGTTACCCGCGAGCGTGATACTTTTCTCAGCTATACTGCTTATAGTCCTAGGCGGGCTCTGGCTGGCCGAAGTGGCGGTTGTCCCGTCTGCGGCCGAGTCCCCGCTTACACTGCTGGTTTCGCTGCGCATACCCGGGAAGTTACCCGAGCTGCCATTGGTGCCCGAATGTGAGCGGCCTCCAGGTGAGAAGAACGTTTGGGAATGTCGTGCGGATGATGATGTCGTGCTCAAAGTCGGAGATAGTGGGCCGTCAGGCCCCTTGTACATGGCGTTCACGATGCCGGCTGCCCCCGTCAGTTGCTCGCTCATTGGCCTTCCGAGGCGCCGCGCCGTGCTCTGCGAGCGCCCGAGTCCGGTGAGGGGAATGCTGGGAGCCGTATCCGGGTTGGTGTGCGCAGAGACAGCGTGGATTTGGTGCGCCGCGGACATAGTCATAGGTCGAGGCTTTGGTCGAGGCATGGGACCAGTGGCGATGGATTTCGCGCGTGTTAGGAATGAAGCTCCCTGAGAATCTGTTGGGGGTGGTGGAAGGTCCTTGTGTAGATTGGCACCTGGCTTGAAGTCGGAGGACTGGTCGAGGATGTGCTCGAACTCTTGGTGTTGGAGGAGCCGCTCGATGATCTTGTTAATATACAACGTAAGAGCTTTATTCTGGTCCTTAGCAGCACGGAGTTCAGTCTCAAGACGACGCAAAGTCTCCTCATCAACAGCCTTCTCATCTCCGCCGAGGGAACTCAGTTCATCAGCCAAACTAGTCCCTGGAGTTGGTGGATTGTCGCTGGCGCTGGATCGACCTTCAAGAGCATTGAGTGCGTCTTGGTTGGCGGAAACGTTCATGTAGCCAAAATCACCCTTGCCAAACTCGCCGTGGAGTGTCTTCTCCTGGAGGAGCAGCTGATACGACTCGTTATCTTCCATCAGCCGTGCGTTGGCCATGCGAGCCTCCATGAGCAGGCGTTCGACTTCGTGCACGCGCCCGCCGCCTTGATTCTCAGTCTCAACAAGCTTAATCTGAGCCTCTGCGAGTTCAAGACGTAGAGACTCAATCAGCTTATCCTTCTGAAGTAACAGCTTAGAATTATTCCTGGAATCGCTACGCTGAATTGAAGAAGGCGGAGCGAAGTTCCCATTCTCTACACTAGGAGAGGAATTACTCGCTGTGATGTTACTCGAATTAGCGATTGCACATGTTAAAGCCATGCAATTTGGATGCTCACATTGCCTTGTTGGGCGGTTTTCGTCTTCTGCGTTCTTTTGGTTGAGCGTCTCCTTTAGCCTATTGATCACAGCTTGCATCTCTTCTTCACGGTTCGCCATCTCTTCCTTCTCTTTCATCATGGAGCTCCGCTCGGCCTCATAGATTGCTTCCATCTCGCGCATCTGCCTTGCAGCTTCACGTTTCTCATTTCTAAGCGCTTCGATTTGCTCCTCGCTCTCGTGCACCTTTTCTTCTAGTTTGGCTTGCTCTTTAAGGGCATCATCGAGTCTTGTCTGTAAAACCTCTGCTTGTTTCTTATGCTGCTCGGAAGCACTGTCTGCCTTCTGTAACCGCTCTTTTAGGTCTTCAATCAGAGCAACCGTCTCGGCGCGAGCCTCAGCATCCCCAGCTGTGCTGGAAATACTCAGCGACGAGGTTGTCCTATGCGTGGCAGCGGCTCGCGCTGACATTGGAGTACCGCCTCGACTAGACCGTGTTCTCTGTGGGCTGTTGGTGGTTCCTGCACCATTTGTAGAAGAAGTCGGTGTAGACGCTCGGGTCTGCCTCGATGGAGGTGTGTTCTCGGTCGAGGAAGCCCGGCCCTGCGCCGCGGATAGTGGCTTCTTAGGTGTAGCGGACATTTGTCCGGTTTAATGGCGATACGCGGGTAAAGGCGAACGTATATACAGGAATGCTACTACAGGTAGCCGAGTTGCGGAAGAGTTGTCTCGTCAATCTATTCAAAAGCCGAAGCAATAGATACAATGTAATGTTCAATGTAATGTTGGAGGATATGGTATGATGGAATATGATGGTTGGTTGCTAGGTCAAATCGCGAAGAATGAGACAAGTCGGAAAACCAATACGTTGTTGGCCGGTAGACGACGCAGATGTGTTTCTGGTTGATTTTGGACCGTACCTAATGTTGTTTTTGTCCGAGTGGCTCATATGCATTTGTGGTTCGTGGATTGGTGGCGCGGGATGCACAACTCTTTGGGTCTCGGGGGAGACTTTCTTGGGTTAGAATTCGCAACGGAACATTGACAACGTGACACTGACAAGCCGCTGTTCAGGTGCTTGTATGTATGTACTGTAGTGTAAATTGCCCGTTTCCCGTTGGTACTTCGTATAAATAGGGGACTTCCAGGTTGGATCTATTGCGCTAGAGCGGGTTTAGACTGTTGAATGTTGAAGGCGCTTAGCCTATCTGGGTTTATCCTTTTTTGACCCTTTTTGGCCCTTCTTCAAAAGTCAGGCGAGAGACTCAGCCACCTTTTCTCAGGGAATCACGAATCCTGACTTGGCTTTTCTGTCTGATTCAAAGTAAAAATAGCATGTACCTTGGTACATATATAACTAGGAGGTAATTTGTAGCTTGTAACTTGTAATTTGTAGTATGCAATATGTAGTATGTATTAGGTAGCAACATCAACTTCGAAGAATATTTGTAGAAGTTCTTTTTAAATGTTCATATCTCCAACTCCTTTTGGGTCCTCTTTCCCTTTTACCCCCCTTTCCGCTTGTAAAGTTTAATTAGCGTTTATGCGGTTTCTTATGTAGGTACTTAGGTACTTAGGTACCTATGTAGGTCCCAATACCTTAGCGCTCGGCAAAGAGTGACGGTGTGGATGCTTGGATCATTGTGGAACATGTTTTATATCAAAAGGACGCGTCCCAATAACAGGAGATCGATAAAGTATCTTTGGGATTGTATTTGCTATGATATATGTCTCCGACAATTGCTGTTTGAGGACTTTATCAACTCTTCTTTGTTCTTCTCTTCTTTGTCCTTGTTCTTGGTGGTCGAATCAGATTAAGTGACGATTCTACTTATCATAAGTGATAAAGAAATCCAGACGTCAGGCGAGGTTAAATTGATTATACAAGCATGCTCACTTTCGTATTCTTTCTCTCCATTGTTATTCAGTACATACCTATTATCCTTAAAATATCACTGTTGAGGTACCTACATGTAATTATGTAAGTAGAGGTATCTACGGGCTTTCTTGAAAGATCAATACGAGGTATTCCAGAGGGAAACCTTATGCCAACTGGGTTAGTAAATTATTTGGATATCATGATTTTGCTGCATCCGTTTGTTCCGACGGGATTATGCGTGTAGACTTAGTGAACAAGGTTTATCTCTACCTATTCACATTGTTGAAAATCACTTCGTCAAGGTGTTGGTGCTAGACTTGCATCCTACTTAGGATATTCACTATATTGTGTCCAGCCAGTATCAACTACCCGAGTCACAACTAATTATCACAGAGCATTCAAATCTTAGCTATAGCGCTAGAAAGAAGGATTGTCGGGTATCATTTATATCCTTTCCGAAGTCCGCAAGCTTCGTCTGGATTGACATTTAGTATTGGTCTAACCGGCTACCTACATAGAGAACTCAAGGTGGAGCCTCGCAAATGTGCTTCCTAATGTGGAATTTTACCGGCCGTCATCATTCGTGAACAGCCAACTACGATGACCTTTTCCCAACCAATGAACCCCAACGCCGTCAGAGGATGCCTTATCTAGACCTAAGCCTGTTGGTCGCTGAGGATATCGGAGTCACCAGCATCAATGATGGCCATGGTGGAGCAACGGAACAGTTTACCGCAGGCAGTACCCAGCTCAATCTATATTCAACCAAAAAGTAAGCCAACTGAATTACCCTCCAAAGCCAATATGGCTTCTTCTCTGGGTAGGGTCGTAGACAAGTTAAACCCGTCTACTGACCATAGAGATAAAAGAAAGACGGACATATAAAAGCATTGGTATGTCTTCTATACTTGGTCCAAAGAGATGTAGGAACTTACGTTGGTGCCGGAGAAGTGGTGAACGGGGGCCTTGGACAACATGGAGTAGTATTCCAGCTCGGACTTGCGTAGAGGAGGAGTGTTTCCAGAGATGATGACTAGCTTAGCCTTGCCGGATCGCAGACTCTTCAGGGTAGACTTGTAGCCAAGAGTGACTAGAGGAAATGTCAGTAAAGATGGCATATTCATTTATTTTTTGGTTAGGTAGAGAGATCGTACCCTTTCCGGACTTCATGACCAGCGCAAGACGCGAGTTGATGCTGTTCGCATCCTTCTTGTTCTTCTTTGGTGGCATCTTGACTGTTGGGTATGAATTGACTGTTCGTTGATGGTGTCGAGTTGATGTTGTGGTCAAGAATGGATAGAAGCCACCAAGAGGATGCAAAAAAAAGAATTATCTTTGCAGAAAGTCTTAGTGGGGTTACACGGTTAGAGGCTCGCACCGCACCGAATATTTTGGTGGTCCGTGGTTTTAGCCCTAAACCCACTTTTCCTCAGGCGAATTGATAATCAATGCGCCAATAAGATACCCCGCCACCAACCCACTTCGCCCGCTTATGTGACTCGCTCTTGCTTTGAAATCAAAGTAGGAATTTCACCGCAGACCTCAAAGGAGCCTCAGTCCCTCTGCCTCCTTGTCGACATCATCTTCCTTTCTACAACAACATATCCTCATATTACGACAACTTGATCGAGAAAATCATTCACGATGGCGCGTCGTCCGGCAAGATGTTACCGATACTGCAAGAACAAGGTAAGCCTTACACGATTTCTATAGTTTTTATAATTTTTGCACAAAAAACACATTTTCAAAATTTATCCGGTTGATCGCAAATGGCTTGCGATTCCCTCACCTATTCCGATTACAAATTCCACTATGAACTACATCATTTTCCACGAAACACCCGAGCGATTCATTAGATATGGATTAAATGTAGAGATAAATATACTGACGTTAATAATTCTTAGCCGTATCCCAAGTCCCGCTTCAACCGTGGTGTTCCCGACCCTAAGATCCGTATCTTCGATCTTGGCCGAAAGCGTGCGACCGTCGATGACTTCCCTCTCTGCATCCACCTTGTCTCCAACGAGTACGAGCAGCTGAGCTCCGAAGCTCTCGAAGCCGCCCGTATTTGCGCCAACAAGTACCTCGTCAAGACTGCCGGAAAGGAAGGTTTCCACATGCGTGTCCGCGCTCACCCCTACCACGTTGTCCGTATCAACAAGATGTTGTCTTGCGCTGGCGCCGATAGACTGCAGACTGGTATGCGTGGTGCCTGGGGTAAGCCCAACGGTACTGTTGCCCGTGTCAACATCGGTCAGATCATCCTGAGTGTCCGAACTCGTGATTCTAGTAAGTAAAATGACGTATGCCGCAACTACAAGAATGCGTCAATTAACCCCTTTCCGTAGACCGTGCCGTCGCTCTTGAGGCTCTCCGACGATCCCAGTACAAGTTCCCTGGCCGACAAAAGATCATCATCTCTAAGAACTGGGGCTTCACTCCTCTCCGACGTGACGAGTACCTCGAGAAGAAGGCTGCTGGTCGTGTCAAGGTTGACGGTGCCTACGTTCAGTTCCTCACCAACCACGGTAACCTTGCGCAGAACATCAAGCGTTTCCCTGATGCGTTCACCGAGTCCGCTTAAATGGATTATCGTGACAAGGAAGCAATTCTGGGTTGAGGGGACAGGCGTATAATGGATTACCATAGCACTGCTACATGACAGTCAATTCGGATCTTGCATTTACACAGTAGCATTGCTGGCTTAGTGACTTTAGTTCTATGAATTCCTAGATCAAGAAAACAGTGAAACCTACCATATCTAAGTAGCTTTAATATTGATTGCAATATTCCTCCTAGTATTCCCACCAGGCGTCTTAATTTCCATCCAAATTAGTCCCTTCAAGTAAGCATACCCTCGAGAGAGTCCATATCGTCGCAGAATGATCTCAAAAACAGCACTGTGATTTTAGGATCCTAACCGAAAGTTCCGCAGAGGCCAGCGAAGCATGACTCACCTCTGAGTTAGTTAGCCACGTCGTAGCCAACGTGGTGAGCTAGAGTTTAGTAGTCCTTGCAAGGTATGACTCCTTTTCTAGAAATACCATGGATGTATTTTCAAGGGACGCAATTACGGGGCAAGCTCTTATAAGGTTAGCAAGACTAGATCAGAAAGACCCTAGGCTTGAAGTAGGATTTAAAAGAAGTGACTGCTTCTTGAAAAGATTGAGATAATGGGGAATATAATATATTGAAGTCATAATTCATTGCGGAAACGTCGGTAGTAAGTAACGTACCTATACATGTTAACTAACTAGGAGAAATAAGTAGATCTCTTTCGCTATAAAAGATATACGCTTGATGATGTGTTCAGTGAATAGATTATAGTTATCACTGTAGACTAAGTGGCAGGGCATGAATGGGGAATATAAAGATATGTTATGAGCATTTTATATCAAGGGAACAAGCTCTTGCGTGTAGAAGGAAAAGAGGTATAGTGAATACATACCCTTTAAATCGTCTGTTAATGAATTAAAAGTGCTCAAATGGATCGCCAAAGGACTGCTGTTAGGTATAACATGAAGTATCCTAGCGAGATCACTTGTAAGTCAAGCTTCTCCTTTCACTTATAAATCTTAGTTAACAAAGCTACTCATGAGAAGGCATATCAACTCATGATCAAGCCTCATTCGCAACACTCTAATGGTGATACAAATCCGACTAAGAGGTATCACGACGCTGAAACTAAAAGGTATTATTCATTGAAAATGACATTCTGGGGAACCCAGAACATCATATCCTTGCAGCTTCGCTGTAAGGCCTTGTTTATATACACAAAAGGATAAAAGTCATGATATTATCTGGCGGACCGCCAGATAACATCTTGACTCTTGTAGCAACTGTGACACGAGGTAAATCGCCACTATACAGCCTTTAAATTTAAGCGTTGAGGTGCCGAAGTCAAAGCTGGAAGAATAAGATGATAGAATCATAAGGTTTGGAGGATTTGGTTTATTTGGCTCAACTAATTTTGACGATGAGGAAATATTCTCTATAGGGAGATTGGTTTTGATAAGACAGTCAAGCTAGATCACCAAATATATGTAGGTACCTCATGCATTCCCTGAGTAACACTCGCACACACACGCACACACACGCACACACAAACACAGGCTCTTACCCTAATGTATGTACAATATATGTACGTGAGCTCGTTACTTCCATCAATAATATATTGAGCTTGTTATAAATTTAGTGGAACACAACTTAGTCTTACTTTACCAAGTATCCGATACTGTTATATTGATAATTTACACGAGCATTTTGTTCACAAGACGAGGTAGTTATATACTGATATGCTTGCCAGTGTAGGAGTGAATCGAAATAGCGATATCGGCAACAAAATTAATTCGCCAAGATCTAGCAGACTCCTTGCATCGATATTCAGAGTGGTTCATGCAGACATAGGCTAAGGCAGGGTTAGTTGGAATTCATGTGTTCTGGAATACAAATCCCGGGTTGAGATGTTTCGAAACAGATCGGCCGGGAAATAATATTTGACGCGGTTATCCTTGAACCTTTGGTGGCGGCCGCAGTTCATGGAGTTGGGGGACGGTCGACGCGACCTTGTGCTTTGATACCGTCGTATCGAAAGCCGCGTTCAGTCAGTTGTCGTTTTTATATCACTGTCACCTCTCCCACCTCAAGTTGCCGTCCTTTCTTTGAATTTAGTCTCGCATTTCCACTGGTTATTGGTTAAAATATCGTTCATCTTTGAAAACCTTGGAACTCTCATAGCCCATCGTAAAATGGAAACCCTAGTAACTAGTACTGGTTTGTTATCGGGAGCGCTTAGAGGCTTTTATGTATGGAATCCACGTGTACGGGAATCGCGTCTATCTCGTGTCTGATTCGTGTGTGCAGCAGAAGCCAAGCGCGATGCGTCGACGGAGGTTACAGCGAGGCTACACAGAAGTAACAGGGATCACCAGCCACTGAGTTTTTGAATGGGAAGGTCCTATTGGCTATAAGGAAGTTACCGGGTTCTTCTAGCATCCGTTTCGTTCAAAGACCCACAACCCGGCGCTTCTTCTCTGAGTCTTTCTTCCCCCACAATGTTTCAATGTCTCCCACTGGATGAAATGTTTGGACGATGAGACGGTTGCAGCTGAATTGCATCTAGCACCATGCAGGTCACTTCTTAACGGACCAGTCATTTCTCGCATCGCGGTTTATTATAATGGTCGCGTCTACTATTTGCTCTGTTTCCGACTTCTCTGCGCTCCACCGACTGCATGGCGACGTGCAGATTTGCAGATTTGCAAATGCACTAAAAGTCGTGAGAATGACTCACTTGCCAACCATTCCCAGCCAGTCCGACTTTTCTGATGTTCATGGATTATCTTAGTTAGACTTGGAGAGACTATGCCGATGAAGTCGAGAGGTAGCACGAAAAGTTTTCTGAACCGGGGGGAATATGTCGAGCTGGTATAACATGCGCCTCAGGCCTTCGCGGACTCGGTTGGGCTGCGACCGACTCTCTTCTATTTCAGAATACCAAGTGTCAACTTTGAGTGAATGGATTATATCTGATTCAGTCAATACTGTTGCTGTAACTGCGAATAAGCTCACCTTACCGTTTTGTGCTTGCAGTGTGGCTCTACTATCATATATTTAGTCCATATATTATTATTATTATTATTATTAACTAACTAACCACTTCACATATACTTCTGATCCAATTTCAGTTGTATAACTTTGAAATACCCATACCATCACCATCTTCGTGACTATAGCCCGCTATCAGGGCTCCTCGAACTAACAAACCCCCACCCTCAATAACATTTGCCTTAGCGACATGCGAGAGCTATGGCAACAGGACCGCAAGCATTCTATTGCCTGTGGCAGAAGGAGGCTATCCGTGAGAAGCTTTTCCATTTATTATCAAAAGAAGATATTTGCAATGTCCGACTCTCATCGTCAGCATGCTGCAATCTTGTTACCAAACGACTATTTCTACGAACCCACTTGACCTTCACCTCTGGTACCTTCACTCGACAGAGCAGAATCGAAGCACTGTCGAGAGTAGGCCAGCATATAGAACATCTGACCTTTTATTTCCCACACTCAGAGGCTACTTTCTTACCTCCACTGGTTCACCCTGATACTGGTCGTGAGATTAGCTTCCTTTACAAGCCTCATACTTCGATGGCGTCTGTTCTGGAAAGACCCAAGTTCGCCAACTCTGGACTTGGTGAGATTCTCACACAGCAATATCCGCCACTGTTCCACGCTGCATCTAATGTCCCGTCTTTCATCAATGCGATGAAGCACTTACCGAACATGAGACACCTTACTATCAAGACGCCTGGCCAGGATCCTAAGGAGAGATACCGAAGGGATATTGTGGACTATGCGCTTATTAGCCTCCGTATATCATTGGAGCGGGCGCCGATGAGAAAGCTCACAAAGCTTTCGTTATCCTCTGTCCATCCCTCAGCCTTTATCTACTTGAGACATGTTATAGGGTTTGGCTGTCTACCATCAGCTGCTCGGCGGTGGAAGCAGATTCGGAAGTTAAATATCTCGGTAGAAGCATGGGATTTCTATGGACCATCGCCTGGACTCGATCATCTAAAGATGATTGACGACTACATACGCGACTTTTCAGCGAATCTAGAAAAATTGACGTTTAATTGGCTGGGCCGAAAGGGTCCATGTCCATTGTCGCTTGCGGCTGATCCGTTGTTTGCGCCGCCTCGGAGCTCACAGAAACTTTTCAATGAAGTTACTTCGCCCATGTCACCTTTACCCCCGGCGCCCTCTAGGAAGCCTATTGTATTCCGTAAATTACGTTTTATGGCCATTCGGAACGCCACTATGAACTCGTCTCAGGTAGCGGAATTGATTGCGGCGCATCGACACAGTGTACGCGAGTTCGATTTTGAGAACGTTGTTCTAATTAATGACGACAGCTGGGATGATGCACTGGGTCCTTTATTGAACAAATCGTCCCGTGGTAGCCGCTGGATTCGACAGTCAATGGCTACCATTACTGAAGATGCAGGCGTTCCTTCACCGCATCTATCAGACAATTTTATAGACGATCTATCAGGTGAATCACCAGCTGTTTTGGCAGCGTCGCAAAAGCTTTTGGATGTTGATCTAAATGGCGGCGAGGAGGAAGATGAGGATGAATCAGCGGAGCAAAATGATGAATTTGATCTTCCTTCGGACCTAGAGGCTGCCAGGCAAGCTAGTCTTTCGTTTCCAAACAAGCTCAAGAAGCGTAAAGTTACAAAGCGTCGTCGCAGAAGAAAGGATAAGAATGAATCTCGTGAAGATGATAAACACGAGCTTCATTCACGGCATCATCACCGGCAACCCTCCAAAGATTCCATTGATCAACCTAGTGATGAACATCGTCGCCATCGCCGCCACCGACATCAGAAACCCCAAGAATCTTTTGAAAGGCAGCCAGAAATTCCTAGTTTTGACCAAAGTCGTCGGCCTTCGGATGAGTCCTTCGACTATCGTCGCCAGTTGCCACGCTTATCTATCTCGCCACAGAGCTCTCAGCATCGCTTGTTTGGCGAGGTTGAAAGTATCTACTCAACATCGTCGCGCCGTCTCTTTGGTGAAGTATCGCAGCTCACTAACTCGGGATCCGAGCCAGAGCTCACACACTCACCTGTTGATGACTCGGACTCGGTCGTCGATGAGTATTTCCGCCCTAGTACACCTACTACCACGCCGATGGACATATCGGCACCTATTCTTAGCACGGCACCTAGCATGCCTATATTATTAGAACCTCACGTTTATGACCCCACTGCGGAGCTATGCTCCGAAATCACGGCCGTACAACGCGATATTGAAGCGGAAGAAGCGCAGAGGCGCGTAGCCGAGGATGCCGAATTTCAGACGAGCGCTTTGAAGAGGGCCAAGGAGCTCGTGCTCAGTCGGCTAGGTCGCGAATTTTCTTCTAGTAATAGCAGCTTCGGCAAGAGGGGTGTTGTCGGCCCTAAAAAAGAGAGTTTCCTCAGCAGCTCGAGGTTTCGAGAGGGGTTGTTTGGGAAGAGCACCTCTAGTGTGAGTGGCACCTTGTACAGCATGCAAGACCACAGGAGCATGGATGTGCCAATCTTGTTTAGTCGGAGTTGATGATACCCAATGGAGCGGGGGGGAAACGGATGTATTATGATAGATATGATGTGATGTGCTTATGACTTATAATGATTACGACCTACTACTATTCGATCGTTGAATGAATACTATATTCCTTTTGTTCACAATACCGCATGCTTCATTCTATGTGATATTGCCTGCATTATTTTAGGTAGGGAATGAATTGGCAAATTAAGCTCACATTTCGGGAACTCACAAGTGACTCGACGCTATGCCACGATAGTTTCTTAGAATGCCCCTTTTAACTCGTGCCTTGCTCTATAGAGGTTGCTCAAACCGGGACCAGAGGTATTCCGGCGCGCTGAAAGAATATTCGAGTAGCCGTGGCGATTCTTGTCGACTAAATCTCTGCTTTCCCTTATTCCCTCTTATCTCTAAGAGAAAACTGACCTACCTCGCCCATAAGACGGCCAGATACTTCGTCGCGACAACACCCCTTTCCACCCTTCCAGTCCACAGAAATGGGCATCATAACCTCCCTCTTCTCTCTATTCGGCCCCGGCGCCGCCCTCTGCGCCGCCTGCGAGACCCTTGCCGTGATCTGGCCGCGCGTGCGACTCCGGATGACGAACGACGCGCCGCTGACACGGTTCCTGCACGCGGCGCGGGGGAGGCCAGCGTGGGCGTTTGTTGCGGGCGCCGGGCAGGAGCCCGTCGCGCGGGAGCTGTGCTTCGGGCTGGCTGCGCGCGGGTTCAACGTCGTTCTGTACGGCGCTGGGTCGGGCTGCCGCGGCGGGAAAGCTACGATGCAGAGACTGCTGGGTTTCCGGGCGGAGCTGCTGAAGGCGTACCCGGAGAACAAATACCGCGTTGTGGTTGTGGATACGGACGCACAGGGCGATGCGGTAGAGGTGTTTGCGGCGAGGGTCGGGGAGTCGCTGGAGGGTGCGAATTTGACTGTGCTAATTGATTATGTTGGCGATGCTGATGATGGCATGGTCTTGCCGCAGTTGAAGACTGTGCTGATGTCGCTTCTTAAGCGGAATGTGCCTGCGCTTGTTATTAACGTCACCTCTTCGATAGCTAGTGGCGGCGATGGGACACAGTCGTGTTATTCGCACAGGGGGTCTGGATACCTCTCTCAAGACGGTGTTAACGTTGTTTCGTGCCATATAGACGATGTAGCTGTCGGCTATAAGGAGAAATTGCTGTTCCACCGTCCTACACCGCGGGCACTAGCCGAGACAGTGCTACTGCATGCGGCTTCTAGCAGTAGGAACGCTATTGTATACCCCTATTGGCCACAAGCTGTCTTGCAGATGACGCGGAAGACGTTGCTAGGAATGGCTGCGGATCAGTTCTTGTCTGTTACTCAGGGAGATGTACTAAAGAGATAGAATTGAAGGGACGGGAGTGTAGAGGAAAAAGAGAAATGCATGATGGGTTTATGTTTATAATACTGCAATAGTAGGGGAGCATCTTTCGCTGTTCCGCAACATCGTATAATGAATGCTTCTATATATGTTCGTGAAGGGAACTTGTATTATATGAAAGCAAACGATATTACTGCCGACTTATACATCATCAGGGATAGGGGGTAGTTTGAAGGAATGTCGTAACTAAATATATCAAAAGGCCATTAACACCACCATGGGTTGAACGTGACACTATGAACCTTTCTCAGCAGTCCCAGTGAGCGTATTTTAACAACCCATCTCATACTTCCGATCCCTATATTCAAGAACCCCTTACTGTATACCCTAAAGGTCTCAAAGTAGAGATATAACCCCGAATGCTATGATGATGGCATCAATGGTATGATATGCTATATATGGTAGACCCATGTCCAATCTACCATAAGCGGCTATGAACTTATACGTATCTTCATGTACATCGTCTTTGCGTTTCATGATTTGCCCTGCATTATTCAATAGCATATATGACTTCTAATCGGAGCTATAGGTCTAGAGTTCCTTATGTAACAACATAGCCGCTTTTCCGCTTCTGAATCCCATTTATTATTGATTCTAGCACATCGTTTGAATATCTGCTATCATTCATACTTAAGGACCATTCGTCGCCTATGCCGTATCTCGTATGAGCTATTACTGGCACCTCTGGCTACTGGCTACTGGCTATCAGCTACTTGTTACAATTGCCTGCCGTGTAACTGCAATCTGCTCGTTACCAAAGGCCATTCTACCGCTAACATCTCGATCCAAGTAGGGATTCTGTTGAGCTTGGATCCTGGCTTGGTATGTCCTTATGTTCCCAATCCCGCCGCGAGTGTCGTGCTCGATATCCAAGGGCTGCTCAAATGTGGCAGACACTGAACGCAAAGAGCCAACTGAGCTCTTTTTATTGCTCTTAACCAACGCTCTTAATTTTACACCAATATTACGATCCAAATTTTTGTTTGTGCTGTCATACCGAGCACCGGACCTTGAGCTGAGTACTCGGTCTGCGATGAGTTTGAGAAGAGGACTGTAAGCTACCATGATAGCGATTCCCGGCTGAACGATACCTAGGTAGTTATTACCAACGGAATAATAGGGAAGATCGCTATAATCAGTTTCATATGTAATGTAAAGTCTAATAGTGGAAGCTACCATAGTGCTGTTTATCCGTATTAGAATGGTACGTAGGTAGTTATGGCCGAAGATAGAGTTATAAATAGGACAGCCACTTACATGAACCCAGCACCGAATATAAGCAACAAGGCAACCTTGTGTAAAGTCTTAATTTATAGTGCCATTAATGGCTTTAACGGAAGCACTATGAGCATAAGGTCTGACACTATGTCGACAGCGACCGAGGTAAAAGCCATGTTCTGGTTACCGCACGTCTTACGTACAGTTGGATCCCAGTTGAGGTCAACGGGTTGGCATATTAGCACACATATTAATAAAGTCTGCAATATCCAAACGACCGAAACCACCACGACAACATACGCAGCTATGCGAAAGTTGCGTGTGAAAAAGATACGTTGGAGACACTCGCAATGCTCAACTTTACGAACCCCAGACATACGGGGTACAGGACCCGAGCTACAAAAACAAACTTAGAGAATTGGTCGACTTGATTAGGGTCTAACTGTGTGATGTGTAGCCCGGCGCCGCCTAGAAAAGCCACTTCAATACGCATTAGTGAGAGTAGAAAATAGGAGGTAGATAGGTATGGTGCGAAGGCGGAACCGACAAAGAACACCGTTGACACACAAACCATAGTATGTCAACTGTCATATACATATACAATTAGGACCTTGGTACCTAGGTGGAATGTTTAGCGTGGAAGACACGCCAGAGCGAGATAACAAGTAATATCTTCAGACAGTAACGGAGACATCCCCTGCATATGTCGAGCCGATATCCGTAGACCAACCCACAACGAGGCCAAAGTGCTCATGACAACAGCTACGGCTAGTGAAGCGCCATTATTAGGCCTATCTGCCATTGTGTAAGTGCCTAAGAGGTAGTTCAAGGATCTAGGTCTATGTTTAATATCTCTGTGACGTGTAAATGGATGGGCTTGGTTTGATTTTGTAAGACTGTAATCTCGTAGAAGGGTGAAGACTTGTATGGTTACGCAATTGTTAGGAATTTAGACGAGACATCTAGAAGAAAGGAAAATTTTAGTGTATAGCCGTAGGCTCCTATGGTTGGTTAGTTTACTATAAACTAAATGCATGCTGTATATTACTAGGAACTATTATAAGATACCTTAACTAGGTGCATTAAGAGTTTATTACTTCTACGCCGAGTCGGTAATCCTGCGAAACTCGAAGACAATAAAGACAATATACTTCCTGAACATTTCCCCTGCAATCTAGCGAGGATATCTCGTTAAACTACCTCAGTATTATAGAGTGAGCCTAAAGGCAAGAGTTGCGCACCACAGAACTGCCAGCTCGGTGATGGTGACGTCATGGCCAAACTCTCCAGATGCATCCAACCGTGATGATTCCCATAAAGCGAAAATAGAATGATGTTGTTTCCGGTTGGCCACGAGGATATCTGCATGGCCTCGATAGTAATTTATGACCCAGACAGTTTCTTTAATGTGGATCTGTACGAATGGAATCACGGCGTAGGAGTACCTTCATTGCTACTATTATCGTCCGAGATCTACGTCCGACCCGGGCTCGGCAATTTTGTTCTGGCGGGAAACAAGGACTTCCACACCCGCTTACTGGAGCGGTGTGTGCTGGACCTGTTGGACGAGTATTGTTTCACATTTTATATCTCACATTTCTAACTTCCCTATTGCTCCATCTTATTTAAAAGCCAAGCCAAGACTAGGCTTACTGGGGGATCCGATCCCCAGCTTACTGAGTTGGAAGCTTCCTAAAAGGGGTATTGCTACTATTGGTTGTTAGGTACTTATAGTCTTACCGAACAGATAAAGGAAGGGCTAGGAGGAAGAAACGAGTCGTTACCATAAAACGTCTTACCCCTCAACTCAATTGAGACGTATTGTTCAAATATAGACTTATCGTCTACTTTAAGGGTGGCTTGAAAGCCAAGACTTGATGTGGGTATCCGAAAGAAATCCACGTTTGCTATTGTAACCCCCAAGATACATAGGTAACTTACCATAGTAGTTAATGCATTTATAATGTTCAAGTTTCTTTCAATGCCGCCTTGATTCATACTACGCAGAAATCTCAGGGGTAAGGTCAAGTGCATACCTACTATCGCCTCAACATTTATCGTAGCTTGGTATCTACGACAGCTACACAAGGGGGAAAGCATGGACTTCCAAAAACTATTACTCGCTCTCTTTACCGCTATCGCCACAGTCCGAGCGGCACCGTTTGTGCAACCAGTGCTATTCCATGCCACATCTGTTGTCGAGGTCTTGAGTAATGGGGCCTGGGCTGACCACACGATATGCCCAGCCGACTACTTCAGCTACATGACAGAAAAGGGCTTTTTCAGTTTCGGCTGGTATGTTCTTCCACCATACAATCTTGTTTCTACTTGTTGATGGCCGACTTCGTGTCTGTAGGTGGGGATTAAGAAGCAACAACGGTAATGCGTCGTACTTTACGCCAGATGCCGATCCATTCCACTGGCTTGAGCTTGGCGAGAGGGAGTCGTGTGACAGTGTTACCGGATCTTGTCTGTACAGCACGCAAAACGTACCTATTCGCTTTGAGAATTATGCACAGCCGCCACCTTGCGCACCAATGCCACTTAAGTACATTGAACGGTCGCTTAGTCTAGGAGACGATGATGAGGATCGGGTAGAACTGACTTACACTGATGATGACGGAGTCCAAGCTCAAGGGTTAAGCACGAGACGAAAACTTAGCGGTGATCCTAGTGTAGCGGGGATATGCCACAAGGCGCTACGCATATTGAAGCAGCTTTACGAGCAACACGATATCGATTTGGGGTTTGAGATTGGGAATCCATGTGCGCAAGAGACAAGTATAGGCCGACAGGAGGTATCGGAGTTATAGTTAGGTACCTTAGGTACGAATATAAACGTTAGTTAATAGTTCATAGAAGAGAAGTTGAGAATGCAACTCGTAACGATGAAACTCCTTTTAAAATATAAATCCTACTAATACCTGTCTACCACTTATATTACTTAGGAAGTTTAGACTTTAAGTTTATAGCTCTGACGCGACTGCTTAATCAATAGTTAAATCAAATTAAGTCAACATTCAATTAGAGTCTTTGCAAGCGATTGTACGTGTATGTTGAAAAAGACTTGTATGCACCTAACTAAAAATGACAACTGCCAACACCGCTATACTGCCCGATGATATGCCATATGAGGTATAATTCTGGTTTGCAAGTGGTGCATGGACGCTACCTGCTGCATATCGAAAACTGGTTGACGCACTCCAAGCAAAATCATTTACTGTCCATGTACCAGCTTTGCCATCAAACAATGGTGCTCGACCGCCTAATTCATCACACAATGCTGATGTGGCAGCTGTACGCGAAATAGTTAAGTCTCTTGTTAACGATGGCAAAGAGGTCATTCTGTTCATGCATTCGTACGGAGGTGTTGTAGGAACGAATGCTGTCGAGGGTCTCACTCGCAAGGATCGTGAAGCTAAGGGCGTTTCCGGTGGCGTTGTTTATCTGTTCTACTTATCGGCTTACCTTTTAGCCAAGGGCCAGAGCATTTGGACCCTCATCGAGGACCTAGGTGTCTCATTGGAGAGCATCCCAGAAATTACTTTGGAAAAAGACGGCACCTGGTTTCTTAACGATCCCGTTCAGGCTTTATGTCATGATGTAAGCCTTGAGGATCAGGAGGATCAGAAACGACTATCTACGCACCACAACTTGGACGCTATTAAAGGGAAAACAATGTATGAAGCATGGAAAGACATCCCGAGCACATATATCTTCACTACGTAGGATCGTTGTGTGCCGTCTATTCTTCAAGATTTGTGCTTTGCAAATACGAAGGAGGCACAGGTCGCTATTAAGAAAGTAGTATTGGATTGTGCGCATGCGGCATACGTGAACTATCCAGAGGAACTAGCCAACCTAGTAGCTAAAGCATCTCGTCCTACAGGCTTGTGAAACTCATTGTTAACAGCTTATCTCGAATCTTCACAGAAGAGTGTTGCTCAGTTACTATTAAGGTAGTATCTATGCAGGTTCTCCGAGAGTGCATGAGACCAACCGTATCTCACGTGTCACGACAGACGGGATGGCAATAGTTCATGCTTCTCTATTGGCTCTTTATGTATAATGCGAAGACCCGTGTGGAAATATAACCCTATGACACTCAGTTCGAGGTATGGGAGTGGCGTAGATATACAGATGGCTTCGTAAAATAGGAAGTAGTTTCCTTTGGCTTATAGATTCTTCAGTAGGTGAATCTAAGACATACCTTGAAAAACGTACAGGGAATGCCCTGTTAAATAGACTCATCGGAGAGCAGGATGCGAAAGAGCCAAGCAGCTAAGTACGACATATTGTTGTTCTAAGATAAGTCAAAGCACCCTTACGGGGGCCACCCTAGTGGGGGCCACCTCAAAAACGTAACGCATTCGCAATGAGGTCTATATACGAATTATTATATAATTTTATTAGTTTTTAGTTAATTAAAAAATAAAATTTATTATTTAAATCTTTATTTTTTTATAATTTTAAAATACTTATTTTTTTAGTTTAATTGCGTTGCGTTACGGCGATAAATAATGTTTTTAACGGCGTATCCTTACGGTAGGCGTTTAAAAAATACTTTATATTACAATACTATTTTACAGATTAAATATTAGGCTATAGAATATAAAATAACTATTTAGAGAAACATTAGAAGTTATTAAAATATTAAAAAAAAGAATTAGTTAATTAGGTTATTACGTTAAGCTATATTAGCCATACGTTTTTTTTATATTAATTTAAAAATATTATAAAAAGATTATTAATTTATAATTATTGGTTTAATATCTTTAATAAATATTAATATATATAATTTTTATTTTATTATTTTAATATTAAATCGGTTAAGGTTTATTTAATCGATTATAAATAAGTTAACAGGGTTATAATTAATAATATTAATATTTTTTTTAACCGATTTAAAATTTTTAAGATTAAAAATATCCCGGTTAAATATACGTATAACGTTAACGAAATGGGGATTATAAAAAGGATTAAAAATAATGGAATAATTATTAGCGAAATTTATAAAAAGCGTATTATAGTTAAAGATTATAGTAATAAAATCTAAATATTAATTATTAAATATATTAATGGTAATAACCAATTTTTAAATTTCTTTATTATATATATAAATAAATATATATAATAATAGTAATTTCTTAACAATAAAGACGTTAAATTTAAAGGTTAAAAGTTTATTACATTTTTTAATGGTTAGATTAATAATAATATTATATTTAAATAATTTCGTAAAGTTTTTTTAAAAGAAATAAGATTATTAAATTATTAATAATAATAATTATTAATCTTTAACAGTTACAATAATTATACTACAATAAAATTCTTTTAGAAATATTTTATAAATAAAGTTTATATTATTTTTATTTTGGTATATTTATCATACGTCTTATAGGTTATTAACGTGGATATATTCTTATTGATAAAATAAAGTTATTATTATAAATTTATTAAGGTATGCCAATTATATTATATTTTTAATCTTGGTAAAAAGGAATTTATTATAACTTATTAAATAATATAAAAAAAACGTTTAATTAAATATAATATATTGGTTGACTAGAAGGCTACGGGGATCTATTTTAAGGATTAGAATAAGTTATTAAATTATCGGCTTATGTTCCGAGAGGTTCCCGATATTATCCCGGCCCTTTCGGATTTTATTTCTAATTTAAAAAAGTTTAATTTTATCGAAAATATAGCTTTAATTCCTTTAGCAATGCTTTTAAGTTTACGAAATATTAATATTTTAATTAAAGAATTATTTAAGATTAATATAATATTTACTAAACTTACAGTAAATTTTTTATTTAATAAAATTAGTAAGGCCTTTAATAAGGCTATTATAAAATTAACTATAATAAAAGTTTACATTAAATATTTAAAAAAGGTATTAGTAAATATAAAGTTGTAAAAACGGTATAAGGTATTATCTAACCTAAATTCGACATTTATAAATATTAAAACTATTATAAAAGAGAAGGAATAGTTAAAGGCTTAGAAATTAGGTAATATAGTTACAATTAGCAATTCCAATATTAATTTGGAAGATAAAGCTTTATTAGTTAAGTTAATAATAGAGAACTATATTGTTATTAAAATATAATAAATTATAAATTAATTAAATTTAATTTAATTAAATAACATTAAATTAAAGTTAAAATGCTTATTTTAAAGGTCTAAAAATTTGAGGTGGCCCCCACTAGGGTGGCCCCCGTAAGGGTGCTTTGACTTATATGCAACTAACCTCTACCTTTGCCACTGGCTCCAGCCAAACACCGAGAGCTGTAGACAGATAGCGTGAGACTGGGCGCCTTAATTGCCATAAAGCTGATAACGTAGATTAACTGTGAATATACATGGCTAATATAACCTTTTCAAGGGTCTCACTTATTATATGACCCGCGAACTACACGCAAAAACCCTCCCAAATGTTTGCTTTATATACTAGAGCCTGATAATTAAGGCAATTCAACCTAGTTCTATAACGCCTAGACACAACTCCTGGGTTCCCATCGACCTTAGATATGGATTCGCAAGATTCGGCCACTCGTCCATTTAGAGTCATCGTCGTCGGTGGTGGTATTGCTGGCCTTATGGCTTCTAATTGCCTACAACGAGCGGGTATCGATCATGTCGTCCTCGAGAAGCGCGCGGAGATTGCGCCTGCTGAAGGTGCTAGCATAAGTGTATATCCGAATTCTACACGAATATTGCACCAGATCGGCTGTCTAGAAACGGTCGAATCAGCAGGCGCACCGGCAAATAGAGTAAAACTCCGACTACCGGATGGGACTATTATATCGGATATTGACTTATTTGAGCACCTTAAAGAGAAGTACGTATGGAATCACCTCACAAAATCGCCAGAGTATGGGCTGAATTATGATTGATGTTAGCCATGGAAACTCTGGGGTCATAATTGAACGGCGAAGATTGCTGCAAATACTTTACGATAACCTCCCTACCAAGTCACTGGTTAAGCTGGGTTGCTCCGTTAAACGGTTAAGACACGTTGAGGATGATATCGAAGCTGTCCTTGCGGATGAAACGGTTGAGATAGGTGACATGGTAATCGGCTGCGACGGAGTGCATAGCTCTGTCAGGAGCATGATGTGGGATTATGCAAACAAAACTATCCCTGGTAGTGTTACGATGAAGGAAAAGATGTGTAAGTAAGTTTTTGAATATGTGCTGAATTATGTAGTGTATTATACATGCCTCCTAGGAGACTAACATCTGGATAGGCATGAAGGCAAACTGGAAGGTTCTCATTTTAGTCGGGCCTACTATGCCAGAGATTGGGCGTGATACTCATTTCGTACACAACACGCACTTTTCCTTTACGGTCATATCACAACCAGACCACGTATTTACGTTTGTGACCTTTCGTCTCAAAGAACCGGTCATATGGCCGAGGAGAATGTTCTATACCGCTCAAGATGCCGAGCATCTAGCTGAGACAGTAGCCTCCTATCCTGTTTGCGAGTCACTGCTATTCGGAGAGTTGTGGCGTAAGCGCGAGCGCGCCTCTCTCGTAAACATCGAGGAGGGTGTGCTAAATAAATGGCACTGCGGCCGAATTGTCCTTGCTGGAGATGCTGCTCATAAGGTATGTTGAACAGTCTGACATCTTTACCTACATTCTTAGTTGCTTACAGAAACAGTTTACTTTCCACATGGGTTTCGGGGCCAATTCCTCAATTGGGTCTATTGCAACTCTTTGCAACCAGCTAAAGAGGGAGATTGTATCTCGCAACGAGCCAAGTCTATCCCCAAGTACGCTGGAACGCATATTTGAATCCTACCAGACTAAGCGCTACGCACGGATGAAGACGATCATGGATCTATCTCTCTTTAGCACAAGAATCCTGACTTGGGATACTTTACTGACTAAATTACTCTCCCGATGGATTTTCCCATGGCTCCCCGAACGATATCTAACTGATCAATTCAGCAAGATTATTAAGGGGGAGCCCAAGCTTGAGTATATCGGGACGGGTAATTTTCCACGTGGCCGGCTGACATGGGAAGATGAAGTGACGACTGGTGATTCTGAAGATGAAGATTTAGAATAAGAGCTTGTTTCTATGCCCGAGTGCCTTAAGAGAGAGTGAAATACCGTAGCTATTTATTTCTGCATCAACATAGATGGAAGATTAAGCTACAATATAAGCATTCCTCTAGTACATCTACCGTACTTTCTAGTAGAATCTATGTCGGAGCATCGATTACTATTTGCACATTCTTTCAGGGGCTTGATAGAACCTAACCTCTTAAATACTTACCTAATAATCGCTACTATTCGTGTTTCTACTGGGTACATATAAAGCGTCACTGAAAGAGACTATGTGCTTGATATAGACTACACTAGCCTTTATATAATATCAAGTCTCGCTGTTTCGATCATAAGTTACCTAGCTTATGTAGTTAAGTAGATATAATGGTGCATTCGTTGATATACTAGGCTACTCTATGTAATAAAGTCAGGTAGAAAATTCCAGACCGCTCGTACAATTTCCCCATCGCGCATGCAAAAAATCGACTGGTGGGCGATTCCTCGGTTTCCAATTACCAGTCATTCTATAGACAGGCAATTCTTCATCGACTGCCAGCACGTACGTGGAACTGAGCTGCCATATACGTTGTGTACCTGTTGCTGCATCCTCTGATACTCTAGGTATCGCAGACCTGACTGAGTTTCTTTCCATGTATTTCCAAAGCCTGGTTAGAACTATAGCCGTATTATCGGCACCAATAGTCCAGGCATGATTTGCGTATCCAAACATAAACATCATATTCGGAACTGAGTCTAACATGGCCCCATTCCAAACATAACGCCCTCGCCATGATACAGGTTCATTGTCAACTCGTATCTCAATCTTTCCTCCCATCATCATCTTGAGACCTGTTGCGGTGACGATGATGTCAGTATCCACAGTCTGGCCATCTTTCATTCTAATCTCGTTATTTGTTACCATATGGATTTCACCAGTGACGAGGCGCACATTTGGTAAACGAAGTGCTTTGAAGAAAGCACCGTCTGGGTCTACACAAATCCGTTGCTCCCACGGATTGTACCGCGGCTTGAAATGTGTATCGTGATCAATGCTTTTTGGCAGTAGCCTTGTTGCTTCTTTACGAAACAATTCTCTGACAAAGTCGGGGAAGTGCCGACACAGTAGTACTATAAGGTAGGGCGTAATAAGATAACATATATCGACGAGAAACCGAGGGAAATAGTGGTGAATCCACGATGTATTTGGAATTGGAGCTATATATGTAGGACTCCGCTGAACCATCGTGACTTGGGTTGCTCTCTCCGGGAGCGCTGGAAGCATACTAATAGCTGAAGCACCACTCCCGATGATGGCAATTTTCTTATTAGTATAATCGAAACCCGACGGCCAAAATTGCGGGTGGACGACCTTTCCTATAATAGGCTGTTAAATCGACACTTGAACTACGTCGAATTTTCTTACCCTTGAAATTTTCTAGACCAGGTATGACTGTTTGGAAAGGTGTGCTATAATCGTAGTACCCTGTTCCCAGGATAATCCAACGAGCGTGGAACTTCTTGGTTATGCCATTATGATTTACGGCCACTATACTCCAATTCTGGCCTGTTGTAGACCAGTTCACCGACAATACTTTATGACGAAATCGGATATACTTATCCAAACGATATTTAGACACGGCATCCGAGAGATATTCCATGATCTGGGCTCCCGTGGCTATTGGATTCGGGAACGGCCAAGCATGCCACGCAAAGGCCATGGAATATATATGTGAGTCATTGCGTACGCCTGGGTAGCGATATAGATCCCAGGTGCCTCCAATTTGATCGCGGCCTTCTAGAATAGCGAATTTGACATGGAGGAGTTGGGTCTGGAGCCGATATGCACAATTGATCCCAGAGATTCCTGCTCCCACAATGAGAACATCGAGAATTTCAACCTCAGTGGTTGCTGGCTGGAATTGTGCCATCGTTGACTGCCCGAGGTGAAGGTCTCTGGTCAGATGTGAACGGGTAGGTTAGAAGTTGAGCTGTTAACTCTTCTCTCCGGGAGATTTAATCTACTTAGGTATCTATTCAAGTATAAAGTGCATAACATTTAAAGGGGCTGTAGCCTGTTGGCATCATTCTATATTAGACAAGGTGGTATTCTAGTACTGTTGTGTAACTAAACAAGGTGGTATTGCATGTGATCGCCTATTTAGATGGTACGATAGGTTGAGTTTACACATCAGGGCAAGGTGGAATATAGAATATAGCCCTTACTTACTACTTGCCTGACAACTGTACGGCTTTGGCACCCGCCATGTTTATAGACCTATCACTTGTCGTTTGAGTACAAGAGGTGTATGGCCGTGTCACTTGAAGCTTGTTTCTTATAATAGAAAGATACCTATGTATTTCTTTTTCCTTTTTCCTTTTTCCTTTTCTTTTGGTAAGCCAAGAGAACCTAGCATAATCCCGGATGCGCGACCCGCTAGATAAAATGCAAGGGAATAAAATGTTGTAATTGCGGATTACGACTGAAGTAAGGGGTTAACTATAAAGTCGCAAGGCCGCTTACTCAGGCAATCCTATTGTTTAAAGAATCGATTCTAACTTATTTATAAACGCAATTACATCCTCTTGTACCTACTGCAGATTTACAGTTGCATTAGATCGCCCCGCTTTCGACTTCCAGTTCCCAAAAGGAGTTTTCCGCCCTCCTTTTTAGTTTAGCCCTCTTAAAGCAAGCTGAAACTCCACATGCGGAACACCGGGACACTAGGACACTAGGACACAAAAAAATATTTCATCAGACTAATATGTACTAGCAAAAATATCTTGGACGAGCAGGGAGTTGAACTCTGGACTTCTCGCATGCGAAGCGAGCACTCTACCACTGAGTTACACGCCCTTGAACAGGGAAGAAAAGAACATTGCAAGGAATATCCCCGCTTGATCTGATTGGTTGAAAAGTTTGGATTAAGCATTTATATTGTCCCACAACACCAAACCACTATCCTGATAGCTTAACTTACATAGATCTTTAAGTGGCAACATGAATTTATGGTCTTGCTAATAGCCATATAAACGATTCTCTACTATCTTTGCCTAGCTAATATCAAGTCACAACCATGTAACCACATTATCCCTGAGACTGTTAATAAGTAGAAGTGGTCACTGACAGCCTGCCTCCCTCAATCGTAAGTATTAAACCGTTACAGTAAGAACCTGCTCGACTTGCAAGATACAGCAAACTCCCACCCATGTCCTCTTCACTACCAAACCTCCTGGACGGAATAGCACCCATTTGATCGAGAGGCTCTGAACTTGGGTCTCTTCCAGAGATAAAATCATTGGCCAGCTCGCTCGGGAATACTAGACACGATAAGATCAGCCGCCATATCCTTATTGGTTAATGCAAGTATCGTCTGATTGCAATGACTTACATCCGGGCGCAAGTGCATTCACCCTGATTTCATATTGGGCAAGATTGGTACTAGCGTGTTTGGCAAGTTGGCCTATGGCGCATTTACTTCCAGCATACGCGGGTGAGGAAAGTCTGTCACGACTAAATCCAGACAAACTCCCTGTAACGATGGCTTGGCTGGGGATCGAAAGGACTTTGCTACCCTCTTGGGCCGGGGCTCCAAAACCTCCCTTCAAGGCATTCTTGTTTCCAGCATCAAGAAGCTCTAGGAAAGCTGTCAATGTAAAATATGTTGCAGTAACGTTTACATGGAAGGTGTTTGTAAAATCTTCCATTGAGACTTCCTCGAACAGGTTTTTTTGAAGTTGTTGAATCGTGAAGTCCGGGTTAAAGGAATTAATGGGACCTATAACACCCGAGTTGGCTACAAGCAGATTGATGTAGCCTACGTCGTTTTTAATGAATTCAACAGCAGATTGGAGCGATGATTTAGAGGTGATATCGCATACTATAGGAACGAAACTTGGGTGGTGAGAAGCCGCACTCTCAAGAACAGCCTTTCGTCTTCCAAGTATATAGACCTTTTTCGCTCCTGCTCCTGCAAGAGCCTTGGCCATCATAAAACCGAGACCTACGACACATTAGATCGAAACAAATACTTGGTTACGAGTTTCTTACCAGTAGCACCTCCCGTAACAACAGCTATTATGCCGTCAACTCGAAATAAGCTCGTAGTCTCCATGATGGCGTATTTATCTACCTATGAAGCAGTATTTCTTAAGACTTTAAAATTGTAAGAAGAAACGATAGTAGTAGGTAGGAGTTGTTATAGAAAAGAGATGAGGATACAACTCTCGCCGTAGACCTTATATAGAGAGGAGCAAACAGGGACGTAATCGAAAATCGCTCTTGTAAGGTATCCTAAACTCCGCGCCAAGTTGCAAATCCCTATCGCCTTCTGCAAGTAAGTATGTAAGGATTCTTTCTTACCATGGGTCGCCCAATACCAAGACATACTTACTATTCTAACCGGGGCTTGCGCGGCCTTGTTTTAGACGAGCTCCGCGCATATGCGCCAGATAGACGTTCAAAGGCACGAGTGGATATATTCTATACATAAAGAAATGATATATCAACTAACTCGCATTTCTATGTGTAATAACTAGAGTATAACTTGTGATAGTTTCCGTAATCTCTGAAACACTTGCCCCGTATAAATCAACTTATCAAAGTGTGTAATTAAGTCAAAGACCTAGGGGAGTTTCTATATCTAGCCAAAGCAACTGAGTGATATTGACATTTATTAACTCCTTCGAGTAACTATCTCCACTAATATCGTTGCATGCCTCGGGGCTTGGCTAAAATGCGCTTCGAACAGCAATAGCGGAGCACAGGTGAGTAGCTAAAAAGCAGAAAGTTGAAACTACGGTCAGTCCTATCAAGTTAAAAATAACGACAACCATATGAATAGTTCTCGTCTTGGACAGAAATATATATTATGACCTTAGTTGTTGATTTTCCTTATCTAGGTAGGTACCTAAGGTTATGAAATAGGGTTGATTAAATCTGCTAAGTAAAGGTAGGTTAAGTAGCTTAGCTATACTTTTGGTTATGGTACAACTGTTGAAGCCAAGCATTCCTTTTCTGATGGCTATTGCTCAACCCTTCACTTTCGAATGCCGAGCCTTCATATATTTCCTATTTAAGTGGCCTTGCCTACGATGAAGCCTGGGGAAACGGTCCGAGGCGTAATAACCCTGCTAAACTTAAGCAATATAGTAGAAGTGATAGCTCGCTACTGGCTACTGCTACGAGTAATAGATCCGAGGCCAGCGGAGATAAATGCTTCCCCACATAAACATAAATCCGATGAAATGCATGACTACGGATAGGAAGTAGTCCTATTGGCTAGTATGTCTCCGGATACAATGAAAAGGGAAGTTCTGAAAATTACGTATGTGCTCATGATGCATAAGAGAGAGTAAAGAGAGATTACAGTAGACGTCACTAACCTTCTGCAGTTCTAACTCCGGTATGTAGTAAAAGAGGTAAATAATTATAAATTCAATCCCAAAACTTTATTAACACTTATTACGTGAACTGAAATCAAAGATTCAAATGTAAGATCACAATCCCCAAATCCGAAGAGGAATGCCCGTCTATATCTACCTCATGCCTAACTTTAAGTATTACTTAAAGAAGGCACCTGGTTAACATCGAACTATCGAAAAACGCAGATATGCCAATAATTCCGACCAAGTTGAAATTGTAATTCTTCAATAAGTGACTATATTATTGCACGCTACCCATTTGTATTGTAACACTATGTATGGAAATAACTTCGTTGTTCCACGAGGAACTCTAACTTAACTACAGGAGCCTATAGCTATACGTACTTCTGAACATGTCCATTGTCCTACATATCTCATCTAGAATCCTCACTGAATTGTACTAGAAACACCTCGCTTGTTTTTTATCGTTTCGATACGATAATTTTGTCAATATTTCATTTGTTGTACCAACAATGTCCCAGGAAGTGTATTTAATGGTGTACAATGGCAGCCCAAAATTCCACGATATCATTCATCTCATCACCACCATCTACTCCCTAACAGAACCACTCAACCAACACTTCTCTCCATAATCTGACCAATCAATAACTTATTGATAATACTTGACGAAGAAATCATTCGAAATGTCTACTCACGAGCGTGGGAGAGCATACAAAATAGAGGACGACGATGAGTTCAGCTCAGACGTCCACAGTGGTGAGGGCGAAGACTACAAAGTCATCGAAACTCTTACGCTGACAGACGCAAAAAAACGGAAGCACGGTGAGTTCCTCGTAGCTTCAACATGGGCGGAAAATATTCGCCGGAGACTCTCTGAGATTGAAGAAATCGGTCTTGAAGAGTTGAAGGCGCAAAAACATAAAGAGATAAACAAAGCGGCCACAAAAGCAGATAACATCCGCTGGGCCCTCATCGAAGTTGAAGACTGGGGGTTGGCGATTAGAGAAGCATTGCTCCCCGACGGAACGCCACTCAAGTTTAGCAATTACTTCCTTACACACCTGAAGGGAGCCGTCGAGAAGGCTGAAGCTGCCATGGGCCTCGCCAAAATCGCGCTCACAGCTACCCTTAATATTTCATATTTAGGGTATCTCTCTCAAGCTTCACTCGGTATTCTCGGCGTGCCATTTTCGAACTTGACCGATACCCACGAAAGGCTCGCGAAGGAACTCCGGGACCTGGAGAAAAGAATAAAGATGTGGAGAGAAATTGCCGACAATCATGGTGTCCCAGTAGACAAAGGAAAAGGCAGCACCTACAACGTGGAAGACGACCCTATGGCGAATCCCGCGGATCCGTTTTTCGAAGCGAGCGAGGAGGTTCGTGAGATTCTAACACAAGAACTTCAGCAAACCATACATAACGCCACCACGATCGATGGAAAGCGCGTTGACAGTGAGGCGATCCTGGATCGGTATTTCAACTATTTGAACCAGTATCGTGACAACTTCTACGCAGCCGTGGGAACGCCAAAGGAAAAGAAGATAAAGAAGCTGATGCAGAGTAAAGAAGTCGCAGACAGAGTAGCTGAAAGACGGGAGCAAAGGCTGAAGGCAGCCAGAGAGGAAAGGGCCAAGAGAAAGGCACAGAAGGAATTGAACGAAAAGAGAAAAGCGAGGACCGAGTTGAGAAAGGATATCATCCGAAAGGCAGAGCTAGACCGAAAAGACTACGAAGAGAGAAAAAGAAAGAGGGCAGCGGGGAGCAAAGAGGATTTGAGGCTTGGATTCCCTACATCTCCATCTCAGCTCAATAACCCATCAGTCGAAGAGGGCGAGCCGGATGCGAAGCGGCCTCGGGTTAAGTCACCAGAGCCACCAAAGCCAGTATCACCAGTAAAAAAGGAAAGGACGCCACCACCAACGGCTCCGACGCCGACACCGGCCGAGAGCGAGCCGGTAAAGCATGTAGGACCTGTTGGGCCGGTTGGGCCGGTTGGACCGACACCATTGGCAACACCGGAATGGGTCAAGTCGCTCATACATGGCAAATGAAGACTGAATGATTTAAGTCTCTCTCATAACAGCCTTGCTTGAAGTCAGGCTACGCGGATTTTAGTATTGCATCGCGAGATCTACCTAGCCAACTCATTCATACGAACCTTGGAATAGATTATCTCTCAGATCTCTGGGCCATTGAAGCACTACCTGATATTGTAGCTTAATTAGTTTGCCTATTTACTTTTAGTCATAATTGCAGTTATTATTTAAATGAAAATCATCCCCCTAAGATATAAGAAGATGAACAATGGCCCTTAAAGCTTTTACTAAGTTGAGCTCGATCAGAGCAAGGGTGTTTTAAGAGGCTTAGTTTGAACCTCTCGAGAGCCTCATATGATAAAGAGAACAAGAACCAATAACTAAGAACCAAGATATGTGGACGTAGTCGGTCGTATAGTCACCTCTAATTGGAAGTAAATGTTTCTGTGGCCTGACAAAATGCAAGTAGTGAATCCCCGGTTTATCTCCGCTCATGTTGCAAGCTAAAAGACAAACTAAGGGCCAACTGCAATATCTTGGCACCACAAGATAAACACGGCCGCGTAGTGTAGTGGTTAGGTATGTCTCCCTCAAGATACCTGCTTGTCTTGGGCTAGGCCACTAACAAAGAGATAGCACGCAGGATTTTGATTACGATCAAGCTTTCCTGAGACCTGAGTTCAATCCTCGGCGGGGCCTATTCAACGCAATATAGCGAATATTTTTGCTGCTTTCCCTAGTTGGAAGAAAAGAAGAAGCAAAGACGAATTTTGTGGTGGATGAATGAACGTTTGTGGAGTTTAATGATAAGCTTGACTTAGGTACTGTCGTACCTGGTACTTCCTGCAAGGGCTTGAAGTCCAAGGTTGTGGCTCAGCTCGGTACATGTATGTACATAACCTCTGTGTACTTGAGAAGGTGGGTCAGGTGACCTGGTGTCTGCCTACGCGCCGTCATGCATGTGATGTGACTAAGAGTGGAGAAGTAATTGGGGAAGTAATTCTATCCTCTTTCAGGATTAGGTTCAATCAACGCGCCTTGCACGTAACATCCGCATACATCCGCATACATCCGCGTATAGAGTCCATCTATATATTGCATTGGCTTCCACTAGTGTGCTGAAGCACGTTTACGAGTTCGATGATACCTATTCCGCATTAGCAATTCTGTTGCGATGCCTGCGTATGTTTTTTTCCTTGATCCTATTTATCCCCGAACGCGTCTGAGCTGACATGCGACTAGTCCGGGTGACCAGCACAACGGCATCGTCAATCCCTTCGAGGAGGCCAAACCTCGAATCTCTGAATACACTGCTACAGAAATTGCGACCTTACAATCAAGGCTAGAGAAACAGCTTGGTCCCGAATACCTTTCCGCACGTAGTGGCCCGTCTGGCCAGAAGGTTCACTATATAGCCGCCGAGAAATGCATCGCTCTCGCCAATGAGGTCTTCGGTTTCAATGGATGGTCGTCTGGCATTCAGAATATCCAGGTTGATTTCGTCGACGAGAATCCGCAAACCTTCAGGATATCTCTTGGCCTATCTGTTATCGTTCGAGTAACACTACGGGATGGCACCTACCACGAGGATATCGGGTATGGACACATTGAGAACTGCAAGGGAAAGGCGGCGGCCTTTGAGAAGGCAAAGAAGGAGGGGACTACGGATGCTTTGAAACGTGCGTTGCGGAACTTTGGCAATGTTCTTGGTAATTGTATCTACGATAAGGAGTATCTATCCAAGGTCACAAAAATGAAGGTTGGCCCGGTCAAGTTTGACGAGGAAAACCTGCATCGCCATTCCGATTTCGCCAAGAAGGAGCTGAACGTTGCGAAGGTAGAGCCGAAGAATACCGCGGACCAGAACGTTGAAATGACTGCGCATGGTGGGTTTGACTCCGACGGCATCGACTGGACGGATGCTGATGTTTTGGATTTGTAGTTTCAAACTTACTGGACGAGGACTTTGGGGATTTTGATTTCGCCGAATTTGGCGTTACAGATGAGGGCCACCCCGATGAGGTGGTGCTACCTGGTTCTCATGCAATGAGTTCAAATGAGAAGTCCCAAACTCTACCCACTGGTAATAGCACTGGTAATAGCAGTGATCGCAATACACCATCTGCAAATAATACATCAAGGCCCATGCAGCCGCCCCCGAAGCCGGCCGCTCAACCCCCTAGACAGCCCCAAACCCCTAACCAACCACCGCAACGGTCAGGGGCTACTTTCCAAGGCCGTCCCAATCCACAACAATACCCCAGACCCGCTCCCCATTTTAATAACCAAGTTCAACAAGCAACGGCTAGCAATAGGATAAGTACGCCCCCGCCGAACAGTGCGGCGCCGGCAGAAGTCTCATTCTTCTCGGCTCGATCGATCAAGAAGCTACCAGAAGACGCACCTCTAGACACTACTATCATCGCGGCACAGGGTGTAAAGCCATTCGATCCCCGCCTAGACAGTCCCTCGATTCGGAAGACGCCGGGCATCGACCACAATTCGTCCAAGCCAGTGTCTAGGACCGGCCAGCACGTCGCCCCCCTTAAAAGAGAGCAAGAGCAACAGCGTGGTCCGGGAGGTGCTCCGGGGGGTGCTCCGGCCGGTGGCGGTTTTACCAGTGGGGGTGCATCTGGTCCTGGCAGGCCAGGTATGGGGAGCGTTGGGAATCCTGCGCTAAATCACGCGAGGCAAATCGGTGCTCCTGGGAGTTCAGGGAGTCCGTTAGGGAATAGAGGTCAGTATCGACCGTTAACGGTGAAACGACCGGCTCCTTCCGGGCCCGAACCTGGTAACAGGGCGCCGCTGACGGAAGTTACCTCGAATGGCTCCGTCCAAGGCGGAGGAGATGGAGGAGTTGATCCCAAGAGGCAAAAGACTTCCTGATTAGGTAGTATTTGGGTGACGTCTCGCTTGTTTGTTCGGTCGTCGCGGGTTACGATAAAGGCAAGGCAATTGTGTTCTTTATAGGTGGCAATGTTTGGCGTTTGGAGTATATCTGCTGGCCCTGGCTGGAGAGCCGCATTACTAGATTCGTTAGTGCTAGTGTTGCATTCAATTACACGAGCTTAGACCTGTGCATTTGTCCAACATCCAATCGATATAGTCAAAGTACCTAACATATCGAGTTGTTTCTTGGCTAGTCTTTTTTAGTTAACGTTGTCTGGATATGGTATGATATATCCTAGGGTAAGCTGATAAAGGGCGCAACGTAGTTGAGATACTAGATACTTTAGGCATAATTATGGGTTAAATCAAGCTGCCTACCTATAGAGTAAGGTCCGGCGAAATGTTACGATAATTTTATATCGGAAGCGGAAGATGACAGGATTAGCATAAGCTGAGCTAATCCCTGCCTCAGCTGTCTCAAATGCGGTAAAAACACGACTTTGATTGGCTAAAACACAAAGCCTATAGTAGAGTAAATAGCTAGGTTAGGTAGGTTAAAGCTTGATTACGAGGAATAGGTAGTATAAAGAAGGATTCAGTTACCTAATTAATTACTGGGGAACATCCTCAAAGAAACTACCTACCTACCTACATAGTAACCTTAACGTTAGACTTCTTCTATATATACCACATGACCCACCTATAAAGGTCCATGTACTATGTATGTATGAATGCCCATTGAGCTAATTCGAATAATTCTAGTTCAAGGCTTCGTTCTAGAGAATAAGTTCTAGAGAATAAGAGTATCTTACAAGTTACTCTCCTAATCATCGACGAACATGGCCGACAATAAGCCCACGCTGCACCACTTAGAGGTCGGTTTACTACATACCTAGGTTATACTATGCTATAAGTGAGAGTGCCCAGATTAACAAAAAAAACAAAACATATAGGACTCTCAGTCTCACCTAATCCTATGGCTGCTCGAGGAGATGGGCATCGAGTACAACCTCGTGCTCCATAACCGCGTAAACAAGCGCTCGCCCCCGGCCTTGCGCGCGCTCCACCCCCTCGGCAAATCGCCAACGCTAGCCACGCCCTCGGGCCGCCTGATCACGGAGCGCAGCGCCATCGCCCTCTGGCTCATCAACACGTACGACGCAGGCGCGCCGTTCCGCCTCGCGCCGCCCCCGGCCTCGTCTCCCGACGACGACGCCGTGCGCGAGGAGCAGCTGATCTCTCTCGGCGGCGCCACGCTCAACCCCCTGCTGCTGCTCAAGCTAGTGTTCGGGCAGCTGGTCGCGCAGACGCCGTTTTTCGTGCGCCCGCTCGTGCGCGCCCTTCGCTACTTTCTCGACAGCGCGTTCTTGGACGCCGAGATAGCCACCGTGTTTGGGTTTCTGGATGCGCAGCTGGAGGAGGGTAAGGATAAGAACGACGACGGGGATGGGACGGCTACTACTACGACGCGTGCTTTCTTCATGGGCACCGAGGCCCCGACGCGCACCGACTTCACGCTCATGTGGTATGTCGACTGGGCGTTCCAGTCCAGGTGGGTGGATTTTGAGAAGTATCCCCGCGTCAAGGAGTGGCATGCCAGGTGCACTAGCAGGCCGGCGTGGAAGAGGGCGCTGGAGAAGGGGAATGGGTACGATGTGCGGAATTAGAGAGCATAAGGCTCTGTTGCGAGTCTGAGTACCTAAGGTAGGTACATGATGAAGTTGGACGTGTGGACGATGAAGTTACGAATCTCAACTCTGGTATAGGGGTTAAATGAGGTAGGCTTGAGCAGAACATATCCTCCGCTATAACTGTAGATAAATATTTGCAATATACTCTGTACAATTGAGAATGCAAAGGTTGTTGTACAAGACTCGCTCCGACCAACGAACGGATGCATAGGCTAGAAGAAATAGGAATATATTCAAAGGGTTGGTTGCACCACCAAGCCGTATCTTTCCAAAAAGATACACGTGCACCTTGGCTTGCATCTTGTTGCTTTTCCGCTGCATGGGATCGATATGATATCTGTATCTCATGTTTTTTACTGGCTTACGTCGACGAGACGGTGCATTCGAGTAGACATATATTATAACAAGTTATTCATAAATGACAAATGTACCTAAAGCACCTAGAACATGAATGTCAAGATAACATAGGTAAATATGGGTGGGCTCTGGTTTTTCGACCAGAAAGCTTTATAAATGCGACTAACATGATGTCGCATATAATAAGTAATGGCATTTTATGACATCACAAGTTACCTTTTGGTCAAGTGGATAATCTGACACATGACAAGTGAATGGCAATACTACCTTGACATATTTGGAGTTATCAATGGTTCCATTCATACACCCTTATAGCTACCTAGTGCATGGTGAACATGGCCGAGCGGGGTGAGAGGCAAGTATTAGTTCACATCCAGCCGGGCAGCCGTATCATACGGTTTATATCTATCTTGATTGTCGACTCAAGGAGATGGAAAGTAAGATCCTCACCCTCCTTGCCGCAAGCTGCTCCGTCCAACATTGCATAAACCGGCTTGCTTCTATATAATTGCTCTTGTGTGATATTTGAAGTATACTCAAAGTATACTCAAGGCAGTTTCTCCAAACTATCAACATGGAATTCTTGTCCGTTGATGGCATAGGTCCCCCGAGCCTCGTTGGAGTATGCGTGTGCTTCGCGTCTCTGCTTTCGTTGTGGTCTATTATTACAACTATCGCGGCATGGTATCGACTTCGACACATCCCCGGCCCATTCTTGGCCTCGTTATCCCACCTTTGGGTAGCGAAAAGCATACTCTTCGGTACGCTCGAGAAGGACTTCGTCGGGCTCGCAAAGTACGGGACCCTGGTACGGGTAGCGCCTAATTATGTCGTGACTAGCGATCCAAAGGTCCTTCGCCAGATTGCCTCAGCCCGAAGTAAATACGGCAAAGACGAGTGGTATGAAACAGTTAAATTTGATCCAAGGAATGAGAACATGATCACTTTAATCGATACTCATGCGCACGACCAGCGTAAAGCAAAGACGATTAAAGGATACAACGGACGAGAGAATGCCGATCTCGAGCATGCTATTAACTCCCAGATCGCCCACTTCATTGACGTCGTCCGGCGCAAGTATCTATCGGGGCCTGAAAGTCGAACTCGTTGTGTCGATTTCGCTTCTTTATCCCGTTACTTTACTCTAGATGTAATCACCCGGCTTGCGTATGGCCAGCCGTTTGGCTTCCTAAATGCCGACGGGGATTTATACGAATACACGACCATGGTAGACAATACGCTCAAGGTGCAGAACCTTTGCCAGGAGATTCCATTTCTTAAGCGGATCGTATTTTCCCATACCTTCTACGCATTATTCGGTCCAAAGCCAACGGACGAGAAGGGCATTGGAAAGATGATGGGGTAAGTCACGGCTGTCGATATCTCGATGGCATATCTTACATTATATATTAGGATCACGCAAAAGATCATCGAAGAAAGATTCCGAGATGCGAACCCTCCGGATGATATGATGGTAAGTAACGTTATACACTCGAGTATTTAAGTCTCTCGCTCAATAACAATGTCAGGGGTCGTTCATTCGCCACGGCATGACAGAGGAAGAATGCAAGAGCGAAGCTATGCTTCAAATTCTAGCTGGGGCGGATACAAGCGCGGTAGCTATTCGTACTACGTTGATGTATCTCGTGGCTACGCCTCGGGTATACTCACGGCTTAAGACAATAATAAAACAATGCGTGGAGCGCAACGAAGTGTCTACCCCTATCACATACGAGGAAGCTCAAAAGCTGCCCTATTTAAAGGTACCCAATGCATATTTTATTCCACTTAGCTATGCCCATGCTCTTATATAAGACTGATCTAATCATTTAATAGGCAATCATCCTAGAAGGCATTCGAATGCGAAGCCCCTCCACATACGGACATTGTAAGTATAGACTGTCATGTCCAGCACAAGTCCCTAACGTCCAGCAGACAAGAAAGCTCCACCAGAAGGGGACGTGATCAACGGGATTTTCATTCCTAGCGGTACTGCGGTCGGCCACAACTCCCTAGCCATGACCCGCAGCGAAGCCATCTTCGGCGAAGACGTCGAGATATTCCGACCAGAGCGTTTCCTCGAGGGCGATGAAAAAACCAATGCCGAAAGAGCGTCTACGATCGACATCATCTTCGGCAATGGCCGGTGGATGTGTGCTGGGAAGCCCATCGTCATGATGGAGCTTCACAAAGTTTTCTTCGAGGTTAGACGACTTTCTTCTACTTGCGTCTTTGTTCCCACCTCTCCGTAACGTGTATCTAGCATGTGCTGATCAGTCTTTAATCTAGTTCCTTCGCGTATTCGATTTCCAGCTAAACAATCCTGCCAAAGGCTGGGACGAAAATGTATACTTCCTGTTTATCCAGTCGAACATGTGGGTGACCATCACAGAGGCCGATGTATAACGAATATGTCGTATCTTATCCTGAGTACTCCAAGACGCAGAGGATGGGGATTTCTCAAGTGGATCTTGCCATATCACTTCTAGGTAAGACGTTGAGAAGACTGTGTGAAGAAACGGGGGACTTTCGCTTTTGAATTACCATTATGAAATTTCGATGAGGCAAGACGTCCAGAATGCCTCATTGTTATCACATATATTTCACATGGGAAGAACATATCGCCTATGATAACTTAGAAACCACTCGTTAATAAATAAGAGGTACCTAACCTAGGAACTTATGAAGCAGAGAGAACTTTAAAACATCATGCTCATAGATGTGCTATTTTATATTTATGTTCCAGACTATAGCGTGACCCTGTGAAGAGAGAATAGGGATAATTGAGGATAACGGTTGAATGACAGATCAGGGGCTTTAACCCCTAAACATAACGCACCCTTTACCAACATAATGAAACAGCAATAACGTGAAAGTCGGTCTGGTAGGCATATACATTTATTACTCTTCCATATACCTATAACTAAGCACTCTATGTCCTGTCGATGTACCCCACGTAACAAGCCACCAAGTCCATTATCATTATCAATCAATCTCCATCGTACATTATTATCTTCCAGCATCAGTTTCTCTAGGATGGTATTTTCCCTGGCTCTAATCATGGTATATCCTCCGACGAATCCTCACACTTCTATCATCATTAAAGTATTTCTATGCCAAGAGAGCAAGCAACTGCTGCTAAGAAAGCGGATAGCCGACTGACGAGCCCGCTACTGGCACGGCACAATCCACGCGCCGATTCCGTTTTGGAATTGGGCGGACTGGCCGACGCCCGCTTGGAGGAATTCAAGAGAGAAGCCCCTGACGCTGCTGACGTGCCAGCTCATCTTCCGCGACTCGCCGTAGCCGGTCGCCTGCCCGCACTCGAAAGTGCCGATCGTGGTGTTCTCCCCGGGGAACACTTGGTGCAACTCTGTGCTGTTCCACGTGGCGTTGCCATCATCATCCACAAGGTGGAATGTCATACCGGAATTGGACAGGACCTCCTGCTCCAGACCGCTAAAACTGTAACAGGGATAACCCTTGGGGAGAGAAGTACAGACTGGCATACGGAACTGAAGAGCACATAGTGAGGACTTTCCTCCTGCGGCGTTGGCGGGAGGGAAAGTATTCGGGATGGCGTAGTTGAACATCGTGCTGTAGTTTCGACTGATTACGACTTCGGCTGAGGAGGTATCATTGCTTCCGCTTGGGACGGACGAGTTACCGTGTAGTTGGTAAGGTGCAAGTGAGGGTGCTGATGGATCTATGGTGCATGTTTGAGGTGATGGCTGACGTCGTAGCGGCCGGGTTGGGCGTGGCATCCGGCGTGGTGTCTTGGATCGTATTGAGAGGGTGGAGTTGCTAGCAGTAGCAGAGCAAGCGGCTGTCTCATCGACGAGCGCTAATACAACTGGCACACATCCAGTCTTATCGGCCTTGTCTGAGGAATAGATGTCGTAGCTCTCGGAGTCAATAGGACATGCGTAGAAAACTCCAGAACTATTATCATATGTGAGATGTGACTTTCCATCTGCCTTTGGGGGTGCGATATCGAATGCTGTGGTCCCGACGGCGCCTTGATAACACTCGAACTGATAGTCTGGCCCTCTCATGAAGCAATTGTGTCCTAGACTATCTTGTATGGTTTTGGTCGTCTCGTCTAGACAGAAACCGCCCTGCTGAAAGGTACCGCCAAGAAGTAAGTCGCCGACATGGTCCTCCAGAACAGTCTCGTTGACCATTCCCACCGAGGCGAGCTGGAAGCAGCAGCCATCATTGCCTTGCCTTGATCGCAGGGCAGCACCGGCAGCTGTTGTAAATAGCAAGGTTTGAATGAATGAAATCATCATTTCTGATCTTGATGGTGTGTAGGTTGAACGAGTGTAGACGTCAAATTGTCGCGAAGTGCAATCCCTTTTCTGGAAAACCGAGTGGCTCGTACACAGGCGATCAAGGGTTGATGATAGGTTCCACAGGCGAGCGGGTATGACGAAGATGACGTCTCTAGGGCCACTGGGAAATTGGGATAAACCGCAGACGTAAGAAGGCTATGTAAAATAACTTTTCCGCCTTTACGAAGACGACTGGCAGAATACTACCTATGTAGAAGTAAGAAATTTTGTGGAATGTTCTTGGACGCATCCAATCTTTTTCTAACTTTGGCTGGTTAAACGATAGAAAGGAGGCTGATTGCACAATGGCGCAGCAACTGACGAACAAGCCCTTTATTCAATACAATCGGTCAAACTTACATAACCTTTTTTTTTCCCTCTTCTCTTTTTTAAATTAAAAACCTCAGATGTACAGGTGCAGATACATAAAAATTTGAAAAAGACATTACATAGATCTTATAAAACGTTTCACACCGATTATACTTCATACGACTGTAAAGAGGGACACGAACAGGGGAAGAGTACATAGGTACATTGAAGCTAAGACAGGTAACACTTATGTAGGTACCTACCTAAACACTGGAAGCTACCTATTCTTTGTGCTACAAGCCATTCTGAAGCTGCGCTAATGGCTGAATTGCCTATGTACTTGTTTACATGTTCTTTTAACATAGAATTGTGTGACTTTGTACAATACCTACCTACCTATGAAGTTAGCTTGCACCCAGAGCTATCGGACGAGATGAAGTTTAAGGGGTTTTATTGCGACTGTAGCTTGTATAACAACAAAGATTGGCGACATGTTCAAGTTTTATATATCCCTACTAGGTATCCGTCATTATCATCATCAAATAGGTAACCAAACTACCATGACTTGACTTGACAAACTCTATCGTAAAGCACAATCCACCATTCTCGTAAGTCCGGGGTATCAGGTCCGTTGAGGATCGTAGCTGTGAAGCCATATTCTAAGACAAAAAATACCCCTCTGGGTGAGCCCATATGCTGCGCCCGAACTATCAATGTATTACGCCCAAACGCCTAGACCCTCGTCCAAAAACCGTGCGGCATCCGAGGAAAGGCTCACAGCTCATCCGTCTCGTCATCGTCCGAGATCCAAATAGACGTAGACGTTCCCTTGTTCTTCGCTGGCGAGTCCTCCTTCTTAACTCTCTTTACATCTGCGGTAAGAGGGGTAGCCTCTTTTATTTCCCGCTTTATAGCTGGCGTACTCGGCTTAACCTCCTCAATCTTGGCGTCTTTCCTATCCTCATCATCCTTCACATCTTCTAGGGCGGGTTTAATATCCTCGGGTTTCACGTCAACCATCTCGATATCATTTTTTACTCCAGGTTCCTCCTTCGGCTCTGCGTTCTCTTCGACAACTTCGCCCAGCTCCTTAAGCTTTTCGCCGCGTCTTTTGTAAAATAATTCTAAGCAATTCCGCCGTTCCTTCTGCGTCATGCTTTCGACTGCTAATGCGAACTCCGTCACACAGGGAAACCCAAACATCTTCGCCATCGTACAGAACTGGCGCTGTCTAACTTCTACCGGAGGGTTATATTCATACTCGAACGATTGCTGGGCAGCCGAGAGCCCCTGGCTATCAAAGAAAAGGGTACAGTCTGGGTCTTGACTTGCGGCCAGCTCTGCCTGTCGGGACAATTCGTCTTCCACTTTGGATGAGCCGACGACTTCAGAGTTCTCGTGAGTATATTCGACACCCTCGGACGCGAGTATTGCTTGGATGGGATCGAAATGTTTCGGCTTATGCGTTCCTGCTGGTTTCAAGATGCCATCTTTGTTATCATCCCTAGTAAATAGAGTAGCTAGCTGCTTGAGACCTCCAGTCTCGTCGTCGTCGGCATTTTCTTCTTTCTTGATGAACTGGTCTTCCTCGGCATCTCTAGCCGCTTTTTCTATATCGATATCTATCAGTTTGACACCCGCCTTTGCTTCAGCGATATTTGTCTTATTGACAATATCTCGGAGGACGACTTGGTCACCATGGTATGTTAACAGATTGCGGATTCCGAAGATCTCCCCCTTTCGTTCCGTATCTTGTTGAACTCCTTTGAAATAGCGGCGTTCATTGGAAGCATTGTATCCAATATTGGCCTGCTGCTGCTTGTAGATCTGCCTTGCATAGGTGATTTCCTCGATGGTGCCTGCAGAGACGAGGCGGTAGACTTCAACATCACGAACTTGACCTATACGATAAGCCCGATCTTGTGCCTGGAGGTCGTAGGAAGGATTCCAATGTGGATCCATTATGACGACCTTGTTGGCTGATGTGATGTTGAGCCCAACGCCGCCAGCTTTGGTGGAAATTAAAAATACAAACTGGTTAGGGTCAGAATTGAAGTTATCGACCACTTGTTGGCGTTCTTCGTAGCTCAGCGACCCATCTAAATAGCTAAGGTTGTAACTCGTATTGTTGAATAAGTTCTGCAGGATCTTCAGCAACCGAACACTATGTGAGAAGACCAGCACTTTGTCGCCACTAGTATGCCAGAGCTTCAGGAGTTTCCGAAGGACCTTCCACTTTCCACAATACTCAGGATTAGCCAAGTTGAGTAGGGAGTCTCGGCTAGCATAATGTTCCTTCCAGGTTTGAGGTACAGCAGCTTGGAGAAATCGGAGTTCTCGCCTATGTTTTTCCATAACGTCTGAAGTTTGCGGAATGAGGAGGCTGAAATGATTAGATAACTTCTGCATCGATATCATGATAGGGAAAATCAGTGACTTCCACGATTCCCCTTCAGCAGTGGCTTTGAAACAGCACCATCCTCGCTTGTTTCCCGAACCGCATGGGCAAATATCATATGCAGAACGGACGAAGCTAACAATCTCGCTATCGAGTAAGCTCGCATAGGCCTTGCGCTGTAGGCTGGAAAGTGGACAGAACACTACTCGGTCGCTTTTTTTGGGGAGCTGGTGGGCGATTAGGCTCTTCATTCGGCGAAGGAAAAAGCGAGGAAGTAGGTTGAAGCGAAGCTTCTTGGCTGTCTTCCGAGCTTCGCTTAGTTGATGTAGAGTGGCGTCATGAGATTGACCAACAGTCAATGGCTTTGAGATCGTATTCCTCCATTCTGCTAGAGTCCCAAACTGTCCAGGATTTGTCCAGTTTAGCAGTGTCCAAAGCTCTTCGTACTTATTTTGGATCGCTGTTCCTGTCAAGCCAATCCTACAGAGAGCATTGACCTGGTTCATTGCCTGTGTAATCCCAGCAGCAACGTCCTTTATCGAGTGGCATTCGTCAGCCACAACAACATCCCAGGGTATCCTGTTGACCTGATCACGGCTATTCTTATATGTGGTGTAGGTTGTGATCATGATTTCTAGCCTTCCCGCCCTGGCAGCGCCGAGGACATCATCCCTACCCGCCCCATGATACAAATCAGCTTCCCACCATCCCCATCTGTCTAATTCATTCTTCCAATTCTGAATTAGCGATCCAGGACATATTATCAAGGCACGAGGGTACCAATCGTCCTTCGCACGTCGGAACTTTCTCATCCTTTTCGCATCACGACGGTCACCCGTCTTGCCGAACATGGCGGTGAGAAAGGCAGCGACCTGAACAGTTTTTCCTAAACCCATATCATCACCTAGGATCCCGCCTTTCTGATAGACGAAGAGATAGTGAAGAAACTTGACTCCATCAATTTGATAATCACGAAGATACTGTGCGATGGAAGCTGGGATAACTCCCGCCGAATGTTCAAGAATGATATCTTTATAGGCACGACATGGCTTGATGCCGCTCTTCTCGTCAAATTGCGGTTTCTCCTCCAAGTCGGCCAACCTTTCATCATCGGAAAAGTAGACATCTGAATAGTTTGGGGGTAGTTGTAGTCCGCCTTCACGTAAAGTTTCACGAGCCTGATCAAACTGCTTTCGGCGATCTCGTATGTACTGGGGTAGTGAATCCTCGGGAGCATCTGAATCTGAAGAGGACACACTATCGTCGTTCTGTAATGAAGCGATCTTCTCTGATCTGATATGTTTACGGGGACGACCTCTCGTAGTAGCTTTCTTCTTACCTTTCACTGGCGATGCTCCCCGGCTATTCTTCTTTCGCTTCTTAGGCTTTTTATGGGCGCCGTCCGATTCATCACTCCATTCAACCTTGTTATCAAGAATATCCGGTATAAGTTTGCGCTTGTTCGACGCCTCTAGTTTAGTAGAGGCCGTCAAAGGTGGCGGATCTGAAGACTCGGTCGTTTCATCATCTGAAATGGCGATGGAAGTTTGAGGCCGGGCCATGATTCTCTTGTACTATTGAGTAGCTAAAGTAGGGTTTGTAAGTCATTCTGGGTTGAACTTGTACTATATTGTAGGATTTATCTACCTAAGTTAGGAGGATCTAAATGGAAATACATAAAGAAGAGTAGAAACGCGCGACCGCGATTGCCTTTGCTGCTTTGGTGCATGCCGAAAGAAAGTGGGGCATACGGGGTTAGCTTCCCACGCGAAGGCACGTGCTCAACGATTCACCCTCCGCTGTATTATAGCCGTTCTTATTGGCAATCTATAAGAGGTACCTAACCTACATCTATATCTTAATAATTCCCCGGGTAGGAACTTTTATCAAGTACTTTAGTAAGTGCTTAGTTCATTTGACTCGGCTTCTTTGGAAATTCTCCAGAGATACATGTATGTATGAATCATAATTGGTATTATGGCTACTGTACTAGGTACCTAACCTAGGTATTTACTACTATTCAGAAATAGCATCATTTAATTATTCCTTATCATGGCCAATACGCTAGGATATAGACAAGGACATAGCAGACTTATACGAAATGAGCAGTGAAGCGCAATTGCGAACCCAATTGATATAAAAAGACTAGTTACCAATATCTATTTCATAGTACCCCCAGACGCCACGCCGTAGAAATGCATGCACCCTCGTCCTAAATTACAACAGCTCGAAGTCGTCCAGCTTGTCGCGGTACTTCATAATGTTGCGCTTGATCTTGCTGCCGACAGCCCACGTCACAAAGTCTTCCAGGTTCCGCGTGACGAAGAAAGCAGGGTCGGTGATAGTCTCAACACCCACCCGGACGTGGCCCTGCTCGATGAGCTTCGTGGCCGCCTGCACGGTCTCCGCCATCCTCAGGCGCGTCATGACCACCGGTAATCTCCTGCGCGCCATGGCCGAGACGGTGACGCCGTGCTCGACGTTCGAGAGCTTCGAGGCCGACGATAGGATTCCCATGTCGTAGAGCTTGTTCAGGAGAAGTTCCTCGTGTTTCCTCCTCACGGGGTTCTCTGGCGGTAATAAGCTAAGGCGATGTGCTAGTTGGCGCAGAGACTATTGGTGGAAAGTGTTAGGTCATGTAATTTCCTTGCTGCGCTATTTGACTGCTCAGAATACTTACTCCGCATATCCTGTTATATCTGTGGTAATCTTCGGGCTTTTGGATCATGTACCGTCGTATAACAGCCGCCTATCAAGAGCGCATAAGTCAGCAAAATTATTGGCTTAATAATAGATGAATAGGAGGCACAAACATCTCTGTGGTTATTATCCTGTTTCCAGGTAATGAAGTCTGTCTTCCTGAGCAGACGCTGCTCGTGGTGCTTGAGTTTTCGGACCATGATGTCTGCCGGTCACTTAGAGGATGTACAGGATTGTTTGTAGGTATATAGAAAGTCTGGAGTTGATGAGGCTCGACTTTTTTTTAATCGCAACTTTTCGCGCCCCACATTGAAGATCCGATAAGAGCTTAAGACCCCTGCAGCAGTTTACGACCTTGCGGGGTGCATTGACAGGGATATAAATACATAGGTAAGTACCTAGGTACCGAGGGACATACAGCTGGAATAATTATTTAACCGACTAAATTTCTATGTGTGCTCCACTAGATTGGATCAGATATTCCACCATCCGATTGCGATTGCGTATCTGGTATACCTACAATAGAATACAATTGAAGGGTTGTTCTCGAAACCCGAGGCCTAGATTAATAAATCTATCAGTCAATCGCCCAAGATGCCGCCGCGAATACCCCTTCTCGCCACCCTACGGCAACGCTCCACTCTCTTCAGATCCCGAACCGCCAACATATCAAGCACCAGCCCGCGCGAAAACCGTAAGTCGCCAACTGACTCCCAAGCCACCGCACCGCATCCCACCGCTAACCCAATCCTTCCAACCCAGTCCGCAAAGACGTCCCCAGCATCACCTCCAACCTTCTCAGCCTCGACGACTCCACCTCCAACGAATCCACCATCGCCGCCGCCGACATCTACGACAGCCTGCGACACACCGTCGCGCGGCGCGTCGCCCTCGAGGAGGAGCTGCGCGAGACCAACAAAGCCGAAGAATACCTGCGCCAGCTACCCCGCCGCTGGCGCACCGGCGACGTCTACGCCCCTCACGACATGAGCTCCGCCGAGATGACCAAGTGGCGCCGCACGCAGGCCCGCAAAAAGGACCTCGTCGATATCCTCGGTCTACGGCCGCTGGATATGTATCGCGTACGTTTACACACCCTGAAAAGATTTGAAGAAAGGGAAAACAACAGAAGAAGACGACGAATCATATACGTCCAGGTCTATTGTGTATAGGCAGATAGATAGGTAATTACTAACAAGCACCCCGTAGAACTTCTCCGTCATATCGGAATACATGACGCCGCACGGGCGGATAAAGCGCGCAGTCGACACGGGATTACGGCCGGCGAACCAGCGGAAGATGGCCAAGGCCGTACGGCGGGCCATCGGCCTGGGTATCCATCCTAGCGTGCACCACCACCCGGAGATTCTGATCCGGGAGAACACCAGATACTTCGAGCAGGTGTCCGCGACAGTCAACAGAAACATCAAGTTCTGAGGTTAGTTAATAGTTGGTTAGGTAGACGATGGATGGGTGAATTGTACAACAACGTAACATCTCCGTGTCTTTCAACGCTTATTCGTCTATATACAAAGAGACAGCAGAGGAGGCTATCTACCTATGTAGATAGATGTACGAGTAGTGTTGTACAAGATCAATCCATACCTATACATCATGCCTTCCACAGCCGAGGGCGGATCTTAAATACCGGGAGGCCTTCGCTGTTTTGCTTCTTGGCGTACTTTTTCTTCAGTTCCCCCCACACTTGCGGGTAGGATTCTTTTGCCCATTCCTCGAATTGGTCTTTCATCTCTTGCGACGGTAAAACATTAAACACGGTGCCAAGGCTAGGGAAATGTCAGCTATCAATACACGGCAATACTTGATGCCTGTGTACTCACTTGTAAAAGTTGGGCCCCCTTCCAACGACGTTATCCATATCCTCCAACAGCATCTTGGCAATTGTAAGGTGACCATGTGCAGCCGTCGCGGCTACGTACGCTAGGTATACTATGTCTGGCACTTCGATATCCATCCTTTTTATCTTTTCCCATAGCTCGTTTGCGAGGCTATCGCCATCGGGCGTGATCTCGTAAGTCCTAAACACAATTTCGAGTGTGGCATAGGACGGCCCGTCGGGAGATGCAGCGATCTCCGTCCAGAAATCAAGCGCTCGATAGGGAAAGTCGCATGCTGTATATCCAATCATTAGTGCATTATATAGGCGTGTGCTGGCCTGGACCGTCGTGTCCATTTTCAGCATATTGTGGACTGTTTTTAGACTCTCTTCGTCTGGGCATTTGCCAATGCCTTCCATGAAACGAACGTATGTCTCTAGAGTTGGTTGGAGTTGCCGGTTTGCATGGGAATGCATATGTCTAAATACGTGTGCTGCCATGTCGGCACGACGCCTGTCGAAGAAGGTACCCATGATAGCTTCTCGATCTTCGACTTCAAGTTCGGGGAAGAATTGCCGTAATAATGCGTATGCGTCCCAGACACGAGCTGTACTATTCTTCTCGTCTAAGCAATATTGCACGAAGGCTTTCCTAACCATAGAACGTTCAGCAATGCTGTAGTGAACAGTATGAAGCGATAGGGTGTCTATTACTTCGTATGTCTCGTCATTCTTTAGGAATGCCATACAAATAGAAACCACTGTTTCGGGCTCCAGCGTAACGCCTCGTTGCTCGAGGTAACTAGTGACGTCTAGGACGCGCTCATGGTTGGGTTCCGGTACAGAGCACATGGCACGAATGAAAAAGTTCAAGACTGAGATTTCCCTGTCCCCAGTTGTCTCCTCGATGTCTCGGAGAGACTGGTAGGCCGCGAAAGCACCGTCGAGGTCGTTCGCGTGGATACGATACTCGAGCTGAAGTATATAAGTCTTATAGTTTAGTTCGAACCCCAGCTTACCAGCTAACGCGATGAAACGTTCGGCTAGATACGGATCATTCTTGTCAATGGTGGCCTTAATAAGTCCATTTATCGTCCCCATATTAGGTTGCGAACTGGGCTTGCCTCGCGTGCGTTCGGTAGCAACTGCAAGCATATGCTCGATATGATCAATTCCTTTTCCAAGTAATAAGATCGCCCACTGGTGAGATGTATCCCAACAGGGCTTGTTGGTACGTAGCCTTGGAGACTCTAAGCTTGAGATGAGGTCTTGGTAAATCCCTAGCGCCCATTCTTGCTGGTTATTGCGAAGGGCAAACCTGAGTATCTCATAGTATGTTGCAGGAGCCGGAGGGAGATTCCTAACGATCGGCTTGTTGAACCAGTATTTTGTTTCTCCAATCTTGTTTCTCTGCGCGAAAAACGTGGTCAAGATGCTGTGGAGCGTTGGGTCGTATTCAAGACCAAGCCGACTTGCCTGCGAAACGAGGTCTAGGAGTTCTGGTTCTCGACCCTCTTTAGCTAGACATCGAATCACAGGTATAAACTGTCTTAGCAAGACATCACTAGGCTCTCTACTCTTCATTCTAGAGTAGTAATCCAACACTAAGTCCCTCGCCTGGAGAGCTTGCCCATACTGTGACAGGGCAGTCGACAAGGCATAAAAGTCTTTGGTCTGGTGGGCGCCCCTCCGTTTTAAATCTGAATAGATTTCCCTCGAAAGCTCAAGGTGGCTTGCATAATCATCTCTCGGCGGTTTTAGTAAACAATCCCTGGCCGTCCGAAGGTCATCTTCAGATAGCTGCTCATCTTCACTGGTAATTAGGGTACGAAGATGTAACAGCACCCGGTGAGCACACAAGGCCTGGGTCGAGTTCACTACCCGGCCATGTCGTGCCTTATATTCAAATAGTTCCCGCCATGCTCTAACTAACTCATCCGGCATAGGCGGTCGAATACTACTCTTCTCTGCGGCTTGAAATTGGAGCAGGGTTTCGTATCCTGGTTCGGCGTCCAGTTCCTTCAACGTCCGCGGGGCTTTTTGAAATAATTTTAAGAACGTTCTCCTCTGGGCTGTCCTTGAAACCCTATATCTTACGGGATATATACGGAGTGGCGGTCTCGAGGAGATAAAACAAGGGGGGAGAGCGACGGGTGCCTCGCTCGCAAGAATGCGTCGCAAGACATGGCGGGTCAATTGCGACCGCATAATGGGAGGTAGACTATGTATACCAGCTACTACATGATCATTAGCAACTAGGTAACTTTGATTGTCGCCAGTATTTTTGGTCGACTCGCCTGTGCATGGCTAAAGCTGTTAACAGTTGCTCAACAAGAAGACGGCATGGGATGGTGGCATGTGGCATGTGGCGGATGCGATATATGTAGGTTAGGTATCTAAAGCTTCTGAAAAATTGGTTGGAGCTCCTGCGCGTCATCCTCCGTTAACCGTTAACGATAACCCCCCGATAATCCACCCTGCTAACAGAACCTTGTGCCTACTCCAGCTACATGTACTAGTACGGCGGGCCGGGGAATTGGGGCATTCGCCTCCGATAATTCCGTTCCAGTGTCCAGCCGGCGAATCTCAAGTAAGGCAGCTGCCAATTTCAATCTGCCAGTTGGACACTTATTATTTCTTATTTCTTATTTCTTATCTCTTATCTCTTATTTATACGGCCGCGATACAAATTTGATCCTTTGATTTTCAGACATATATGCTACTGGTTTAATATGTCTATTCTCTATTTTGTACGAAGTGTAAATTACCTCACCTATCTACATAGTTCATATCCCCTCCCAAAGAGCCAGTTTCTTCCCTGCAGATCATTAAAAGTTGGTTTTTTTTTTAAAAAAAAAAAAAAAAAAATACATTAACTACCTCCTAGGCAGGTATCTAATATATGCCAAGAACTCTTCTCAATATAATCGACGAGATGATGCCCTTCCCATGTGAGAAACCTGTCACGACCACTTGGGATGTGGGCGCCTCGCTAAAAGGAAAGTTATTTACATAAGGCCAAGCACGTCTATTATTCAGGCCAGGCAGAGATTTAATCTCTAATCTCTACAGGAGCTTGAAACCGAGTTGTAGCTACCTAATTAAGCTAAATAACAAATTAGCTGGAGTCGAATAAGACTATACGGATATTTGAATTAGTTGACTTATAATCTGAGACGCCGGCTCGCTCACCTTTACCTCTGACTTCGTAGGTTAATATATTATTGAAGTCGCGAGGTCCTAGGACACTAGGTAGCTTTTGATCTCCATGTAGACCAGGCCCGACAAGCTATCTGATACTCCGCAGTTAGGATATGAACTTCAACTTACCTACCTAGGTAGCCTTATAATACAGAGGCCCGAGCGGGTTACTTTCTCTTTCATTAAGTAGGGAGTTGGTCCTGGGCTGATAATCCAGGGCTGGAAACCTGGATTATCCTAGTAGACAGAGCACAGGGCATCTGAAAATACCAGTGTATCTCCTGATCTAGGTTCATGGTGATGGTTACCAGCATGGGCTTAGGCAATGACATAGAGGAATAGGAAAAGGAGTTCCTTATATTGACCCTAGAATTTGCCGGGTAACGTTGGGCAATACTTGAAATAAAATTCGTACCTAGTACGATTGATAAGACATATACACGCGTTATAGCTCTTAGATATATTATTTCTTGTCCACAGCGACATTGTCCGTAACATCTCCAAAAACCTCTAAGGCGTGGCCGAAATACTCCACCTGGCCTTTCAGGCGAAGAGTCATATCCTGGCCCAAGGGGAGGAGTCGTTCAGCTTCGCGGCCCTTTCCGGCGCCTTCACCAACAATGACTTCGTAGAGAGCCTTCATTGCCTTATCTTTATCGCCGTTTGGCTGCAGTTTACCACTGGACACTATAATGATAAAGTTAGTATTGTAATCAATCTTTATATAATAGTGGGGAGGAGGGAAGGGTTCAAGGCGTCTCTAGGCTACACGTAGTCGCTAATTGATTCCATTAGGAAGCTTTAGGACCCAAGACGGACTCAAGGGATCTTCAAGTGTTACATACTGATCTGAATCATCTGCTCTGCCACCGAGCCCTTATAGTCGTCTGGAAGAGGATTCTTGCCGACGATAGTAGCGTTGGCAAAATTGGTATTGAAAGTCCCAAGGGTAACGGTTAGAGTACGAATTCCAAACGGGGCAACCTCCTTTGCAAGGACTTTGGATATTCCTAGGCCGCTACCATTAGCGCATATTGGGGGTGAGGGTATTCAGAATTTCAGCTTAGTACGCCCTACCGTCAAGCGCAGCCTTGGCTCCAGCATAGAGACCCATGCTATCTCTTCCATCCAGAGCCGCACCGCTGCTGATATTCACGATGACGCCGTACCTGCGCATGCGCATGTGAGGTAGAACAGCGCGAGTGAGTCTGACAGGGCCGAAGTACAACGTTTCCATCAGAGCTCGTACTTCCTCTTCGGCGGCCGTTTCTACGGGAGCAAAGATACAGTACCCGGCGTTATTCACCAGAACATCGATTTCAGTTCCAGAAGCCTCCAGAGATTCACTACAATGTAAAATCAACAATCACCCCTTAAAAGAATCGCCAAGGATGCTATGGCCTTGCCTAAGGAGATGGCTTAGGGGTAAAAAGGAGGAAAGATTGGAACAGTCATAGGGGTCACTTACATGATCTGGCCACTGTTTCGGTCATCAACGTCAAGTTGAATAAACTGGCTATCGTTACCACGAGCGTTGATCTCAGCTGCAAGCTCGGGGTTACGAGAAGGGTTGCGGGACGTCGCTATCAGCTTGTGGCCACCAGCTAGGACTAGACGACAGAGAGATTCGCCGAAGCCTGATGTAGCTCCAGTAATGAGCCAGGTTAGAGGACGGTTTGGCTTGGTGAAAGTAGACATTGTAACTGTTTTATAATGAAGTATACCAACTGCGATTATTAGTGCTTTGCTTCTAAGATCAATATAGTCCTAGGGAAAGATCAAACCTTGATAGGGGGCGTCAGGATGGTTATATATGGGGATAACTAAAGGGCCATATTGGTATTAGATCCGAGTAACAGCGATATGGCCGTTAATGGAGCTGAAAATATCGGTTCTTCGCGTCTTCGCTGCCCGGTAAATAGCGACCTACGAAGGACATAAGAGTTTGCCATGCTGCCGTTCGTTTCGTATACAGACACATTTCGTTGGACTTAAGTTTAAATCCGGAATGGTGAAGCGGGTTAAGGTCAAAACAATACGGCCCCATATTTTGTCTGGCATCAAGTAATTACTTATCCCGCCTTATCTAAATATGACCAAAGCCATGTAAGGGTCTAACAATTTTATATTGGTGAAAAATACGGTACGATACGATACGATACCACACTCGTTGTTACAATCATTAAGCTTGCATATAACATATCATATAGTCCCTTCTTAAAGAGGTGTATTATATAAACTTGCCTGGTTATATAATTTGATGATAGTTACGTGTATATATGATTCTAGCCTATTATTAGGGATAACTGTAGGGCGGCTAACTGGTCCTATAAAGCTGTTTACTATAAATCTGTCATTACGGTTGTTTAGTACCCTGTACGAACCGTAACGCCCACGGCTTATACCTAACATAGAAAGGGTCGACTATAGGCGTAATTCGATGAAGAGTATCACGAATATCTCATAGTTTTAGGGCGATGCTTAGGAAAGGAGACCGCCCTTGGAACATATAGAAGAATGGGTAGGAGCCGGTAAACTCAATGCTAACACATATCATAGTAGTGCGCGATCAGTTATCATTACCCCTGAGTCGTGTAAGTAGAGAGGATTTTAGACCACTTTACGTCTAAGGTGTCTTATAGAATCCGCGTGTGCCGCCTTCATCTCTATTCAGTGTAGCTATCAGCGTTTGTTGGTCATTCGATAATCCGATATGATTGTCGTGACCCGGTAGGAACAGGCGTTGTTGAGTCACTTGATTTGTTGACCCTAGGTCATTAGTAGAAGAAACCCCTTATTTTAAATGACTTACTTTGACTTGATTGCCTATTAACAGAATAAACCAATACTGGTGTTGCATCACCATCGTCTACAGGAGATGGTGCGTCGATATATTGTGTCGAGGAAACCCTATTGTTGAGAGTTGTCGATGAGTTACGCTCTTCCTCAGATGAATCCCTATCATCTCTTGATTCCAGTTCAGTTGCCATAATCTCTTAAGAAAGAGGTACATGTGTAAATCGTCAAGGCTAACTTCTACCAGGTTTAAAGCGACTGGCGAGTATTATGAAATGATGAAATTGTGTCATATTTGTTCAGTTCCCCTACATACGGCTCTAATAAAGAGACTGCCGTTATACAGATCCCAACGCTATAAATCCGTGATTTCTATATTTACGAAATATTTGGGGGCGAGGTCGAACATTAGGTAGTTATTAAGGCGAGGCATTATTTGAGTTGTCGTCCTAATGCTATGGAGCGTACGATAGAGGCATTGTTACCCCCTGAAACGAACTTTCAAACAGGCTGATTAGAAGTAAACCAAGAAACATTTCAATAGAATTCTCATTTAATTATCTACTTATGCTATGTATCATAGCAGACGTCACAGACTCATAGACCCACCCTCTACTCTCTAGATGATAAAATAATAAAAAGATCTATCCCACCAACCATATCTATTAGTCACGCGAGTAGACCTTCTTCCCCCCTACCCAGGTCTCCCGCACCCTCAGCTCGCGCAGATCTTCTATATCAAGGTTCTCTAGCGGCGCGTCCAGAACGATCCAATCCGCGTAGGCTCCCGGCTTGATAACTCCGGTCTTGCCCTTCGTAAACCCACCGTACGCGGGGCCCTCGGTAAAGCCCCAGACCGCCTGGTCCAAATCGAGAGCCTCCTCCGTGTGCCACCCGTCAGGCGAGTCATCCGTGCCTCGGCCGGTATGCGGACTTCGTCTCGTGACGGCCGCGTAGATGCCTTGGAACGGGTTAGGCGGTTCGACGGGGAAGTCACTTCCTAACACGGGTTTGGCGTCTAGGAGCGAGCGCATCCTATATGCTTCCTTCGCGGTGCGTTCCTTGCCTAGTCTCTTCTCCGCATATGCCATATCGCTTGTAGCGTGGGTAGGCTGGATAGAAGGGATAATTCCGATTGCGTGTATTCGAGCCTGGTCGTCCGGGTGGATAATTTGAGAATGCTCGATGCGGAAGCGATGGTAGGACTGGCAGCGTGAGAGAGGCTCGTTGGGACATAGCAGCCTGAGGGCGGCAACCATGGCGTCGATTGCATACCGGTTTGCCAGGTCGCCAATTGCATGTATATTGACTTGAAAGCCTTCGTTGGCCCATGCAATCGTGTCGTATACCAATTCCGAAGCATTAACAAGAAGAGAGCCCGACGTCTCTGGACGATCGGTATAGGGGTCGATTAAAGCGCTACCCCAGCTTCCTAGAGCACCATCTATTTGAATGTTAGACCCAATTGATAGGTACGAGGAATCTCTGTAAAGCTTACCAGCAAAAAGCTTTACACTCTGTATACTTAAAAAGCCATCTGGACTTGTGTATCGTTCCACTTCGTTTGGACAAAACGTATTCCGTTCGTAGCACTCTATCATGGCGTATACTCGTACCGTCCAGTCAGGACCAGCTGCTAGCTCTTTGAAGAGGTTTAGGTTGCCGGGCGTGACACCAGCATCATGTATACCCACGAGTCCTACTTCATTTAATTTCCCCATGGCACTCTTTACGAATTGCTGCTTCTTCTTATCGTCCGGCTTCGGCCATAACGCCATGACCATATCCATCGCATTATCACAGAACACGCCCATCCCAGGATCTCTAATGATTTCACCGCCAGGAACATCGGGGATAGACTCCGGGAGCAAGTCCAACACTGCCTGAGAAACCCAGATACAATGTACATCTACTCTATCTAGCATGATGTATAAGTCCTTTAGTTCTTTATCCGCCGCTAGATCACTCTCCGAGAACGTCAGTATTTTAACGAAGAACGGTATACCCTCAGGAAACTTACAGCAGTCGGCATCTGCCCAAGAGCCATCTGATCCCATCCAACGCCTCTGAGCCACTCCTCCTTCGACCCAGCCCCGGGGGTTTGGCCAAGATATTTTCGTATACGAGACCGAACATCATCCATAGCAGTAGATCCGAAAAGATCTACCGAGTTCAAAAACTCACCATACTGTAGAAGATGTCCATGTCCGTCCCACAGTCCTGGCACTATAGCAATGTGAGTAAGCTACTATTTCCCATAAGATATATTCGACTAGATGTTACGTACTAGCAAACCCCGAACTTGCATTCCGAGCAAGCTCCGTACCAGTTCCGGCCTTAAAGACCTTAGAAAATTTCCCTGTCGGCGATACTGAGAAGCAATTCGCAGAGGGCTCTACAGCTGAATTTATGCGCACAGATTGATAGCAGTAGGTTTCCGTGTAAGCGTAGTCTACCACGCCCTGACGAATCTTGATAAGCCCTGCTACTGCAACAATTACGGCCGACGAGTATATCCAGATCGTATCACGGCCGAGGCGCGGGAGACGGAACCAATCCATGGCTATTTGTTTATGATGTTTATGTAGTTTAGTAGATCAGATATGTCACTGTCTTATTTGGGAGACGGGCGTTTTGGCTACATAAACTGGATACGTTAGCAAGGTCATCTATGTCTAGCTACTCACAACACCCCATACGCATCGTCACTAGTATGTCTAAGCAACCCGAATCATTTTGATCACAATGAGTCCGATAGGTATTGTGCGATTAGATACCGAAATATCTTCAACCCCCATTGAGTATCTTCCCGGATAGATGCATATTGAATAGGGTTAGGATTATGTAACGTTTTATCAGAGTATTTACTTACCTGCAGACCTTGTCAAATGTCAATTAGGTAAGGTTGTACGGGAAGCGGGGGGCGGGGTAAAAGGGAAAAAAACGTCCCTGCAGAATAGGTGTCGAATTTACATACACTGCGTAGGTAGATGCCGGGGGTCCCTACCAGTAAGCTTGCGGCCAAGATGGAAGGTGCTATACCATGGTAACTCTACGTATTAGCTTTGGTGCCCCCCCTTTCTTGGGGATGGCATAAACATAAAAGGATGACGTTCGAATACGGCGGGGTGCTAAGGACCCAGACCTTCGGACTTAATGCTCCTATAACTTGGTCTTACTCTTGCTTAGTCGCCTACCTAGTTATATTAAGAACGACTAATGAATTTGCTAATACCACTTGCCTTGCCTCAGTCCAACTTATCACAATTTACTACAAACTAAGCCATATAATCGTAACCCAATTGCAATCACAGGTACAGTCGTACCCATGGCCGACGCAGCCGCTCTCCTCAAGCTCTCCAAGACCGATGTCTCGCAGGAAATTACCAAGGAGCAGTACATCCCGGTTCTCACGAATCCGCCCTTCGTGTTCGTTGACGGCACCTTCAACACGCGGGACATCGGGTTAGTTCCCGGCAGTCCCATCCGCTCTAACTTCGCCTTCCGGTCCGGTGCTCTCACGCGGCTGACCGACAACGGCCGTGCTGTGCTTGAAGGTAAGCTGGGCGTCAAGCGCGTGTTCGACTTGCGGTCTCCTGAGGAGCGCGCGGGCGCCCCGGACCCCGCGCTCCAGGGTGTTGAGAACACCTGGATCGAGAGCACACGGCCCGACTCGACGCCCGAGCTGGACCACTTTGTTGCGGGCGAGGGAGAGGATGGCTACCGTGAGATGTACCTCGAGGTCATAGATGTGTATCAGGAGAGTTGGAAGGCAATTCTGGAACATGTTAGGGATCGACCAAGCGATCCGTTCCTAGTCCACTGCACCGGTTCGTATATTACCATGTCCCCACCGACCATTGAACGACAACATTTCTATAGTTGAGGGAGATCATGTATATGAAATCCACACTGACACATATCTCCTAGCCGGGCGCGACCGAACTGGAGTACTCTCCGGGGTTCTGCTAGCCCTTGCCGGCGCGTCGCAAGAAACCATAATCCTAGACTACATGCTATCGCGCATAGGGACTGAGCCAGTTCGGTTAATGCTTTTGGAGTTCGCGGTAGCCGGTTCGCATGCAAAGAGCAAGGAACAGCCGGGCTTCCACAATCTGATCAACCTACGGGCATCGAGCTGGAACGCGTTCGTCGACGGCGTGCAGAAGGAGTACGGCGGCTTCGAGAAATTCGTTATGGATAAGCTAGGATTTTCAAAAGATGATTTAGCGAAGATCAAAGCGAATTTAACAAGATCTTAAGGATATCCGTAGTGTAGGATATCTAGGTATTTTGCAGGATGAGAGTCGAATCTATTAAAGTCAGATCGAGTGATACCATCAATGCCAAGTATTTATTTATGAACGAAGACTTAGTATTAGTTATTCGATCCACGAGGAATACTTATTAGTGGAATAAAACCCGCGACTAGTCGCTAGTCCGCACTATTCGTTCAACAGGTAGCCTTAAAATACCTAGGTACCATTTTATTATCGGTTGATTATGTACCTAGGTTAGGTACATTTTTATGCCGTAAAAGTTCCCGATGCCTCGAAGAAATGTAGGTAATCGTGTATGTAATGCTCACTGAAGAGCACCAACTTTCTACCAATGACATTAAACTCAAGCGAGGAAATCGATGTTTAATAAATTGTCAAGTGGATGGGCTCGCCGCTAGGATAAATCTAGATGATAAGTGAATAATAACTAAAAGTCGGTCTGATTAAATACCTCTCTACTTTATACTTCCATTAACTACCGGAGATGTAAAAACTCAAATGGCTCTTATTAGAAGCTGTCTTGGTGGTGCATCTCGTAGTCTGCCTTTAATTCCGCTACTGTAGTTAGCTTGTCACTTTCCCATTTAGGTACGACTACTCATCTATAAGATGGCGAGCCGTGATATAGAGCTTGAGTCTATTTCTCATCCTATTTCTAGGGCTGGGATTTCTATAACCCCAGATGAGAGCGGAACTCAGCAAGCCGATTCACAGCCCGAGGATGGCAGACAAGAATTCTCGCTGCCACCCGTCGATGGGGGAAAGGATGCTTGGCTTTTCTTAGCAGCATGCTTCGCGATCGAAGCTTTAGTTTGGGGTATGTTCCAATAATACGAGAAAGCAACAAATTGCTAACCAGTCCCAAGGCTTCCCCTTTGCCTTCGGAGTGTTCCAGGATTATTATAGCACCCACGAGCCTTTTGCGGGCTCGCCGAATGTTGCTGTCATTGGTACTTGTGCAATGGGTATCATGTACCTCACTGCCCTTCTCATGATGGGACTCTGCCGTATCTTCGCTCGCTGGGCCCGATAAACGTCTATAGTTAGGTTATTCATTATGTGCCTTGCACTTGCGATGAGCTCATTTTCGTCGAAGATCTCACATCTCATCGCCACTCAAGGTATCCTTTATGCTATTGATGGTGGCATCGCCTACTGTCCTTGTATCTTGGTAAGTATACACCTATAAATATATAAAAAGCCTTGATGATAAAGTGTCGCTAACTGAGATATCTCGTTAGTATATAGATGAGTGGTTTGTACAACGCAAAGGTCTCGCCTACGGTATCATGTGGAGTGGTACGGGCCTCGCAGGAGTAGTACTCCCTCTCCTCATGGAATTCCTCCTTCGCACTGTCGGGTTCAGAACAACGTTGCGGATCTGGTCTGGCGTACTTTTCGCCTTGACGATTCCGTTATCGTTCTACATCAAGCCACGACTCCCATATTCAGCTACCAGCCATGTTAAGCCCTTCAACTTAAACATGTTCTTGATGCCGACTTTTTGGTTATACCAATTGGCCAATGTGATAGAAGCGATGGGACTCTTCTTGCCGGGCATCTATCTTCCTAATTACGCCCATAGTGCTCTCGGCGCTGCGTCACATGGTTCAGCTACTACGATCCTTTTAGTAAATGTGGCTTCCGTCTTTGGCTGTGTTGTCATGGGCTTTTTCATCGATCGATTACACGTTACCACATGCATATTGGTATCAACACTTGGTGCAACTATCGGCGCCTTAGTTATATGGGGTTTGTCGTCATCTCTCCCTCTTTTATACTTTTTCTGTGTTGTCTACGGCTTGTTCGCAGGCTCTTATACGTCTACTTGGCCGGGGGTTATGATGGATATTGTTCGAAAAGGAGAAGCATTAGGTCAAGGCCATATTGACCCAAGCATGGTATTTGGCTGGCTTGCTGCAGGCCGAGGTATTGGTAACGTGATTTCGGGACCTCTGAGCGAGAATCTAATACAAAGTCTGCCGTGGAAAGGAAATGCAGCACCATTTGGCTATAGTAGTGGTTATGGTAGCTTGATAGTGTTTACTGGTGTAACGGCTCTGCTAGGCGGTGCGAGCTTTGTCTGGAGGCGACTGGGCATGTTGTGAAGTACATAGTATATTACCTGCCTAGGTACATACATACATGCATACGTGTAATGTAGGCACGATATCTTACCGAATACCTAGCATGTATAGAGAAAACTTTAATTGAAGTTTGATTGGAATATGTGGCGTCTGGCGCCTGACTTCTTTTGTGTAATGGTGTGTCATATTATCCTTATTATTGTTGTATTATGAGGTATCTAGGAGGAATACATATCTAATATCTGTAAGATATGTATACTTATGTGTACACTAAGTGGGTCCAATGACCTTAGGTCATGTGACATTTTGCGTGCACATCATTGTGCAGGTTAGCGTCTTGTCATATAGAAAAGAACCAATAAAGCAACAATTGTATAAAGTTTGTTAATAGGGACCAAAGCCACTGTTGCCAGCGAAGCCTAGCGTCCGGCTTAGTGTTGCATTTGGTGTTACACGTACATTCGATAAGAGGTGTTTTCAAATTATGCATATTTGATTGGCCAATTGCGAGGCGGGGAGTCGGTAAATGTCGGTGTTGGATGCCGTCTGAAATAGTAATCTGTAGGAGACGCTTTCTGCTGTTGACAAGCCTCGGTGGGTTTCTTTACACTGTGAGAGTACCTCTCTGCTGCATCAGTTACTTTCTCCTTTGCCCACTTAAACCATCAACCTTCGACGATTGAATGTAAATATAATTACTCTTACACAAGGAGTATAACATGTATAACGAATAGAAATTTTAGATAAGTTCTGATATCGTCAATTACTAGGTTAGGTACCTTTAGGAAGCTATACTAGATGACAAGTACTTACAAGGTACGTGCGAACTACACTGTATCAGGTATTTAAAAATAGGTACCTTCCGAGGCACCCCACTAGGTTAGAATCTACATAGACGACCAGGTCCGAAGGGGCAAAAATTCATTCGCAGCGAATTTCGCAACTGCATCCAGAGCGGCCGTGAACTCCGTCGCAAACTTACTGTTTCCCGAATTACTTTTCTTAAGTACCCTTCTTCCACTTAGCCATCTTGGCCACAACTTAGTCTGTTATTCTTCCTCTTTTCCCAAACGGCATTTTCTACATCGTCGGCCTTCGCAGCTGGACTTCGACTCGGACAGACTTCATTCTCTTATTACCTAGTCCAGCCAATCCTCTCTACTTCTGTCATACCTCCGAGTCGCATTACTCTCCTACACTTCATAAGTCAAGCTAGTCGGTCGACGATATTGCCAATTCTTTCATCCTTCATTGGGATTACGTAGTTCTGGCAAAATGTCCTTCTCCAATCTCGTTCATGATCTCGCCATTCGCGATGGAATAACGCCACGTCAACCTCGGGCCACCGCTTCAGCCTCTACTATCGACGACCGAGCTTCCCATATCTCGAGGGCTATGTCCTACACGAGTACGGCAGCCACCAGCGTGAGCATTGCCGGCGATATTTCTAGTCAACTTCATGGCGGTTACCACCATCCTCTTGCTAGATCATGGCAAGCTGAACGACAATTGACTAAGGTTAGCCAACATATTCCAGCGAGATGAGAGCTTCAAGGACTAACAGCAGGATATAGTCAATGTTGATCTACCCTCTCTTCATTTCAGACATCGAGGACGACGAAACTCTTATCCCTTCTTTACCGGGCCAATGCCGCCGCGGTGTCAACAAATTAATCCCATTTCTAGAACCATTGGTACGAAAAGGTCTCCGGTCGGTCATCCTTTTCGGGGTCCCACTCAAACCTGGTTCCAAAGATGCATTGGCGACTGCTGCCGACGATCCAAAGGGCCCGGTCATCCAGGGTATCCGATTGTTACGACAACGATTTCCTCACCTATTTATCGTTGTTGATGTCTGCCTCTGCGAGTACACCTCCCATGGTCATTGTGGAATCCTGAGAGACGACGCCACCTTGAACAATCAATTGTCGGTGGATCGAATTTCCGACGTTGCCATTGCCTACGCCCAAGCCGGTGCCCACTGCGTAGCACCATCCGATATGAATGATGGCCGTATTCGGGCTATTAAACTTAAGCTCATCGAGGAGGGAATTGCGCATAAGACTCTATTAATGTCATACGCCGCCAAATTCTCCGGTTGTCTCTACGGTCCCTTCAGGGATGCCGCTGGTTCGGCACCTTCATTTGGCGACCGAAGATGTTACCAGCTGCCACCTGGAGGGCGTGGGCTTGCCCGACGAGCCATAGTCAGAGACATTGGCGAGGGAGCCGACATTATCATGGTGAAGCCGGCCGCCCAGTACCTTGACATTATTAGTGACGCGAAGGAGCTAGGCAGGGATCTTCCTATCGCTGCCTACCACGTTAGTGGAGAGTTCGCGATGGTGCACGCCGCTGCGAAGGCCGGAGTATTCGATCTTAAGACGATGGCGTTCGAAGTCACCGAGGGGATACTCCGAGCTGGCGCTACGATCATCATCAGCTACTTCACTCCTGAATTCCTCGACTGGTTAGATAATTAAGCCACTTCCTAATAGACGAGTGGACGAGAGGACCATCACGTGTTTATTGCTGGAGTTAAATGGCGTTTACAGAAGCATAGGTTATGCATATCATGAGAGCGAGAACGACATGACGTATATAGATTTGCCTGCGCTGTTTTCGAAGGTAGACAATACCAAAATTCAGTCAAATGTGTATGAATACACTTTTGTTATAGAAATGGCAGTCAACCACTCTGTGAAAAGGGTTTTTTTTTTCTTTTGTTATGATTCTACATTGCATAACCAATCCATTCATCGAAGCAAGCCAACCTATAATTTTATTATATCCTTCCAAGTAAACTCCTAATAACGTCCAGCTACATACATGGCATTCATCCAGACATCCAGGCGCCCTACTCGTTTTCATTAACAGCCATGCACATGCCATATCTCAAGTAATAAATAATAAATGTAATTTAATCAATGTTGATAGTCCCGATCTCCATCCACAAATCTGTATTATCAAACTCACATCATATACCCTTACCTTGTTGTAATCGCTAACAACTTGGCATTGGGGCAAACGAAATTGCAGACTTGGCCCTATTCTGGACTTTCGGTGTAATACCGCCGTGCCGGAAATGGGAAATGCCATCGCTAGCGTGAATCATACCTTAATAAGTGCCTGATAATCGAACTGTTTATATTTTATAAGCTCTAGAAGTCATTTTTATAGGTGTCGGCATCAGCAGCGTTATGGACGATATCGCGTCCCTGGGCACAAACCGGTCAATCGTAACATTTATTTCTCTTCGATACTACCTACAGAAGCATCACGAATTTCTCCAACAAATATATAGAGTAGAACTCGTAATCTCTTCTAAAACCAAGCTTCTTGTCCCGCGTAGCTCTTCTTGGCAGCCCTAGATAAGGAAGGTAATGCAATGCCCAATGCTACGCCTTGGCGAAACTGAGGCCATATCGCGTGGGGCGTGTCATACCATGGTGCTGGAAACACTCGAGCCGCTACATACACTACTGTTCTTATCGTTAGCGGACCACGATCCAGAGTTGGCAACGCGGGTACGGATACGATCTTGGGTTGCATAGTTCAGGTACATAGCCAGGAATAGAAATTGTTATCCGTCCCTCTTATATATAGGTGCCTATGCTTCCCTTTACCGTTCCGTACTGCTGGTGGTACGCCTACTTGCTTGCGTCACGCTCATACCTATCGTTCGCTCAGGTATAGTGTCATTTATTGCTCCCTTGATAATACTTACACTCGTTAAGGAGCCATGAAGGTCCCAAGCTCTGGCGTAGTCTTCACGGCAGTGAACCTGCTCGCCTCCACCAGTAGCGCAGAACCCATCAGAAGGGCGAAACGTGGGCTCCCGTTGGTCCAGGATGTAAGAAAATATAGACGCTACCGATATCAACCAAATCGATACAATGCTAATAGTCAAATAGAAAGCTCTGGTGGACTCTATTCTCATAGACGACCTGCTGGGTTGCGCGCAGGACTTGGAAGATATAGCCTATTCAACTTCGAGACGAAACCGAGTATGTCATGCACTCTTCTGTGAGAAAGAGAATATTCTACTAATAAATTCGGCCAATCAGGTCCACGGCACTGAAGGTCATCTAAACAGCGTCAACTACTTCGTCGAGCAGCTCAATTCGTTGGGCGACTATTACAACGTCGAGCTACAGGAGTTCACAACAGAGGTGACTCTCCAGTCCAGTGCGTCCCTGTCAGTCAATGGCGAGACGCTCGAAGCTGGGGAATTCTCATTCGGCAATAACGGGACTTGGACGGATACGCCATTGGTTTCCGTAGCCAATCTTGGCTGCAATGCCGTAAGTTTCTATATAGCCTTTGTTTGAGAATACCGATCTCTAATTATATACTCAGGAAGACCATCCAGACTCCTTAAACGGAGTCGTCGCTCTAATCGCTCGAGGCGACTGTACCTTTGTTCAAAAGATCACCCTCGCCGGGGAGAAAGGTGCTATCGGTGCTATCATTTACAACAACGCGGACGTTGGTGTCGCGGGCGGGACACTTGGTGGCCTGAATGATCTAGTAAGGATTTACATACAACCCAAATCATACTTACAAGACCATAGCAAAACTAAACTCAGAAACACAGATCCCAGTCGGTGGTATCTCGCGAGCAGACGGTCTACGCCTCGTCGAACAGCTCGAGAGCAACGTCGAATTGACTTCCTCAGGCGAATTCTGGCAGTACATTGCCAACACGACGAGCTACAACGTAGTCGCTAGCTCCAAGCACGGCGACGCCGATAACGTGTTGTTCCTAGGCGCGCACAGCGACTCTGTTGAGGCTGGCCCGGGCATCAACGACAACGGCAGCGGCTCATGCGGGCTGCTAACTGTCGCTAAGCAGCTCGCACGCTGGCGCACCAATAACCAGGTGCGTTTCGCATGGTGGACGGCTGAGGAGGAGGGTCTGCTGGGGTCGGAGCACTATGTCAATGTCACCGCGGCCTCGGAGCTCGACAAGGTTCGGCTATACCTTAACTTCGATATGATTGCCTCGCCAAACTACGTGCTCGGCATCTACGATGGCGATGGCAGCTCCTTCAACCTGTCTGGTCCTGCTGGGTCTGCCCAGGCCGAGAAGCTATTTGAGGACTGGTACAAGTCGGAAGGCCTGCCCTTCGTAGGATCTGAATTCAACGGACGGAGCGACTACGGGCCTTTCCTAGACAAGGGTGTGCCGTGCGGAGGCTTGGATACCGGTGCGGATGGTATTAAGACCGACGAGGAGGTCGTGATGTTCGGCGGTACGGCGGGTATCTTGTACGACCCGAATTACCACACGGCCAAAGATAACGTGACAAACCTCAGCCTCGAAGCCTTCCAGGCGACGGGCCGGGGCATTGCCCATGCGGTCGCGACGTATGGCACTAGCTGGGAAGGCTTCCCGACACGCAATGTCACGTCGTTGACCAGGAGGTCGTCAGGCTACCCGAGGAAGTTTGCGAAGTCCAAGGGTGGAAAACGAGCCTATTAAGAGGTTATAACAGGACTATAGAGGGGCCATCTTTTGGTAGAAGCTATTCCAACTTTAAATATAATGGCTTACCTATTGACAATTATCAAGGACACTATTCTAGGACAATGACCCTAACTGATATTTGACTATAAAAAAACTCATGAAAAGTATACGGTGAAACTTAATATCAAACGTGCTGGAACAATATGCCATCAATATAGGTGTTTGTTAATATATCGTATGAATTTACAACTCGGAAATTCGCCCTAAGAGTGAGGTTACAACCAAGAGGTTTTATCATACAGCCGCTGAAAGTTTCCGGAGTCTGTTGTTACCAAATATATACTGTCTTTCCTGTTTTATTTTCAGACGTGTAGTATTTGATCTTGGATATTGATATTGGACGGGGAACAAACAAAGCCTTTGATGTCCCCATCAGCCATAGAGTATAAGATGATGTGCTATTCAATCATCTCGGAGAGCTAAAATAACCTTCCAGCAACAAGGACCTTATTTGCCCTTTCTCTTTCAAATATTGCCTCTCTAATACTACCTAAAATATTTCTTGTGATATCATGGAGTTCATTGATTGGATCCGTGAAGCCTTGATCTCACTTGGCTTTCTCGACAAGAAAGCAAAGCTGCTTCTTCTTGGACTCGACAACTCTGGTAAGTCAACATTGCTGTATAGACTTATAGCCGATCGTCTTGCGGCTCTAGAGCCCACTCGACATCCAACTTCAGAGGAGTTCAGAATCGACAATGCTGTGTGTACCGCGTTCGACCTTGGGGGTCACCAGCAAGCCAGACGACTTTGGAGGGATTACTTCCCAGAAGTTACCGGAATTATATTTGTCGTCGACGCCACGGATCCTGGGCGCTTCGCGGAAGCTAAAGCCGAGCTATGGGCCCTCCTTGCCAAAGAGGAGTTAGCCAATGTTACTTTTCTAGTGCTAGGAAATAAGATCGACCACCCCAACGCTGTATCAGATGTCGAACTTCGTTTTCAGCTAGGTCTTGACAACATCCTACGTAACAACGTCGGGTTTTTTATGTGTTCCGTAGCTGAGAAGCAGGGATACGGAGAAGGTCTGCGCTGGCTCGCCCAATCCATTTAAAAGCATGGCGTTATCTTAAATAGCCTCAAACTAAAGATTCGATTTGATATAACTTAGGTACCTTTCTAACTATAATTCTTTTTAATTAATAATAAATATTTTTACTTTAATTTTACAACTTGGCACCGTTATAAGTATAATGTCATGGGCCATGCGTTACGGCTAAAGCGGAGAGATAAGACTATTCTACTACGCAAAAGAGTTGCCTCAAGAAAGGGGCCTTAAAGTTCTTTGATCAATGCCGCCGGAACAGGAACAGTAAAACGAGTATACAAGTGATACGTACATGAGGTATATAAACCAATGCCATTTTTTTTTCTTTTCATATAACTAGGTAACCAACACCTCAAATCCTATATCTCAATCGTTAGCAAAATCATATTATAAACATGGCAAATGTCGGACTGGGTAGCGCGGTACAAAACAAGGCCACATCACTTAAAAATGCCTTTGCAAAGGACCGACGATTTCAAACCATAGGGCTTATTGCTAATGGATCATATGGGTTTACGATGCGAGTTCAAATCAAGGACCCGACACTCCCGGGTTTAGAAAACATTGTAGTTAAACACATCAACGGAGCTAGGGGTTCGAGGACCAATTTAGCAGCCGAGAGAAAACACCTTGAGGTTTGCACTTTCAAGAATTAAATTTCAAGTGATATTAAAACTAATATCATAAAATAAACTAGGCACTGCAAGATAATTTGCATATAGTACGGCTTATTAATATACCAGACAATCCTTTAAGCGGCAGAGTGGATCGAAGAGATTGGATCATATTGGAATGGCTGGAGTATGGGGAGCTTCGTTCGTTTATTACGAAGTCAAGAATAATGATAGGAAGAGGAGTAAGGTTGCCGAATCGTCTCCTTTGGAGGTTTTTCACATGCTGTGAGTCATTTGATATAGTATTATAATATTAGGCTAATCAAACGCGTAGTGGTGAGGTGCTGTATAGCTATGGCCGTAAGTGACATCTATGATATCGAACCTACTTCCCTTACGTAGGTAAGTATCTACCATTCGGTGCTGATCCTTAGGTTTAAGTGGCCCGATTCTGGCGAAGAAGTACAAAGAGACGTAGAATTATCAGGAATAGTACATGGTGACCTCCATCAAGGCAACAGTATATTGATTACCCAGGCTAGATACGGTGGTAAACTCGCTAACATGAGTATAGTACTTCTTGGAGAGCCTCCTCAAGATGATGAGCATGGATTTACACCAATACTAAAACTTATCGACTTTGGCGGCACAGAACAATATCCCCCATCTGAAGATGCAGACAATCAAAATGTCTATGACATTGGGCAAGTACGTATTTGCACTAAATATGCCAGTTCTTAAGTAGTTATAGACTAACGGCTTGACAGATAATGCTTGGCGTCATTAACCTGAACCGTGGGCGCGACTCGACGGCTGACGAGCCTTTTTATACGTGGAATGGCAGAAGATATAGAACCGAAGCCACCGCCCTCATCCCAACCCCGACGGGCGTTGATCATGCGCTGTGCACCGCAGTCTGCGCTTGTATGTCAGAAAATGCTAGTGCCCGCCCTTCTTTGAACGCTTTACTTCGGGTTGGATTAAGAGGCTTGAAACAAACGCCAGAAGTTTACGGCGACGCTCCAGAAGAACAAGACGATTTCATTTTATTAACATGGAGGGCCATTATAAATGACGCTCCAACTGATGATGATGGCGATCTGACTGATGATTGGTCAACCTCAGCTCCTTCGACAGGAGCTCCTTCAGTAGGAGGTACACCAGTACGTCCTGCAGACACGCCCTCTTCAAGACGCCCTTCAACAGTACGTCCTGCAGACGCGCCTCCTTCAAGACGCCCTTCAATACCAAGTCCTTCAGTAAGACATCCTATGGTAAGGCCGCCCACAGAACCCCCCGAGTCTTCAGTAGGAAGCCCCCCATCAAGACGCCCTTCAACAAGACTTCCTGGGACCTCCGAAAGAGAACTTCCTCTCAATAGAAGACTATTCCCTTCATCAAAAGCTTCTTCAACGGGACGTCCTAAACGTAGACCATCAGAGGATTCTACAGGGACACGATGGGAATAAAGGATCAAAGGAATGAAAAGTCATTTTTATGAATAAAATACGTAATATCATCAATATGACCATCATCATCCAGTTGACCAACCTAAAACTATGCCTTCGACTTCCACCTCTTCTCACCCTCATGACAAGGCCAAAGGGAACCCAAATAACACCGCCGCCGCCGCTGCAATGGAGTACGATAAAAGGTCAAATTACTCCCTTAGGTAGTACAAGGTTTAACAGAGATTTGAATACACACAATTATGCACTGCCTGTCGAGGAGAAACATCCTCTCATAAAACTTTATGACAAACAGACCACTTCCAACTTCCACGGGCTTCTCTAGGGCCTTCGGTGAAAGCTTAGCTATACAGTTAATTTAGTCTTTTCTCCTATTATATAAGCTAGTATATGTATTTAGTTAAAGGGACATGTGAAGATATGCGACGAAGCAACTCGTTGGGTCATTGACAAAAGGGTATTTACGTAATCACTGTTAATATCTCATCTTCTAATGTTGTTTATATCTTCGTCGATGATACCTTAGAGAGGGGCTACCGGGGTTAAAGGGTTAGGTCGGCATATAGAAGTGAGCACTAGTGGCCCATTTCTCACGGTAGCATTATATTTAATATAATTTATATTCTACCTCAATACTTGGTCTCCGTGCTATGACAGGGGGGGCGGATTATGACTTTAATATGTGTTTAATAGGACTAAAATGTCTATCAACATAATAACTACTTACTCTTAAATCCATGTATCGAACAAGTAGCATGTGGCTGAAGAGTTGGTAAGAGAGGTGGCAAGGATAGTGGCAGGTATACCTATATATAAAATTTAAAAAAATCTAGCTAGCGAGGGTGACAACGCGGGCTATTATGACAATGTCTCATCTTCGTTTGCTGTTCTCAAGGTAAGTGGCAGCACTGTACAATACTTGACTACATACAAGGCATGTATTCTAAAGGGTATACATATGCATGAAATAAGCATTCAGCCGCAAGCCACCCCAAGACGGGATTGGGAACAGATAAATGACTTGTATACATCCAATAGCCAATAAAGGCACCGCTACATCTATTACGCGCATAGACAGGCAGTGGAGCCCCCAAATTTTCATAAGTGACTCAAGTCCACTTACTAGTCCTCAAGTTTGGGTTCCAAATGGCCCCTAAGCCAAAAACAAGGACAAGGCAGCATTCCGCGGGGAGAAGTACATGTTAGTGACGAACTTCTTTTTAAAGAAACATTGCTATACCTCTACCTGACCCCCTCAACTATCGTAGCACTGCGTTGATGTTCTACATCCACGAGAACCCCCAAAACGCGAGCAGGTCCGACAACAGGCTAGGTACGAGGCAAGACACGCTGGGACAAGGTAATAATATGGCTACGTGCAGGGCTATAATCCCGCCGCGAGGAATCGTGCGTCGGGTAGCCCATGCTCGAAGCCGGCTTGCGTCGAAGATGCATGGAAGGATGCTGTAATGCGTGGCTGGTGGCCCGGCCAATGCCTATCTGAGATACCCGTCGAGGGAATAATCGTCCTATTGTTTCGGAAGACGTGGTGCGAGATAGCCAGGTGGTGGAAATGATTCAACGTGACACAGTACTTACATGAGGCCGTTGGTCGTCGGGAGGCTGCAGTTGAGGAGTCGCTGTTGTACCTAATAGGTATGCCCCTTTACGTCGTGGTCAGGTAATCTTGCTGGCAGATATTGTCCTTATAATAATCCAGCCCTAGGTTCCGAGTACCTGGTGCGCTATTAGAAACTAGCCTTGTCCTAGGTACCTAAAGCTCAATCAATGGTGATTCGACGGCCGAGTATATGTACTAGGCGTTGGAATGTATTACACGTCATCTAAACATTCCGTCTTAAGCACTTCTCCGATAGCAACATGCGTATCCTAAATGGTATGATATAATCCACAAACTGGGAAAGAAGTTTTCTGAACTTCGTATAAAAGTAATAATATACTAGTTTGTAATGATGCTCGAATAGCAATCTTACAGAGTATCAAATATAAGCGATCAGGAATATATTGGGCAAGCTTAATATGACTGGCGTTTAATAGTTAACTTGATATATATTACTACCGGTATTCTTTATTACTCAATCATACGACACTATTTAAAATATATATCTAGTGTTACAGTGGCCAGGCAGATACTCGAGAGTTTCTCTGGGTAAGGTGCTTTAGTTACCAGGTTCCTGGAAAAGAGAGCTGTCAGACCACTTATACCGTAAGCCCCGAAAGGATTGACTGGCTTTTGGAGGTTGATATGCACTCATTGGTTGGTATATACCTACGCATCTCCGAAACGGATCGGTCGGATCGGTAGGAAGCTTGCGTAAGTGTCCGGCCCGGCCGCTTACGAAGCGTGTCCGTGTCAGGGTTCTAGCCGGACAGCGGGCTGCGGCTTTCAACAGCCCTCGCTGTCGTTATTCTTCCAAGGTTAACATTCTTGGTATGTATATGACATCTAGCCCCCAACGATGAAATACCTAAAGCAACGTTATGTAACATTATGCATTATGTGTGAGACATCTGTGGAATTGATTTATCGTAGTTGGGATCGACACTAGGGATATACATACGTAGATCAGTCGGGCGCAGCCTATCGTAGATCTTACGTGGTTGTAAACGACGGTCGACATGTTGGGGTTTGCCCCAACTCATAGCAGTTGGCAATATGCCTTCAATGCAGTAAGCATCCGTTGGTTGTTGTGGCAAAGTGCAGAACGGTGGCTTGGAAGGATTGAGAATGGCACGCTGCAATAAGCACCGTCCATCTAAAGATGGGGTTAATGACCGATTACAAGATAATGGGGACATAGTTCATTAAGAAGAAGTCGGATCGTTCGGTGGCCGTGCGCTTTAAGTCTTACCGTACTGCCCTATGCATATACTGCCCTATGCATAGGTATTTATGGAAGATCGTACCGGAGCCTGCCATTACATACTCTTGGCTTAAGACGCTTTAATTCTGCGAGTGAATATGTATAGCATGCGTTTGTTGTTGGAATAAATAGCACGTACGCATTAAGACGGACCGAAAATATGCGACTTATCATTTTACAACATAGTATGCTGTTTTCGATGGCAGGATGGATAGGTAGTTCAAATGCAAGTAGGTAGACCTTGCGGTGAAGGATTCAGCAAATCCTGCTTGCTAGCTAGGTTAGGTGTTCTAGATCGGCAAACCTGTAGCACGCGGTGGACATAAATATCACAGCCGATATATGGTCGGCTGTACGTCAGATAGGTTGCAGTCAGCAAGCTCCGGGGTTGCGTTAAGAGACATGTTTTGAAAAACCGGGCCAGCATTGCAATCCTACATCCTACGAAACTTGGACGGAGCTTGGAGCTTAAAGCCTAGGTATCCTTCCGCATCTTATTTGCGTGGTGTTCTAGGTACATAGTAGATGCCGTGACGCCAGTAGACTGTAGAACTGATAAACTGATATAGAAAGGAACAATATCGTTCGAAGGATGTTAGTCGAGAAATACAAGGCCATCTCGTGTCTTTGGCCATCAGAAGATGTCTGACTGTGCCTTCAAGAATACCTCTGTTGCATTCTGTACATGTTTGATGACGGCGCAGCCCCTAATGCAGTTATCATCTCACCCCAGTGCAATATTATACAACTTACCACTTTAAAGTCGGTGATATAGGTTTTGATTGATGCTTGTTTTCGATTTACCAACGGCGCAGCCGAGATGTTATGTACGTATTAATTGCCTCTTTTGTAAGATAATTATTTTGTAAGTAGTTAGCATATCGCCAGCCCTGTCACTTCTCGCGTGCCATCGCAACACTAGTTCGGAATCACCACCCGGATTCGAATAGGCACAGGTTATTAAGTATGTAGGTTCATCCACTTCCCACACACGACCCACGAGATCATGGCCTCCACTGTGGGTTACGCCATTCCTTGAGCAATATCAAATTTAGCGTGTTTCTGTTCGTCCGCCACCTTTAAGGGTCTAGGTTAGTCCTCTTATTTCTCTTTTTGATATTTAGAAACTTTATACATAACTAGCTTGTAAGTTGTGACGTGACAATTATAAGTTAAAAGGAAGCCCCCCTCCCCATCGGAGCGAAGGGGAAACATTTCGTAGACGTGCTACCTACCCGTAGCACGTTCACGCATTGTACATGCGCGATAAATCTCCGAGGTTCAACTTTTGAAACATCTGTATACTTGTCATCGCAAACCTTATGGGAGCCTATCCGGGTCGATTTGTTTTGCTCATGTCCATGTTTGTCATACACATATCAAAAACAACAACGAAGAAATCGAATGTGTAGTGTATCTTGGATACCGATAATGACACTTATTGGGAAGGCCTAAAGATAGGCATAGATTCACATCCTGCACGTTCTGATGTGCATTGCAGGGGCCTAAAATGCTTCAATACATACCTTCTTTTTTGAAGATTTAGACCCTAGTTCAGGGGTGCATATATAAACCTAGTTAGATGTATATTTTTTTTCCCTTTTTCCTTCGACTCCCCCGGAGCGAGCTGCACGCAAACACATCAAAACATTGACAGGGGCCAAGACTAAACTTATCCAAGCTTAGCTCGGCTTAGGGAATTAGGTAGCTGTAAATTAGCGCTATTACGTTCTCGTAGCCCCGGCTTTTATGGGGCGATGTGCAGTGATGTGTTACCGAAGGTACGAACTACACCTAATACCCAGGCTGGCTGTGTGGGTAATGAAAGACAAGGGTAGGTGGTATTCGTACATCGCAAGGTGGGATGTACCCTGCCTTCCATCCATCCATACATAGTAGCTTGTAATAATGAATAATGGAAGTCGCAGTCGCAGTCGCAGTCGCAAAATCGTTAACCTAGAAAGTTACTTCAATGTATTTTAATTCCAATTCCTACGCTGGCGCATTGCCGGCAAACTAAAAGTAGAACAACCGTATTTGGTCTATCTGCCTGTATTTTCTTTCTCTCCCTCCGGCTTTCGTTCATGTTTTCCTTCTCCAACATCCGTCCGACTCTTCTTATCACGTAGCTTGATGATTACCGACATTAGACACCCGAGAAACGTCATCAGTCTTCCCGCCTTTACAACAAAAACATAACATCTTAACATAACTATCAGAACATTTCACTTCCACTCGAAGAAACCCCGAAGAAATCTCCAAGCTACCCGGTGGCGCTTTCGCTTCTTTCTAATCAATATTAGGGTACGTTGGCCGATTCTATGTCTGCCAATTATGTTTTGCTTCTTTTAATTGTCTTCATCGGAGGCTCTTACGGTCTTACGGACGCCCGGATCGTAAGATCTGGTATTATCATCTACATACTTGATCTACTCTTTTCACTTCCACATATGAGAAACCGTGTGAGAACCCCCCTTGTCGACAGGGGCCAGTTCTCATCTCTGAAGCCTTATTCTACTATGTTTTTCATGGAATAGGGGAAGCACCATAAAAAAATTGGCTGTGCAGTCTCCGGGGAATTATCACTGCTTATGGTCCAGTGGCCAGCTAACCATCTAAATTACTCATTCATTCCAATTGATTACGATGATTCTCATCACATTACATGTCATCACACTGATGATCTAGGGCCTCATCAAGACTCACACCTTTACACCCGTTCTCTTTTTGTTTCTCTTGACTAGCTGTCTAACATGTCTTGTCCTGTCACGACTCTTGACTCATGAAGAACCAAAGTCTCAAGCTAGAGATAATTTCCATTTGTAACATGCCTTCACCCAAATCTTGACTCGCTTAGGTTTCCCCAGTCTCCCCGCGGAATGTTTCACCTGCGAGCTTCCATTCGTTCGATTTACTAGTGATCTTCGTACTCTCTCTCTCTCTCTCTCTCTCTCTCTCTCTCTCTCTCTATCTCCCTTCGACCACCGTTTCAGTGCAATCCTTCCAACAACCTATTTTCCCCTTTTCCTTTAAGAATTTACCATTAATATCTTATTGTTACAGCTCTTACCGCTCGATAATTCGAATATTGTGTTTTAAGCCGCTAGGGCCTTTGTTGCAGACAGCGAGTCTGCAGCCCTTCATTTCAACCTGTCGTCACATCCTAGTCAGGGCGACCTCCCGGGGTCTGCCGTAACAACGGACATTCCGATAGAGACCTTCCAATCACCCGACTCCACCATGTCGAGCTCTTCCTCAATTGCTGTCACGAATTCTTCGCGACATGTTCGTTCTAGAACCCAGAGTATCTCGAGCGACCGCCCTTCTACGACTGGCTACAACATGATGTCTCCGCCTCTCTCTGTGTCGCCTGAGGCGGTGTTCATCGCTGCGTCTGCTGCTTCGCAAATCGTCACTAATGATCATGACAGCCATTCTGAGATATGGTACGATCAGATGGGAATTGAGCCTTCGGAAGAGACTGCCTTGGTTTCACCAGGCGCTCTTCAGCTCGCAAATAATTTTATCGACCAGCTCTTGTTCAACATAATCTCTGTCGCGAAGTCTACTGCACTATCGGCGCTGCGGCCGGCTGTTAGCGAAGTACTAAAACCGAAACTTGCTAAAGATGCCATTAACAACGCCGACGAAGAACTTCGAGAATACCTGGGTGGTAATGAAATTGAAGATTTAGTACAATCTCCAAATACTGAGGTACCTGCCGATTGGGACCTGGAGCTAGTGTGGAAAAGAACGAGACTACGATGCATGGTTTATTCGTCTTTGGGTGATATGGAGGAAGAAGACGAAGACTGCTATATGGAACAAGAACATCTCAGAGGCGAGTCGGATGACATGATGTCCGAGGTTGTATCCCCAGCAGTTGCCATTTTCTTGACTTCGATTCTAGAATTTATGGGTGAGCAGGTTCTCGTCATAGCCGGGCAAGCGGCCTTTAACCGACTACGTGTCAAGTACGAGAAAGAGTTGAAAGAAGGGACGCGAGTACGCGGTGAATTATTTGAACGTCTTGTTGTTGAGGAATTAGACATGGAGCGTGTTGCGTTGGATCGAACTCTCGGCCGGCTTTGGCGTGCTTGGAAAAAGAGGATTCGGTCGCCCGGAGAGCCTAACTATTCTCGTCCTTTCTCGCGTAGTTCCTCGAGTACTTCGGGGGTGGCCAACCAACGACGCGGGAGCGCTGCAACAGACCACGTGCAGTTGCTTCGGACACCCCGAGATTCGGACTCTGCGCTTGATGTACATGAAGAGCAAGATGGCGAGACGGCCGGCGAGAAAACACATGAGAAGTCCAGCCCGAGGTCAATTCCGAAGGTGAATCCGGCCGAAGTACCTCTGCCGGATAGCGACGAGGAAAGTGAGGAGGAAAAGGATATTGGCCGACCGAAGAGCATGATCATATTGCCTTCATCAAAGGACAGGCTAGTGTCTCTTCGAGCTTCGCTGAAAAATTACTCAATTCGGCGCGCACGGTCTCTTCCTTCTCGGAAACGTCCCGTGTATTCTTCCACTCCGGGGGCTAGTCGCGAAATTGAAACCCAGCCTCACAAAGATACAAGCAAAGATACAAGCAAAGATACAAGCAAAGATACAAGCAAAGATACAAGCAAAGATACAAGCAAAGATATAAGCAAAGATGAGGCGAAGACGATTGATGGCGTTTCTACAAAGGATATCAGATACGACAACGTTAATGAGCAACCTCGCCAAAAGTTGGAGCAGAAAGTTATCTCAGATGGGCTGATTCCAGCAGTCAATAACGACATTATACCTGCGATATCAACAAGGACTAGTAGCATTGTCCCGCTAACCGAAATTGAAGAGGACGAAATCGAGGAGTTTACTGAAGAGCCTGAAATATTAACTTCATCAAGAATTTCTATTGGAGGAAGAAGTTCCTCTCCTTCTACCTCAGACTCTGGCAGGCCTACTCCTCTCATGCCTATAAGAACGAGCAGCATACGGTCGGTACGAATTATTGAGGTACAGAGCCCTCGTAGCCCGACGGCTGGTTCACGAGCGAGTTCTATGGATTTCCAGGACCCTGCTTTGGTTGCTCGTAGGATTTCTACCCCTCCCATTGTCGAGGAAAATGATTCGGTAGCGCCACCTGAAAAGAAGCATACCGTTATCCTTCAGCGGTCATTCGACGATTCCCAGGAAACCAGTTCTGGGGCAGTCCAACCTGCCCGGAATCCCAGTCCTTTGAGAAGCGTCCACTCCCAAGCAGTATACGAACTTGCAGCAACCACCACCACTAAGGTGTCGATTCTGAGTAGTCCCACAACAGAACCACCTTTGGAGGAAAAGCCCGTGGCTCCCGTGAAATCATCGAGGAACCCACCAATGCCAACGCTGCTCGAGAGAAGTACAAACCGACCTATTTATGGGCGGTCGAGCTCTAACGATACTGCGTCAAATATACCTGCCCGGCGTGGTACGCCGGAATCACCAAAGATGCCGCGCTCTATATCAAGCGACTCGCCTTCTTCCACGTCCGCTAAATTCAAAGCCCTCCGCACCTCTGAGGACGGAAGCCCTCGGCGCTCCGAGGATAGAGCTCGCGATTTTGAGCAGCTAATCCACAGCCAGGAAACCTTGCAGTATACCCTCACTCCAGAAAACATGCGTGATATTGACGTAAGTCTCTGATCCTCTTGCCATGAAGTCAAAGCTAATAGAATATACAGTCTAGTTCATCTCAGCACACTGGAAGTCCTAAAACTAATAGGTTCCAAAGGGGCGAGGACGCCAGGCATGCTGAGCGCTCACGGTCTTCATCTAGGAAGAGGACCGCATCCTTTACGAAACAGACTAATCTCAGTTCGAATCCTCTAGCTTCCCATCCTCCCACGGACATTCCTTTTACCGGGAAATTTTCCGAAGTGATATCAAGTGCACTCGCTTCTATTCCACCGAAAAGTCGATCAGGTATGGCCGCGCAAGCGAGGGAAGCGCGAGTCCCTGGGGAATCATTGCAAGATTTTGCCAATTTTATTCGATCAACAGGACCTCCTGTCGAGCGCAGCGTTCAGCATAGCAGAGGACATACGGCTTCGATTTCGACTATCCGGGCTCCCAGGGGTCCTACTCACGTGAAAAAGAGTGCGAGCATCGATAGCCGGCAGACTAGTTCAAGCAACCGATCCCACTTCCAAGCTAGAGATGCTACAGTTAACCTCGGTAGCGAAAACTCAGATCTTATCGATTTTATTCGACGTGGACCCCCAAGCAACAATGTGAATAACCCCCGGATTCCTCGTCACGTTGCCCCTTTCCGGAGTACCATGGACTCGGATCAATTACAGATGGCTGGTGCTGTAGGAGGCAAGGCTATCGATGCGGTGATTCCAAATATTCGAAATAGCGAGGCATCGACGAATGTTACGGAGGCTTCAGCTCCGTCGTCGATGAATTCCCAAAGCGCACTCTTGAGCAAAGTGAGCAAGGTACAGCAGTACTCTGGTAATAACTTTGATGATGACGATATGATGCCGAAGCGGACACAACGACGAGTCCGTGACCCTTATGCCATTGATTTTAGCGACGAGGAAGACGAAGAATCAGATATAATGCCCCTACCAAAACCGAAGAAGGAAGAAAGCTTGATCGATTTCCTCAACAGTTACCCCCCTCCCCCTGAACCAATGCCTCAACCCGTTGCTATCCCGAAGAAAAAAGCCAGTGCGCCAAATTTGATCGCACGTCTGAGATCGGGCGGGAGCTCTATCAGATCAGCTTCAAACCCCAGAGGAGGATCTGGGGCTGATTCGAGGTCTCTGAGTAGTCGAGCTGGCACTAGCAAAGGCTACACGCCTATTGTCATTCCAACATCGGTAGAAAAGTTTGGGAGCAATCCCAGACCACCACCAACCGCTCCTAGCAGCTCGATGGGTCGTGTTCCGATGAAGAAATACGAAGCACGGGATGCCGTTTCCGCTAACACCCGTACGTCGGATCTGGCTAGCTTCCTGCGCGATTCCGAGCCGCCACCACAGCCCATGTCGCGTCCTGCCCAGAACGAAAGCAAGAGCAACGGATTCTCCCGGATGTTCGAACGCCGCAAGAAATCTACCGCATATTAATCAACCTTTACACCCTCACATTCGAATCTTCCGTGTATAAACTTGCTATTTCATTTCAAAACATTGGGCGCTTCCTAGGGAATATAGAGCTGGGATGAAGGGTGGCAGGCTTAAAAATCGTATTCTTAAATGGCGAGATCATTATTCGATTTTGTTACGGATATCTTACGCGCATATCTGCCATCGACATTGGGTGGTTGCTCTTTTACTTGACTACTTTTCTTGATAGGTTGGTGGGCTATTTAGATACCATGCATTTTTTCTACTCGTTTGCGTTGCTAGTAGAAGTTGGGCAAAGGAACGTAATACGAAGAATGGTGAAGGGGGGGTCGTTGATTGAAATCTTGTTTGGATGCTATAATATGTGCCTAGTCTTGGATATGCTGCAGCAAAATGAGAACTGGCTACATTGAGTGAAAAAAAGTTAGTTGGCCTGAATGGAGCGAATATTGTTGTACATTAACTGTTCCAAAGTGATATGTATAGAAAAGTGATAATGTGAAAATAGCAATTAGCTTGTTCATCTATGTAGGTAGCTATCCTAGGTACCTAGCTAGGTAGAGAACGAGACGACAGGAAATTGACGCATACTGTACACGAATGAATATGAATGAGAATGATATGTCTCCTGCTGGTTGGCCGACGGTACAAAGATAGGAAGTGAGGAAAGGAAAGAGAAAGAAATAAAACTAATAAACATGTCAGGATGTCAGGAAGAGGGATTGGCTTAGCGTAGTGGTGATTACTTGCTTCTCTTTTCCTTTATTCATGGATACATCCTTGTCATAATACATCACGGTTGATAGCTGGGCTATAGTCTCGACTCCTATTCATTGGTACATGCAGAGACATACATGTCTGCATCTGCTCACTCACTCCCAATAATCCCTCCTTCTTCCTTTTCACATCCTCTTCGCACATTCGTAATCTCTTCCCTTCTTTTCTTGTTATAGTTCCGCACTTACAAGTACCCGAACAACTCCCCCCCCCCTTAGTCCCGCAGATGCCGCGAGACCCAGGCGCGAAAACCCCCTTTCTTGGACTTCCTGCGCACGGACCCCGAGCCCGACTCAGACTCGCAAGACTCCCGGCGTCTGTGTGTGTGTCTGCCGTAGACGACGCCGCGGGAGATGGTAGTCAGGGTGGAGATGGAGGCTCGGCTGGAGCTGGAGGCGGGGCTGGAGGTCCAGGAGCGGGGGGAGTTGGCCTGGACGATGGCGCTTGCTTCCTCGTCTGCGTTTACTAGGGCTGTGGCGCTGTAGGTGTCGGCTTGGTCCATGGTGTTTCTTACGTCTTGCTGTATGCTTGTGCGGTGCGGGAACGTGCAGATGGCGGGGGAGGTGAAGGATTGGGGGAGCCAGGCTTCGGCGGGCTCGGCGGCCATGGCGCCGCGGTGAGGATCGGGCGGAGGGGGACGAGATGGATATCGAGGTGGTGGTCCTGGGATCCGCGTGGCTGTCGAGCGGGAACGCGTGCTCTGATGGGGGCGTTGCTGCGAGGGACCAGGGTTGTTCACGCCGTTGCTGTTGCAACGGTGGTGGGAGGAGGGCTGGGATTGCTTCTGTTCCTGCTTGCGCTGCTGTTCTCGGTCTTGGTGCTGCTCTACGTGTTTTTGATGGTGCTCCTCTTGATAATCCATAGCCGCTTGAGGATCTGACTGGTCAAAGGGTGGCTGGCGATAGATTGAATGCTTTATATCATGGATAGGTTCGCCCACCTGCTTGTCATTGTTGATATAGTACTTATGATAATGGTTGTGGACGTGGTAGTGATGATGGTGGATGTGAGTACAGCTACCAGTACGGCTCTTGCTGTTGTCTCTATCTCTGTCCTTGCTTATGCTCTTCCCCTTTCCCTTATCTTTGTCCTTGGTGTTCTTGTTACCGTCGTCAGCAGGACGGAGAGTTTCACGGGCGCGAGAATGGCGTATACGTCGAGCTTGCTCATTCTGGAGTATCTCGTGATGCGCCGAGCTGGAGGCCGAGAGCGGAGGTGTAGGGGACTGGATGTTTATGCGAGGTATGGGAACATTCTGCTTGGCAGGCTGAGAATGACCTCGTCTCTTGTGCTTTGAGGGCGAAGCAGAGTCGTCCCCGGAGACAGAAGTAGGTCTTCGAATTCTGTGACGACTTCTACCACGACCGGGCGAAGAGTGATTGGAATTACCTCCCATTCTATAATAAGAATTCAGTTTATTTGTTATTTTCTACACGGGAAATACATCATCTTACCTTGTCACGTAGATCCTAGACGGCGTGCGATAGAAGCTTAGAGGTTAATGATGAGCAAGTGATTGTGCCAAGTTGATTGACGACATTGTAAATATTCAACTCAAAATAAACCGGCGCGGGGAAAGTAAATTTCGTAGTAGGGCAAGGCTCGTTGCTGTGATCCGGGGCGTGTGAATTATCAACGCGTTGCCGGAGTGAATCGTACTGTCGTCATCGAGGTGCCTGATCCTACCGCCTTTTATCGCCATCTGCCAGTACGATTCCACGGTGACAACAGACCGATAAGATATCTAAGTATTCTATTAATCGTCTAGGTAGAGTTGTAGTTTGTATAATACATGAGTACATCCATTACTACTTAGGGCTCGATTGCTTTTCTCGCTGAACGCTGTATGAACAATATGAAGGCTAGGGATTCGAACTTGCTTGCTTTTCCTCCCTTATAAGACTTTTCGTTGTGATGGATCTTGCTATCTAGCCGAAGCATATCTTGCGGCTAGAACCTCATCTTGATTCTGTTTAGGTCCAGTCGATTCCTTGTATCGTTGGCTAAGTGTCCTCTCCTCTGCGGATAGTTGTGATGAGAGCTCTTCGCCTTTTTGCTTAGCTCCTCCTACTGCCGACTTCGTCTTGTCAGCTGCATCCTTACTCTTCCAGATACTTCTTGCTAAGCCGCCTAGGAATGAGCCTTTGGCTTCTTCAGCCTTCTCTTCTGTACGTCCAACCACCTCAGAGCCCTTGGCCTTTGCATCCGCATATGCGCTCTTGGCCGCTGCAGCTACACTTGCGGCTTTCTCCTTGCCCTGGTCCAATTTTGCATTTGCAACTGCTTTTGCGTTTGCTGCCACATCCTCACCCTTCTTTACAGGTCCCTGGGAATCATCAAATGCTCTAGCCCAGAGCCTGGCAAAAGCGATTTCGACATTCTCGCGCACCTCTTCCCAGTCTTTATTCTGAGCCCAATGGACAGCACCTTCTATTTCAGCATTCCAACGATCTTTAGCCCTCTCGATAAGATTGGCACGCTCGGCTGCTGCGAGCTCGGCCCTCGTGGGTGGCAAGACAGGTGGCAGAGGGTCGATGATACTGGATACTAGACGAGTCTGCTGTCGCAGGATGGCAGCTTGGTGCTCTCGGTGTCTTTGGTGTGCTAGTACACCTAGGTAAGCCACTGAGAGGGTGAGAGTTACACCTCCAGTCTATCCATATAAGTAAGTAGTTTGTTAGTTTATTATTTCCGAGACTTGGTGACATGTGAGAACGTACGAATCCAGTTGTGAAGCCCATGTTGAGGTGTTTAATATGCGCGCTACGGCGCAAACGCTATGAAAACCCTATTATGTAGGTATGTACTTGTGAAACCAGGAGAAACGAGTGTAAGCTTCGACAAAGTCCCTTGTAGGATTGTCTGAAGAGCCAAATTCAATGCGAATATTAAAATGGAATATTAAATAAATCGAATTTGACGTTTAACGAATGACGAAGTCACGCTACTAACCTAACCTAGGTACCTACCTATTTCCTGATGAGTACCTACGTAGGTACCTTGTATGTGGGTCTGCCCATTATCTTGATTCGGTACGTACCTGTATGTAGTGGACATAGGTAGGTATCTAACCTAGGTAGGTACATATGTCCTCCTACCCGAAAAAAGAAAAGAGGTTCCAGAGCTCGGCCCGTGCCAAGATCCAAAAATTCAAAGTAACTTTGTACCCCCGATCAATAATTTGAACCTCAATCGTCAACTCAACTTAGCCAATCCCACCTTTCCTTGCCGCAACAAAAGCCCAATTGCACCACCACCCGAGATCAAGTCACCCGGTCGAGCCGAAGGATGGCGGGTGGTCTAGTCAAGTACCGACACTTAAGTCGGAAGTCGTCGCATCGACAAGCCCTACTGCGAAACTTGGTCACAGCCCTCGTCCAGCACGAATCCGTCCGAACGACATGGCCCAAGGCCAAAGAGACCCAGCGTCTAGCCGAAAAGCTCATTACTCTCGCTAAGAGGAACAACGAGACTAGCAGGCGGAAAGCTACCGGTATATTATTTGTACGACTGCCCTCCTCTTCCTCCTCCTCCTCCTCCTCTTCTTCTTCTTCTTCCCTCCCGACACCAACCAGCCAAACCAACTTATACATATCATCCCAATCCAGACGCAAATCTATAAAAATAACCCCCCCCCCCCCCCGAAATGCAATCTAATCGCTAACTAACCACTTCCCCCCCTCACCATCACAGACCCCTCACAACCTCCTCCCCAAGCTCTTCGGCGAGTTGCGCCAGCGCTACGCCTCGCGGCCAGGCGGCTACACGCGCGTCCTGCGGACGGAGCCCAAGTCGCGCTACGACCAGGGCGACTCGGCGATCCTCGAGCTGGTCGACGGGCCCAAGGACCTGCGGTTCGCCATGACGGCCGCCGCCTTCGCGCGCGAGCAGCGCCTCGGCCGCCCCCACAACGCCCTCACCCTGCTTAACCGCCAGAAGGTCACGCGGTTCCGGCCCGGCGGCCAGGCGGCCTTCGACGAGATGGTGAAGAGGGTCGAGGGGCTGCGGTTGGGTGGGCGTGGGAAGGGCGCTGGTGGACAGGGGGTGGGTGCGCAGGGCGGGGCGGAGGCTCCTCCTGCTGCTAGTTAGAGGGGTGTGGTTGGTTTTATTAGTGAAGAGTCCGGCCTGGTCTTGCTACTGCAGGGTGGAAGTCTAGGGACACTGGACCTACAAGGCCCAAACTCGGACAGTGATACTACTGATCTCGAGTGCTTCAAGTTCGAAGCCGTGGGAAGGAGTATCGGGGGTGGAACGTATAGACGTACCATTATGACTTACCTGAAGAGGGATCGATCCCCTTGAGGCTAGGCGTGACAACGGCTATTATACGAATTATGTACCATAACCATCCATACCTACAACACATACGAAAAGAGAAAGAAAAAAAAAGTCCCAATTCACAAATCCACTGTTGAAAACCCGCCTGTGAATAAACCCCTATCTGCTAATCTCTCATACAAAATCAAACGTATCCCCCTTCTCCTTAATCATCCTGCCCACCCTCTTAGACCCAACAACCCTCTCCAGTTTCAGAAGATCATACCGCGAGAACATAACCCTCACCGTCCCCCTCCCCGGTTCCAGTTTCAATTCCCTCTCGCTGCGCCCCAGATACCCGCCCACAACCTCCTTGTAGAAAGTTGGGTTATCAGGTAATCCATACATAATAACCCGCCGAACACCCCGCAGCGCATATCGTCGGAAATGGTGTGCGCGCTCCGTATATAGTAGGACTTGGTGTCGACCACTTGCGAAATGAGACCGCGCGCGCGACGCCTCCGGTACCTCGGCGTACTCGGATACTGCGGCGAACGCGAGACCCGCGCAGGCGGGGGAGGTGGCGAAGTAATTGCGCACGCGCACGAAGTCGAGGTACGACGGGACGAAAATCAGAGTGCCGCTGAGGTCCTGACCCTTGGCGCGTTTCGTCAGCGCCGGTATGACCGCGCCGGTGAAGTACTCGAACCTAGCGTCGGGCTCGGCAGCTATGGAGGGGGCTTCGAACCGCGAAAACGTCTGCTTGGCCTTGACGCCGAGCTCCTCGATAGCGCCGGGATAGGCTTCGGGTTGCACGCGTAAGCGGCCGGTCCAGTTGGTGCCGAAACGGCGATGCAGCTCGACGAGCTCGGGCGTGTTGAAGGCTGATAAGACGAGTGTCTGTCGAAAGTTCTGGGCCTGCTTGTCGAGGTACCACTCGCGGACGCGGCTGAAGTCGCAGTCGTGGGCCTCGCGCGGCTGGAGGTTGAGGTGCTCGAAGATGTACTCGACGTGCTCCCAGTTCTGCATAAGTAAAGCATCGGCCTGGTCGACGACCACGACCTCGATGGAACTCAGGAAGTCGAAGTCCACCTTCTTGTCTTCCTCAGATCCGATGGCCATGCGCAAGCCAAGCGGAGACGCTATCAGGATATCCGAGTTATAGAACTGTGCAAAGTATTTGATAGTCTTCCGTGTAAACTTGATGCCGATGCGGAACATGTCGTCGTCGTTACCCTCGAAGAGCTCCCGGAAGTCTTCTGGGCGGTCCTCTGTGAACTTGGCGTCCTTGTCAAGGTATGACTCGTCGAAGCGTTTCCTGTTTTCCTGCTGCTCCGGTTCGCACAGGGCGCAGATCGCGTTGACCATCTTGACGGCTGAGTTCCGGGTCGGAAGGAGCATCAGTACTTTCGGACGTGTGAACCCCTGATCTCTCGGCTCAAAGTCGCTATTTTCAACATCCTTTGCTAGTTTAGCATTGTTCTTGATAACTCGATCTCGAGTTCTGAATTGCAGTTAGTGGACTATAGCTTTAAAAGGCATACAAGAAAGACATACTTGAAGACATGATTGACACTATGAAGACATGCCATTCGGCGTAAGTTTTCAGCATTTCTCGGAGTCCTTCCACAGAATAATATATCATTATAAGCGAACGTCAATGGATATAGAACTTGCTCTAGCTTGTCAAATGTTGGCCGTTTTCGACTGACTGTTTCAGCAAGCCGATGTTTGAGGTTTAAGCTGGATGGTCCGGGGATAGGGGGCGGGAGTGCTGTAGGTTGAGCAATATCTTTTTCGGGAAAGTTCCGTATTAATCGCCAACCATTCTTCTCGGAATGAGACTGAGAATAATCGTTATTTTGAATGGCCTTTATACGCTTTTGAACCTCGTTTTGATCTGGGTTGACGAAGTGAGTCTCGAATGGGTCGGATGAATCTGCAATGTCTTCATCGTCGTCATCATCCATTTCGATCTCATCCTCTGGTCCTTCTTCCGCCTCCTCGACATGATCGACGTCCCGTTCTTCATCTTCGTCAACTGCAGCGATCCCATTTTGCTCAAGTTTACCGGACTTGACTTCTTCGGACTGAGTGTCAAGTTTTCTTCTTTTAGCGCTTGGAGCAGATGGTTCTTTAGATAAACTCTGCATTAACGCAAAGTAAGGTCGACTAGTCGCCTGTTCCTGTTCATCTTCTGATCCAGAACCTTCATTCTCAGATTCTTCATCTGACGGAAGCTTTTCTTCTTCAGACACTTCATCTTCTGAATCCCTATAAGAAGTATTAATGATCAATTCTTCACTGAAAAGAAAACGAAAAGAAAAATCAATGAGTGAGCAATGGGAAATAAGCCTTACTCGGACTCGATGATTCGTGCGCTGTCAAAGGTTCTTTTCCCATTAAAACTTCCTCCGCGTCCTCGTCCGCGTCCTCCTCCCCGACTCGTTCCCCTTCCTCTACCCCTACCTCTAGGAGCACCTCCCCGGCGAGCGCCTCCTCTGGGTTTACCTCGCATAATATGAGCTTATCGAGAATAAAATTAAAATCTAGTTAAAGAATTAAAGTTGCATAATTTATTAAAAAAGAAAATCTCATACGGCGGTTGAACTGTAAGGGAAAGTCTAAGGGAAATTCTAATTGACAGTCCCGTCCCGTCATCAGCCTTGCAGAATTTCTTGCACGCAAGCCTCGCGCTATGGATCCTTGCCACACTCCACACCAATCGCTATGTACCTACGTAGATCCACCTCTGTTAGTACGCCCAGACTTTTTAAATCCTTATCTTCGACCCCCTCCAAATCTTCAGCCTTGCCCACAACCCACTGCGAACCCCCACTACGCCCAGAACGTGAAAATTACAACATCGCCAGCGAAAAAAAAAAAAAGATAAAATAAAAATAAAAAGATAAAATACCTAAGTAAAAGTTCGATTAATTGGACTGAGAGACCAACGAACTAGCGATACTTATCGTCAACCCACCTCTCCTCCGTAATAATAAATCCGGCCTTCAGAATACCGCAATCATGGCCGTGGATACGGAACCGTTCCTTCATCTGGCGCGACCTTTAGCACCGACGGCTTTGCATTTCCAAAGCCATCTCTCCCCGCTCTCCGTTAACATCCTACCACAAGTATGTCAATACCGCCTTGTTTTGTTTGTTTCTTGGCTACCTACATTCCTCTCTTCTTATTAGTACCAACTAACAACAATAATAGGCTATCCTTTCCGTCCTCGACCATGCTACCCGCCGTGATATCCGCCCCGCGCCGACGAGCTCCTCCCGCGTCATCGGCGCGCTGGTCGGTACCCGGTCCGAAGACGGCGGCGAGGCCATCGTAGCCTCGTCGTTCGCCATCCCCCATACCGAGAACGAGGACCAGGTCGAAGTCGACGTTGAGTACCAGAAGAACATGCTGTCGCTGCACCTGCGCGCCCACCCCCGCGAGGTCCTGCTCGGCTGGTACACCACCTCCCACGAGCTCAACTCCTTCAGCGCCCTCATCCAGAACTTCTTTGCCAGCCCCGAGACTGGCACCTTCCCCCACCCGGCCATCCACCTCACCGTCTCCGCCGAGCCCGGTACCCCCGTCCGCACGCGCGCCTACATCTCTGCCCCCATCGCCGTCAATGCCGAGCGCGCTTCCGAGTCCTGCCTCTTCATCCAGGT